AGCAAATGAAGCTATGACACGACGGAAACAATGTAAAAAGAGGAGACTACAGAAAAGAGGGACTCTTACAGTTCAAGAAGCCCAAGAACTAGATAATCAGACACGTCGTGGTGCTCAGGAACTGCAGGAAGATAGTCAAGATGGTGGTTTAGTAGAGAGTACTCAACCAACTCGTCGACGCTGTAGAAAATGTAAGGGGATAGGCCATAACATGAGAACATGCTCAAAAGGTCAAGATGACTCTGTAGAATAACCCTATAAACTTGGAAATTTTATTTCTCTTCATGTTGTTGAGTTATACGTGTTCTGACCTAGTTGGGTCGCATGATGCGCACCGCTCGCTTGTCCGCGCCGCTCGCTTATCAAGTACGTTATTCTAGTTACGCTACTAGGGCACCTAGAGGGAGGCGCAGAAAGGGCTAGTTAGAAGGTTAATACACCCTACGCCTATAGTTGTGTTTAGTTAGACGTAAAAAGAGGCAGTACTAAGCGAACAAGGGAGTTTGTAGGACAGGTACGTCTTGTACTGCGTACATACACTGCGTACTTGTACCGCGTACTTGCTCTGCGTACTTTTACTGCGTACGTATACTACGGATTCTGCAGAGCTTTATAGTTGCACCTTTCTTTAGGCAGGTTGAATTCTGGTCGGATACCTGCTAATAGTCCACCGTACGAGGATCTATGTAGTAGGGTAGGGTACAGGTGGCAACATCTACCCGGCGCATCTTAGTCTACGTTGAGGCCTGCCTTAGTCACAGTTGTCTTGCTAGCCGTAATACTTCGTGTTTTTGATTTTCTTGGAGTCTTCTGCTCTAAAACGGGGACGCTATCCACTCCCCATACCTACTATGGCTGTTGCTTGCCCAGTTGTTACGGATCTGACCATCCGTACCGTCTCTCCCACAGCTCCTCCTTCTACTTGCGATCTAGACCCGCAGAAATGGCAGCGTGTAGAGAAGGAGCTCTACCTATATACATCTCCGCAGAGTGCATGGCTATATGTAGCAATAAAGAATGAGGATGAGCTTGAGGATAAGGATTTGCTGGTTATAGATATCAGAGTCGGCGAGTCGCATCCTGACCCAGGCTCAGGCCATTCATGGGAGAGTCGACCTGGCGGAATCTGGCTGCTGAGAAGCAAGTTCTCTGGCACGATTGACCAGGCTGTAACAGAGGTGGACGTTCTATTCGGTACAGATGCCGTTGACCCAAGGCCACAATGGGCTCTCATGCGATCAGCGCTCCAACTCAACGCTCCGTCAAAGGTCCCGGTTGCAAGGTTGAGTGTCCTCCGCGGCAGGGCTAAGCCTAGACTAGATGCTAAACCGATTTTGAGAGTCAGGGAGGATGGCAAATTCAAGATTGTCCAGATCTCCGACACACATATGGTCACTGGTGTTGGAGTGTGCAAAGACGCTATCGATGCACAAGGGAACCATCTACCAGAGAGTGAAGCCGACCCACTTACGGTAGAATTCATTGGAAAGATCTTGGATGTCGAGAAACCAGACCTGGTGATTCTCACGGGAGACCAGTTGCACCACGACATCCCCGACAGCCAATCTGCTCTCTTCAAGGTGGTCGCTCCTATCATCGACCGTTCAATCCCATTCGCAGCCGTCTTTGGAAATCATGATAGTGAGGGCATCCACGCATTACCACGTAAGTAATATTTTCTATAATCACGCGGAGCTAGCGATTGCTCTGCTTCGCAAGATAATTATGCAATCCTAATAAGCCTTCTAATCTTGCTAACTAGATTACAGGAAAGGCACAGATATCAATACTTCGAGATCTGCCTTTTAGCCTCTGCGAGCCAGGCCCAGAGCAAGTCGACGGTGTTGGTAACTTCTACCTTCAGGCCCTAGCCCCGGCCCCGTCACAGTTCCCGCTTTCGACTTTATATTTCCTAGATTCGCACGGTCAAATACCAAGCAAGATACGCAATCCCGACTATGATCCTATCCAGCAAAGCCAAATCGACTGGTTTCTGAATACTTCCAAAGCACACCGAAGCGCGCGTGAGAAGGACAAGGACAATAACGACAACCGGTTTCATCTGTCTCTAGCTTTCCAACACATCCCGCTCCCCGAGTTCAAAGAAGACCGCTACCTTAGTATACGCAGCGGCCATCGGAGGGAACCGACTGAGGGCCCCAGTTTGAATTCCCATTTCTACGACGCCTTGGTCAAAGAGGGCATACTAGCATTAGGTTGCGGGCATGATCACGTTAACGATTTCTGCGCTCTATTGAGACAACCCCAGCAGGATGGCGGCAAGATCCCTCACCCGGGCCCTTGGCTATGCTATGGAGGTTGCACTGGGTTCGGGGGATACTGTTCGTACGGCGGAGAGCGATTTCACCGACGATCGCGGGTTTGGGAGCTCGATACGAGTACCGGGAGCTTGAAGACTTGGATGCGGGTCGAATATGCCATGGACAGGGTTGATGAACTGGTGCTTGTGAGAAGTGGAGTGGTGGTAGATCATCTTGGAGGAGGAGAGGAAGAGAAAGGCAAAAGCCGTAGAGTGAGTTAAAGCTAATATGATGCGCTAGGTTGAGCATCACCCGGCGGGTTTTGACTCCAGGATTGGCTTCGAATGGAGCAAGGGAATTTTTCCACACACGAGCTTCATGTAATCGAGACGAACAGACACAGTGGGTGGACTGAGAGGTCCAAGTTCGCGATTAAAGATGTTAGCGACGCATTCCCAGGCCGTTGCCAAAGCCTGACCAAGAGGGTTTGTTTAAGTCGAGTTCACAGATAAGCCGACATTTCCCACCCCAAGGATGCTCCTTCCAATGACCTCTGCCGACATTTCTTTGACAAAGTTACAGAGAATAGAAGTTAGTTATAGTGCCGTCTTCGTACAAGGTGGACGAAGACTTTAAGGAAGCAGATTAGGGTTTAATGATGCTCGGCTTGGAGGATTTGTTTAACAAGACTAGAGAAGCTTTGGAAAGCGCATGGTGAGCCCCGACATACAATCTTCCTATGAACACGTTGTCAGTAAAGCAGTACGAGTCGAAATCGTTGCATATATTATTATGTAATTTAGTGCCGTTTGACGTGAGGAGGGTCCCATGGTCGTCCGAAGTTGTTTTTCGACAAGGATCTTTAAGATATACCGTGATATTAAGCAACAGCACTGTGAATGGAGCATTGCTCTGGAATGGGCCTGGAACTGATGAGTATGTAGCCAGACCTGTTGTAGAAATGGTGTGCACGGAATCTAAGCCGCGAGGCTTATTCGGCTGCTGTGTAGAGGTGCTGGTGTAGAACAGCACCCCTGTGACGGCATTTAGAATAACAGAGTGAGACAGCGCCTTAAGGAACACATTGTGTTCTCGTGTATAGAGTAGAGCAGAATTTATTTGACACCTACTAACTGGTTCCTGTTGTATGTGTACCATCCTGAGTCCATAATTTGTCCTTGACGCCAAGAGGAGACGTGCGAAATAGTGGCCCATGGTTCGGTTGGCCGAGGATGAATTAGAACGCACACCGCCGGGCAAATTTTGCACGATACGGAGCCGGACTCCCCATCCAAGTTTTCCGCTCCTGCTGCCGCCAGTAGAACATCCTTCTTTCAGACCTGCCAACTATGCTCTATCGTGATGATTTTGGTTTCCGTCCAGAGGGCTGAATACTGCAGGGAACATAAACTTTGACAGCAAAGACCCTCCAACAATTCACCGTCGGGCAATTGGTCTAGTGGTATGATTTTCCCTTAGCATGGGAAAGGTCCTGGGTTCAATTCCCAGATTGTCCATCTTTTTGCTGGTGATATCCCCCTCGGGGGAGTGCCGGCGGCCCTTGCGCTTCTCTTTTGCTTCGGCAAGATCCACCCCTTCGGTGGACGCTCCGTGCTCGGGCAGTCTCGGCAGACACTTGATCGCCTTTTTCGCTTGTGTGCAGTGGTCCCCTTCAACGGCCTCTTCTGCGCGGATCGCGGTACGGATTGTAGGCGACATCACTTCCTCGAGCATTGTTGTTCGGTCCGCTGGGAATGTTGTGCTCACCGGTTGTAGTTCGACCTTCTGCAAGGCTAGTGATACCGTTCGAAGGCGGTGCATTTTGCCCAACATTGCTTCTAGGAACATTCAGCATGTACGCCGGAGACTGCGCTGCTTGGGCGCTTCCACCCTGAGCGGGAGCCGTCCAATGCGGTGTGATGCCCGATGATAGAGAGTCTGCAACACTGTTCTTGCGCGAGGATGGCAACGAAATCCAGCCGTTCCTCCGCTCTCCATCACTGGATATTCCGTTCATCGTCGTGTCATCACTGCCACCATGGTCTGAGAATCTTACGCCTTGATTTGGAAGAGGAAGCGCCTGAAAGCGATCAAAGGGTGACAGAGTGTCAGACTTAATCTTCTCTTTGTCTGCAAGCGCTTTTCTCAAGATCTCAAACGCAGCTGTTACTTCGTCCGGGAGAGCAGATACCCGACTCCTCGCGGATCGATCTGAACGAGCACTGGGCGCTAGCGGGAGTACTTGTAGCGTGCTCGGATCTTCCTTCTGTTCCGCCAGCGTCTTCTTCACTTTGGATGGTCTGAGGACGTGTGTATATGTACCATTGCCGCTGTGGAAGGGCGGGTAACGGCTGTGGGGGGTTTTCTGTCGTCGGAGGAGTGATGTGATTTCGGTGTTGATGCGAGCAGTTGTGGCATCAGGATCTTCGGGAGAATCTACGTGTGGCGAGGTCTGTACCGGCGTACCGTTTTGGTGACGCAAATTGCGGACGTGATCAACGGAGGAATGTCTTGCTGATATGGTCGCATCCGGGGTGGGTGGAGCAGAATCCTTATGCTGTTACATCTGGTTAGCGCTGACTATTGCACAGAGTGAGCTTGACACACCTGTGGACGTACCTGTCCCACCATAGTGTACACGGTACCTCCGGCACTATAGTCGCCAACCCAGCACTCCCTTTGTGATGTTGTTTTTAATTGTGTTTTCGAAGTCAGGTCGGACGCCGCAAAGTCGCAGGGCAGGAGCGGGAGGTTGTTATCGATAAGGAGACGCGCTAGGAAAGAGACGCCAAGCCAAGTCGGTCTACGCGTCAATGGTGACATCACCGCGAGTCCTATTAGTGACTTGAGGAAATGGATTTTACGATCATCGTAGAAGGTCGTCTGCACTCGGCGTCATGGATTGCGGCAATGTAACCATCGGAATTTGCAATTGCCTTGTTTATAACCTGATGTGCATGTGCACGCCTCCTTATCCGCCTGGATAAAGATAGGGCCATGGCCAGTCGACAGAGCATGCTGTTAAGACCTTTCCGTTCAGCGACATCAATTAGATCTCTGAAATTCAGACCTCGACCGTTGACTCCAAGCAACCGGCTCTCTCTCCAAATTCAAACACACCTTTCTGGCACGATTCGCGCTCGCTCAACCATGGAGACTATCAGAACCACTGTCGCAGAGAACTTGGGAAAGGTCATTCCCGGCAATGCCCTCGCGCCAGAGGATGGCAAATTCTCCCTCGACCAAGTCCCGGATCTCTCGGGAAAGGTAGCTGTAGTAACAGGCGGATCGGAGGGAATTGGCTACGGCATTACACACACACTCCTCTCACACAACATCTCCAAGTTATTCATTCTTTCTCCGTCAGAGGATATCGCATCAGACGCTATCAATGCGATCAAAGAGGAGCTGGGTGAAGGAGTCGCCAACAGGGTGGAGTGGCTACACTGCGACTTGACCGACTGGGAGGAAACGAGCAAGGTGGCCTTCCAGATAGCTGAAAAGACGGACAGGTTGGACATCCTCATCAATAATGCCGGAAGGGGTATCATGGCACACACCCTTGATAGAAACGGAGTCGACCGCCACATGTCCGTCAATCACTTCGGCCCAGTGATTCTGACGAGCCACCTTCTCCCCAAGCTCAAGGAGACTGCAAACAAGGGCGACAAGGTCCGCATCGTATTGCTGGCATCCAACGCCCACCAGAATGCACCGAAGGACACCAAGTTCGAGAGCTTGGAGGAGTTGAACAGAGATGACGGACCACAAGGAAATTACGGCCGAACTAAGTTGGCGGCCATCCTCTATGCCAAATATCTGGCACGGCATCTTACATCCAAGTACCCGAACATTCTGGTCAATGCCACGCATCCCGGCGTGGTTGAGACGAGGCAGTCGACCGAGCATATCCACGACGCATATCCGCGAGGGGGATACGGAGTCTCTCATGTACTGAATCCCTTCAAGAAGGACCAGTTTGAAGGCGCTGTCTCCACCATGTTTGCCGCGACGACCACAGGCAAAAGTGGTCAATACATATGCCCACCTGCCATCGTCGAGAAAGGATCGGATCTGGCAAATGATGATGGGCTTGGGGAGAGACTCATGGATCTGACATGGAAGGTCGTGAAGGAGAGGACGAAGTCTTTGAGCGCCGACAAGGGATGTCCGTTCAAGGAGGCGTGAGACGTGTTGAAGTTGTAATGCTCTACTCTAGACTTGGACAAATATTTTGAAAGCGAATATCATGTAAATATAGTAATCCTGATATTAATATGTGTGCATATCGTTGTAGAAGAGAAGCCGACGTGCAATGTAGCTGGTCGTCCTCTGCTATGTCCACTAGTGCCTTGGCATCAAAGCTTCGGAGGTACGCACACCTAGTCTGCCTATCCTGGGGCAAGCTCCACTAGGACAACACCACAACACCTCGCTCTCATTCCCGTAACTAGGCCTTCGCTTCCTCTTATTGCCTCCTCTGCGCACTTTCTAGCTGTCATATATCTGTTTTGCCAGACTCTGCCACAAGCACTCAATCAATATGGTACGCGGCTTGAACACCCGCTGGAGCTTCACCTCACTGACCTCGCCAGTTCATAGCACGCAGCGAATATGGTGAGCAGTCCCTACGCCTGATTTTTTGCATATTGCTAACATAAGTCACTTAGACCGCGGCATCAAGTTCGTGATCTCCTACCCTCCCGCTCTACCGTCTCAAACTCACCTCCCACAGCACCTTCTCTCCCGAAGGCCGTCTCTTTCAAGTCGAATACTCCCTAGAAGCCATCAAGCTCGGATCAACAGCAATCGGTGTTGCCACAGGCGAGGGTGTCATTCTAGGTGTTGAGAAGCGCGTCACCTCCACCCTCCTCGAGACCAGCTCCGTCGAGAAGATCGTCGAAATCGACCGCCACATTGGATGCGCCATGTCCGGACTGCAGGCCGACGCGCGGAGCATGGTAGAGCACGCTCGCGTGGAATCTCAGAACCATGCTTTTCATTATAATGAGCCGCTACGAGTCGAAAGCTGCACACAGGCGATATGCGATCTGGCGCTGAGGTTTGGCGAGGGCGCAGAGGGAGAGGAGAGCATCATGTCAAGACCGTTCGGTGTGGCACTCTTGATTGCGGGATATGACGAGGACGGCCCGAGCCTGTGCGTCTTTGACTTTCTTTTGGACATAACTTAGGAATGGCAGCGCTGATATGTCCAGTTACCATGCCGAACCCTCCGGCACGTTCTACCGGTACGATGCCAAAGCCATCGGTTCCGGTTCCGAGGGCGCCCAAGCCGAGCTCCAAAACGAGTTCCACAAGTCGCTCACGCTAGCCGAAGCTGAAGTGCTGGTCCTCAAGACACTCAAGCAGGTCATGGAGGAGAAGTTGGATAGCAAGAATGTGCAGTTGGCGAGTGTAACAAAGGAGAAGGGCTTTAGGATCTATACGGATGAGGAGATGGAGGAGGTAGTGGGCAGGCTACCGACGAACTAGTGCTCTAGGGTTGGCTTTGAGACCAGAGTCAAGAAAGCGTCTTGAGCAGGAATGAAAAGGTATTTGAGCGGACACGGAGTGACAAACATAGATCAACATCTACGCTCTCTCCAGCAGCGATGCACCAGTAACCAGACGGATCTGTCAATACAAGACGAAACAATTGTCCTCCAATGGAGGACGCAGAAGATATGTGATCCAATGACACCTAATTCAATCATGAAGAAATCTGCTCAAGTTTTTGAATCATGTACTGTGTACATTTGATGATGCTATCCATAGTTGTCGTAGTTATTTCCGTCCTCTGATTGGCCGCTCACACCGCCAAGCCCTGCATCCAGCGACCTCTCCCGCCATTTCCAAGCTTCCCGAGCACCTCAGCGCAAACCTCACCACCGGCTTCCTCCCACGAACAGCGCCCCATCACATCCTTCACAATGTCGCTAAGAGCTTCGTCCCTCACCGGCCAGCACGCGCCCCCGCAATTCGGCCGCACTCCTACCTCTATCGTAAGAACCCCCGCGAAAACCCCGATGACGGATGGAATGGAGAAGAAGTGGATGAGGGGCCATTGAACAGTCGGAAGCGGATGGAAGCGGATGAAGTGGGCAGAGTTGATGGACAATCGGCTGACGAGGATGTAGTCTTCCAGGGGCGCGCCGTATGCGGCTTATAAGAGTCCTTTTGCACCTGCGTAGGTCATTCCTTTTCCCCGAGGTTGATATCTGGTTCAGTATCAAAGGGGCCGGCGACGACGTTTGTGCTATGGAATGCATGGAAAGGGTGGAAATATTGATTGGGAAGCGTGGAAGAAGCACAACTGGGATGACTGGTGGATTGGAGAGGAGAGGATTGCGCATTGCGGCATGACGGAGAGAGGTCGATGGAATAAGGCTAACGCGTACATGCAGATACAAGACTGCGCCCCACTGGCACGGCATCACGCTCAAGACTGCTGTGAAATAGTACGTCGGCACATATTTCCTTTTCGAACCGAGGAACATCGTCTACACCTCCTCCCCAACCGTTCACTTATCCCTCCTCCTCGAATCCCAACTACCCCCCCAGACCATATCTCACAACCCTACTGACACATCTCCAGTGGCACCCTCCTCGGCGGCTTCGGCGGCGTCGCCGGCATCTTCGCCCTCTTCTTCTTCGCCGAGGTGCCTCGCGTGCGGGACGACATCATCCTCAAGATCCCGTTCCTGGAGCCGTTCTTCAAGAAGGAGATTGCGCCCGAGGATAACCCGTTCTAAGCGGAAAACGAGGCTTTTGTGGGAAAAGTGAGTTATGGTTGGGGTTCGCATGGGGAAGATGTATCAGTACATAGATGGAGAAAGGGGAGGAGGATGCGGTGTATAGTACGAGAGCGTGCGAGGTATGAATAGATTTTCTCCTGCATAGCAAGTGTCACTGTCTTGTTTTCCTAGATGCGCATTTGGGGTGAAGCTAAACCCCCCGTGCAGTTGCGAGTTCTCAATCGTATAACAGGTCCACACTCTTCTCATCCGTTCCTCATACCTGCCTCTCTATTCTCTTTGTTACTTTCTCCTTGTCTCTTGCACCACCTCCCTCGAGGTCTTTTCCCAGATAGCTGCTAATAAACACATGGAGAAGTGCGGAGGAAGTTTAGTGTGACGTGACGTGAAATCCTTGATAGATGGCAGATGAAAGATGATGCCGGAGTTAAACCAATGAAATTGACTAGTAGGATTTATACCATCAATATACTTGACCTACAGTACGTAACAAGACCTGAGACTTCAGTCAAGAAAAATCTAGCCAACAAAACCTGAGATGGTTTGTCGTTAGCCGTTGATATCACGCTCATCATTCTTTCCGCCATGGACTTTAAAGATGACCAGTATCAAGGAGGAACAATATATTCCCCACAAAGGTATGCGTCTTTATTCAAGGCTGACAGGCTCTACTCATCCGATTGACCCAATGCGACCCATATGTACCCATCCTCTCCCATTCCCCGTTACCCAGACACCCATCCACGCAACCAAACCCATATATACCCGCCCATAACCATAACCCAAACCCAAAACAATAGTCCTTCCCAAAACGCCCATTATGCACTCCACTCCACACTTCCCCTTCCTCCATCTCCAACCCCCTAGACCCTAAACGCTCAACCGATCCAAACTCAACCGGTCCACACTCCTCTCCCTCCTCACCAACCCCAACTTGTAAAACCGTTCCTCCCCACCCGCCGTCCGCCCGCCAATGTACCACTTCTCCCCGCCCAGCACCTCTCTGAACCTCCCGGCGCCACCGCTACCACCACCGCTACCGCCGCCATCGCTCGAACTATCGCTCCCGCGCCGATCGCGCGGTCGCCCTGGGATCGAAATCGCCGCCGGATGAGGATGAGCATGGTGGAAACCCGGGGTCTTTGGATTCCCGCCGCTGCTGGCGCCGCCGACGAGCGGAGTCGTGGTATGCGCCGGGGACGTCGAGCGCGTGTACGTCGGGGGCGTGTGTTGGCGCGACGGGTGGAACGAGTGGTGCTGTGTATGCTGTCGAGCGTGGTGGTGGTGATGGGTATGATGCGTATGGTGGTGATGTCCTCCTCCTCCTGCTCCACGATGATGGGCGTGACCCGTGGTAGTATTAGCAGCGGTAGTGGAGGTAGTACTACCCTGCACGGCCGCCGTCGTAGGTCCCGGAGACGGCGACAGACTCCTCGCCTTCGTCGCTGCTATCGTCGTTCTTCCCGGCGGCGGTGCCGAGGTGCTTACTTGCTGCGACGCCGCCGCCGCCGCTGCCGCCGCCGATGCTGTTGCTGCTCCTGGCGCTGCGCCGGCGGCGGTCGCGGCGGCTTTCTGGATGGAGGCGCTCTGGGCGCGGAAGGCGGCGAGGAAGTTGGAGAAGAAGGGCGTGTTGGAGGTCATGGTCGCGGGATTCGCGGGATCTGTAGTAGAGGACGGGTTTGTTGGCGAGAGCGAGGGAGAAGAGGGCGAGCCGAGGGGGGAGGCATGCATGAAACGTTGTGGTGGGAACCGTAGATCTAGGGCGCAACGGGAGGTGAGTGGATACTATAGCATTGCTGTGTATAGATGGAGGTGTGCGGAGTCCCGGCGGTTGATGGCTCCGGTTTCTCGCGATCGCATTACCGCGCGTGTGACGTAGGACGAGGGTGGGGGATGGTTCAACGGAAAATCTGATTCTGACCTGTTCAGCACGCCGGTCTGCGGGGTATTTACCACGAGGCCTACTTACATACTACTACTGTACGGAGTATGTACCTATGTACCTATACCCTCCAATAGGTGCCGCGAGCCTTGTAGGTTTTAGGAATAGTCGTCCATAATGAACTCAGCTACAATCCTCGAAAGAAGAAACATGTGTTCGTCCTTCGAGGTATGCATGTCGGCTTGCATCGCATCACCAACGCCCAATTCACAGCGCCACCATGCACGCAAGCTTGCACAGTCAACACCTCCCACGTTTTGTCCCGCCCACATCCACGTCTGCAGCCCTCGGTTTTCCTTTTGCCCGCTTAGAACCGTGTTCTCGGCATCTGCTGGACAGTTCGTTCTCATATCGTTATTTGAAAAGCAGATATGCTCGTGATATCATGCGGAACAGGGACATCCATATCCCACTCAACTCCGCTTTTCCCTGCCCATTATTCAGACATGTGTTGGCCAAGTGTGATCAGTGCCGTCCCGAATAACTCCATGGCCCATGACCAACTGGATGATAGAAAGGTTCCCTGCTCGTCTCATAACTTACATAAACCCAGCCCAACTACACTCCAAACACGCCCTCTGGCGCACTGGCAATAAGCCCCCCTTCGCCTGCACTGCTCAACCTCGCACACAGGCTCAAAAACACCACCGTCTCCGTCGCCGCTAGGTAATTCAGCGTGTCGAGTAGGATCTTGAGGTGTCGCGCAAAGTTCTCTTCGTACTTGCCCAGCATGTCAAACATCTTGTCCACCCGCTGTGGATCATAGACATAGAGCTGGGCGCCTGCTTTCGAGTGTCGTTGAGAAGCACCTGACGGCTTCGTACCCTGGCCAGACTGCGCGTTTTGGGCGGCGTACTTGGCGTTGACTTGGGCGCAGAGGTCGGGGTCGGCTACGACCAGGTGACGGGAAAGAGACTGGGAGAAGGTAGCGAACATGTTACAGGTGCCGATGATCTTGTTGTTGATCTGCCCTTGTCGTTAGCGAATGATTTCTCTCAGATTCCCTGTAGAGACTGCGGACGTACACGAAGCGTCTTGGAGTTGGTTAGCATGCACTCCTTCAAGCAGGTATCCAGGAAGTCGATGTGATCTTGCATCAGTTCGTCCACTGTCCTCTTCACCTGCGATGCGCTGCCATGTTCCGCTTCTCCTTTGCCCTTCCCTTCCTCCTTGCCCTCGGCATTGAGCCTGGACATAAAGGAGGCCCAGTTGGGTTCTATCACCTCTGCCGTGCAGTAGTAAAGCAACTGCTGAACAAACACCAGCATGCGTGCCCGCAAGGTCCACGCTTTCCGTTTCCAGAGCTCGATTCGAGGATTCTTGGATCGGTGCTTCCACGCTCCATGCTTCCCCTGCTCGCCCCAGCACTCTACCAGATTGGTCTCGAGGTGCCTCAAGCTTAAGAGGTATCGGAAGAGCAGCTGGTATCGCGTCATCGTCACTCTGCTGACGACGAGGGACAGAGGGAAAGGCATGGCGTAATCGAAAACCAAGGACTGAAACCCCGTAATATTGCTGTCGTCTGTCACTGGTGCGGTCGTAGCCGCGGGAGTAATGTAGTTGGTGATGGATGCACTGTTGGCCTGGTCTTGATCCAGACCAGTGATGACAACAATCTTCATCAGCCAGTTTGTGAGTCCAACATCGTTAATGTCGACCTTGACGTCTTCCTTAAATGGGTCCTCTGCAGCGACCGAACCGGGTTGGCGGAGAACGATGTCCAGCAAAGATTGCAGCTTTCCGATATTAACGTGCTTAGCTGGTTTCTTAAGCTCAGACGCCCCCAGCTCCAGGAAATAGGAGAAGAAGTCCGACCGATCGAGGAAGAAATAATGTTTGAGAGAACGAAGTCGCGCTGGTAGCGCATGCGTAGTGAGGAGGAGGTTCAAGAGCGAGGAATTCGCATACGCATAGGCTGAATTCACATTGTCCAGGAATCTGGGATCATCGAAACTGGTCGGTACATCTTGGACCGTCTTACTTATGTCCACACCACCGCATTCTCGGACAACATTCAGATATTTGCCCGCCAGAAGCACCTTGTCCTTTACACTTTCCAGCTGTGGCGGTACAAGTGCATCTCGAATGGTATATCGCTTTTCCCAATACTCGTCGGTATAGTCCTGGTCAAGTCTCTCTCGCTTTATGCTCTTCTGTTCCTTTATCAGGAACTCGGCGTGGGGATCTCGTATGCTCCCGTGATGCAGCCACTCATTCAGCATAGCCATATATGGCCGGCTTGCCTCCCGCAGAAGCGTCGTGAGAAGTGTTCGCGCAGCTGGATCCCCGGACATGGAGGCAAGTCGCTTCGTGATGAGTCCCAGCACACTGCCTCCTTTGCATATCTTCTTGACAGCTAGCTGGACATTGCCTCCTGCTTGCAATGACTCCAGGATATTGTCGATATTATCCTCTTCCTCTCCTGAGTCTTCGGAGTCCTCGTCCACAAGAACCCCGTTAGCTTTGAGCAACTCGATACCGGTAACGTACAGCTGGAATAGCATGTGGCTGGTCGGTTTGGTGTGAAGATTCAGAACGTGAAGGGTAAAGGAAGGGTTGGTTAGCAGCTGGTGCTCGAGCTGTGCTATCAGAATCAAATAGTCTTTTAACAACCGCCGTACAGAAGCACATAAAGCATGGTTTACGGCACCATATTCCTCCCTACACAGCACCTCGACCCAAGCCTCCACTGCAATATAGTGAGTCGCCATTTTCAGCATAGACTTGGTCAGGTCCCGTAGGCTCGGGTCTAGGCCAGGTAGTATCCGGAACTGAGGGCCCACGAGCCGTTCCTTCTCTTCATGCGGGTTGTATGATTCTACGAAGCGGATATACTGTCCTTCAAACCCCATAAACACGAACATGAGGTCTTCAATGATGGCCAATTCTTGGGCTTCGAGCGACATTTGGGCTAGGGGCGGCGGTTGGAGGGCATTGGGAGCTGTAGACGCAAGTGGGGGTATGGATATCCGGGTTGCAAGCGGAGCAGTGGTATGCGGGACGAGAATGGCCTGGGGTTCCCACGGTGCTATTCAGGTCAGCCATTGCTGAGTTTTACGGTTCCATTCTTGCTTTAAATAGTTGAAAAACGCTGTAACATACCCTGAGGTTCCTCTGAAGAGCTACGGGCTGCGGCCACACCTCCAGGTGTTCTCTCGGCAGCCCGAGAGGCCTTCTCCGTCCGACTCCTCGCATTGCCACGCGGTTCAGACGTACGTTTGAGAGGGCTGCGTGCCCTCCGAATTGTTACCTCCTTTTCTCGAATTTCCTTCCGTTCCACCCGTCTCTCACCGCTGCCACCAGTAGCGGATTGTTTCCTAGTGTGTGTGGTGGCCGAGCTGTGACGCTCTTGCTCCCCGCTCATGTCGTTCGGGGCCACGCGGGGCCGTGTTGAGGAAGCAAGATGGTGGGCAGCTGCGGTCCGCCGCTCAGCCGTAGACGAAGATCTGGGGTTCGGCGGGTTGCGCGAGGACATGGTTGTCACGCTCCATATGGATCGGATTAGGTTATAGTCGCATGTTTTCCCGGATTGTGGAGTTCTGAAAATAAACACTTCCCTCCGCGTCGTCGCGTCGAAGTCGCGACGCATGTCATGTCTTGGCACGCTGGGCTGTGGAGTACCGGTCACTGCGTAACTTCAGTCACTGACATCTAACCGGAGGTTGGGGATGTAGACGCGAATTAGGATAGAGTGAGCTGTGAGAACATTTAGACTGCTCGTTCGTCTATGCTGGAAACCAGTGGCGACAATAAAAATGCTCCCGAACTCCAGCCATGCAATCAGGATCAATGCGAGCAACTAAACCTCATATCCTCCTCCCCTATATTCATCCCCAAATAGCCTCCCAGCATCTAAACAATATGACGGGCCGCTTCTGCCATTGCTGGCTGCCTCACTTCCCCAGCAAACCAGTACAGCATCTAAGATATTTCCCACGACGCCTTCCATGGCACCGAGCGCGCCCCAACCGATAGCGGCGCTGATCAAACCCACCACGTATGCATATAAGCTTCCTTTGTATGGTACTGTTCCGTCCCCAAGCTGAAGCATTCTTGCTGTCGAAACCCACCCGCCAAAACCAAGCCCGATGGAAATTACCCAGCGTATGGCATGCAGAAAGAGTTTGGCTAGACGGTAGGAAACCAGTGAAGGCGCGGAGCCAGCTTTGGAGAAAGAGCGTGGTCCCAAAGTGGTGGTCGGCGAGTTCACCGAAACGAGCCTCAGGTTTGACAAGCCTTGTGCCGCAGGAGAGAGCGGGATGCCATGGATGGATGCATAAGTAAGGGTGAGGGGGTTCGTGAGAGCGGCGATCGGGGTGGGCATGATGTTGTATGCGCACATGCTGATGAGGTTGGAGATCCGGCGAGGAAGGACAATGAGTGGTAGTCGTACGAGCAGAGATAAAAGGGTCGAGAGGCAGATAGTGCCGGCCATGGTTGTCACTGCGTGCCTGGCGGATTCTTGAACCACTAACCGAGCAGCGGGAGTAGGTATGGCGTTTCGATGAAAGTACCATTGGGACACGGCCGCTGCTGTTGTCGCGCGTTGTACTCCAGAGATGACGGCCAGGACCCAGAAATAGTCCAAGAAGAAGGCGACTCCAAGCCACCAAGTGCTGAGATCAATGATGAAGCGTGACCCAGACTTTGAAAAATGCCCTCCGAGGAACAAGTGTACGAACATGCCCATCCAAGCCCACGACCAGAGTACGACGCTGGAGAGTGTAGCAATGCCGACTAGTATGAGGGGAGGTTGCGCCTTCAGAATGGTGCCTGAGAACTCGAGCATGTCAGCCGCCCTACTGACAGAATGGCGCCCTTTCCACACGGTGGTGACCCAGAATCCTGTCAGTATGAGTGGGCCAATTGACAACCAGCGCATGGCCTTATCTTGAACGCTGTTGCCATGCCAGTAACCCTTATAACTGGAAATAAGTGGGTACAAGAAGAATGAAGTAGATATGACGGGCACGCAGACCACAATGAGGACAAGTAGATACCGCACGAACGAGCGCAAAAGAGACAACCACAATAGGCCGACCAGGATGGAGACAAGCGAATAGACACCGATCAGACGGAATGATGCGTGCAGAACAGTGTAAATTGTGTCGCCGAGCGGGTGTTTCTTGTCCGGGGCTGTCTCTTGAAAGATGGAGATAACGAAGACCCCGATAATGGCACATTGGGCGATGATGAACAGTTCAGCCCAAAATAAATTGTTCTTCAGAGATGTTGTGGGCGTGACCATCGCCTCCGCCTGGGATGCGGTCTCGCGATCCATACCCATTCCCATTGGATGCGGTTGTTGCAATAGGGTGTCCTCGTCGGTTTCCTCTGGAATGGGCAATTGCGACCTCAGTGGGCTTCGGAGCCGCTTGCCTTTGGGCTTGCTTCTGAGCTGTTGGAAGGATGGTGGCCGATCGTCGGTGTTTGCCAGTACATCATCCCTTTCGAAGCCCTCCACGCTGCCTCTGATCGTAGAGGCAAGTTCTACGTTAACAAGTTTATCCTTCCCCTTCCCGCTGGTCGTGCTCGTTTCTGAGAAAGGTATACTTTGATCCCTCTCGCTTTGGTCTCTTTGCGCATTTACCGTAGATCTGCCACGCGGCTCAGCCTTTTCCCCTTCCCAGGAGCTCCTAATCCCTCGACCTAAGCCATATCCCGGGCGTTCGCCGTCAACACTGCTACCATCCACAGTGCGGTCTGATCTTCGCTCTACGTCGTCATCTGCTTCTGAGGATTCGGTCAAATTACCGCCTCCGAACTGTCGTCGCGAACGCTGTAAAGCGTAGTGGTCCGCCATCTCACGATCGTGCTCTTCGTGGTCATCTTCTTCGCGAAAGTCGTCCGTCGCAGAGTAGAACAGCGGGGCTGGCGCGTTTGATGTACGAGAGGCGAAGGCAAACCGCGATATTGCCTGAGAGCCATAGGGGTTCTGCATGGCTCTTCGCTGTCGGTGCGCTGGTGTTGTCCTTGGTCGCGAAGACGGTTGGTACCTATCTGTGCCGTTGCGGGTGAAGGACATATCTGGTTGTCCGAGTGATAGTCGCGACTGCGACTGGGAGAGAAATCTGGAGGCATCTGTATGATGTGTCAGTCACGCGCTGGCAGAGACCGTGTGTTCACAGGTGGTACTCTGGCAGAGCAGCCTGTGATCACATGCGCCCGATAAGAGCACGGGAGCGGCTTACATTCAGAGAACATGATGGGTGAGGCGCGTGAGGGGACGCAGGTGTACTCGGGCAGCTTCCTGCTGCTGTTGCTGTCCTGAAAGAGGCGACCTGGCGGTGGTTGCGGTTGACTCAGGACCGGGCGTCAGCGGTGAGGCGGCAGGCAGCGCGGGATAACAATGACGCCAGACCCGAAGGCATGCAGAAGGGCGGTGGTGCTCGTTCTCGCCAGGCAGACTGTGAGACGGGTTCTATATCCGGTATCGAGTGTCGAGGTTGAGGTGAAGATTTTAGGGAAAACAGGTGTGCAGGAGGACAGAGGAGCAGCGTTGCGGGGAGATATGTATGAATGTAACTACACTGGCGGATCAAGGCCTGGCCTTGCCCGCAACAGGCAAGTTGTGATACTCCATGCCAAGGCGCTAACTCGTCTGGGATGAAGCTACTCTACATCGACTTCAAGTCGCTGACCGCGTCGTTGTGCCTGACTTGACCTTTACGTATGTGGTTCTGCCTCAATATTCAATTTGGAACTGGCATCCTTGAGACGATCTGATGTTGTTGACTCTTAAATGAGCACTCCCACAAGTACTTGATCGTATCAGCTGGAGATGATGCCTCTCCAGTAACCTCCCGCAATTTGACACGGTGAGGGCCTCTCTTAAGCTCATCTCGCGTTGACTCGGAGCCCTAGTTCTTGTGCGTCAGGTGTAGGGAGTCCTTCGCTTCTCGTTTCTTCCCTACTCTTTTTCTGTATGGCATGTGTTGGTGGGCCCTTGGATCCGATCGATGGAAATGAGGTATCAACAAAAGAACTCCGTGATTCTCACTATTGGGGTATCTAAAGAAGTGTCTCGCCAGATCAAGTCTTTGATGGGTTTCCCTCTACCCGAATGAACAGTAGCTACGCTCTTCCTGGTTTACAAGAGGATGTGTGAGCGAAACGCATTAGCATTTTTAAGTGGCATGCCCACCACATTTTACATGACGGTGCGCCACTACTCCAATCAGATGCTGGTACCAAGAAATCAACATCGCTTATTATTTATGATCATGGTGCAGAAGTGAAGAACTGTAGGATGTGTTTACAGTACGAATAACCCCTGCATGCCAAGAACAATGACAGCATCAGCCACACTCGACGGGGGTGCCACCAGCACAAGGACAGCGAAGCTATGTAGGTATACCTTCAGACACTTCAGACGCACCAAGCCTTCCACCGATACATCGACTCGTTTCCTCGCCTTGTCCTCGAATCCCGTGGTTTACCTAGCACTCCGCTCGCACCACGAATCAACCTTAAGCTCTGCCGAACTCTAGCGTCCCACCTCCGACCTCCACCCTTGCACCTCCTCCGCTCCTCCCTACTTAGGTACGCCGCTATCACCGGCATATACCAAATCCAAATGACTCAACCATGGGATTACATTGCGAAGATAGTGTCGTTAGGTGACTCCGGCTGCGGCAAGTCAAGTGTACGTCTCTCCAGATTATGTACTCCCTGCGATGGAGCTGATCGTCTGACCTCCGAGAACAGTTGACCATCCGCCTCTGCGAGGGCCGATTCTCCCCCCATCACGATGTGACCATCGGCGTCGAATTCGGCTCACGGATAGTGCCCGTCGGCCCTCCAGCTTCCCTCGCACTCAACATCAACAACCCCTCCAAGACTCCCGCGACGCCTCCAGCGCAGCCCTCCAAGCAGCAGCAGCAACAACAGCAGCAGCAGAAGCACATGAAACTGTCGTTATGGGATACGGCTGGCCAAGAAACATACAAGTCCATTACAAGGAGCTACTTCCGCGGCGCATCAGGCGCACTGCTGGTGTTCGATATCACGCGAAGGAATACTTTCCTCAGTGCAACGAGCTGGCTCAACGATCTCCGGCAAATCGCCGAGGAAGGCATAGTCGTCGTCTTGGTGGGAAACAAAAGCGATCTCGCGTCGGCATCCACCGTCTCCGATTCCAACGAAGAAAACAGGCGCCAAGTGACAAGAGAGGAGGCGGAGGCATGGTGCAAGGCAAATGGAGTGATGCAGTACGTCGAGACGTCGGCGAAGTCTGGAGAAGGCGTAGAGCGGGCTTTCCTTGAGGTGGCGGAGCGGATATACCAGAATATCGAGGCTGGCAAGTACGATCTCAACGACAGGAGATCTGGTGTCAAGGGCCCTGGAGCAGGAGGTGGGAATAGAAACGCCGTCAAGCTGGGTATGAATGATGCGGCAAGAGGCAAGAAACAGCAAGGTTGGGGCGGGTGTTGTTGAGTTCGACAGGGTGACGAGCCCATGTTATGTTCATGCTTGTGTTGAATCGTCAAGCTGCAGTGTTGATCATCGCTCGTGTAAGAGTATCTGGGCCTTGAGCGTGGGGTGCTTTGAAATACCGCATTCTGTGGCGTTATACCAGGGCTATAGCATGTTTAATATAATGGCACTACTGTTCTTCTGGATATAAACATTCCTACTGAGACCCCGGACTAGCGAATCCGAGATATGGATAGCAGGCGAACGCAGCCATCATTTGGGCATCTTGCAAAATGTATAGCAAATAGTCACAAGACTATATGAAACACCGACCTGTGATGCAAGTCGACCCGTTATTAGGTTTTGCTTGCCATAATAGTTGCACCCAAAGCAATCACTAGTCCCTGCGTAGGGAGGTGCGATGTGCGGGTTGTCGAGTTGAACCCTAAATACCCTGCATCGGTGACATCATCGCCCAAAACGGCATCCAGTCCATCCGTGAATGGAACTACCGACGCAGTTAGAGCCAGGCAACAACAGAGCCCAAACCCATCTTCAACGCAATCATATCTTTGAAGATTTCTCCTCCAAACACGAAACACTTCGATCACTAGCCTCTACCCCAAGAGCTAACGTTACCTTTACACCATAATGCCACCCATCCGCCTCCACAAAGACGACCCCATAAAACCCACCTCAGACACCACCTCCACCTCCACAGCAGCAGCAAAACCGCCCTCCGAATCGACCCCCCAAACCGCCAACCCCCCTCCCACACGCACCACCCCGTTCTCCCAGCCCGCCACAACCACAGCCTCAACATATAACCCATCGAACGACACAGCACCACCGCCGCCCCAACCAGGCGCCCGCCCCATCCCTCCAACATCCTCCCCTGAAGCCGCACAAGCACAAACGACCGGAACACCCTCACCACCTCAACCAGGCGCAATCCCAGGCCCAACACCAACAGCGACAGCAGGAGGTGGTCATGGAGACGGAGGCTACACAGCAACACACATCACGACTCTGACCCACGGCCCACCACCACAACTCGGCATCCCTCCGCCTACAGACTCGCAGCTCGCGGGCCGCTCGACCACGATCTCGACTACTGCCCGACAAAACAACGCTCCTGGACCAACAACAATTCCCCTCGGACCGGCTGGGTCTCCGTACCAACACGCGCATTCTGGCGGCGCTATCCCCTCGCAAACTGGTTCAACCGAACCACATCAAAGACCTAGCCTGGAGCATCCACCCGGATACATGCAAGCGCCGGACCACATTGGAGGAGGAAGAGGAACACCGGGATGGCAGCAGCAGGCCCAACATGAAGGTACTGGCAGTGATGAGTCGACCGGAAGTGGTGTGGGAGAAACTGCGTGGAATTTGTTGACGAGGGCTGGGGAGGCGTTGAAGAAGGGTGAGGAGGCGGCGTGGAAGGCTGTTAGGAACAAGTAGACATATGACGTCTCAAAGCCGAAAGGTATGACGTGGCGATGCTGTGGAACTCTCAGTTTTGAAGCAGAGACAGTGCACTAGATAGCAACACAAGTATTAAGAAAATCGACAAACATCTATTGACTATTTTCCCCGCATTCACCAAACGCAAACACCGGTGTACAGTTAAAAAACATGGAAAAACAAATGCAAGCCGGGATGACGATTTGTAGTACACGGGAAAAAGAGGCTGCCAGGCAAGGTAAAGTACAGGGTGGGTTACCACCTCCGTCGTGCTTTTCGTTACCTAGAGCAATCTTCTGCCCAAGCGGGCTTGGTATTGCTCCATGGAGTAATCCGCTATCACCGCGCCCCTCATCAACTGCACGCTACGCAACTATCACGCTCCACCACATGGTTCGAGAAAGGGGTATCGGAGGTAGGAGGGAGGCGCTTAACCAGATCCACCCTTGAACTTCTTGCCGAAGAGGATGAGCTGGACCTGGTCGTAGATGGAGAGCACACCGGCACCAGCAACACCACGAAGGATGTTGGCACCAGCACCCTTGAAGAGAGACTTGACACCCTCAGCGGCGATGATCTGGCGGGCGGCATCCATGGAGGATTTGTACTTGACGGCCTATTGTGGATTAGTATCTCATAGTACACAGGGAAATCGACTGTGTATCAACTTACCTCACCAGACGTCATCATCATGCGACGACGGATGGTGTCAAGAGGGTAGGAGGCGATACCGGCACCAGTGGTGACAGTCCAGCCGAGAGCGAAAGAGGCCAGGAAGTTACCCTCAAGAGGACCAACGAGAACAACGGGCTTGATGGAGTCGTACATGCCGAAGTACAGACCACGGTAGACGACTATACCAAGAACGGAGGGCATGAAACCACGGTAGAGACCGGCAATACCGTCGGAGGCGAGAGTCTTCTTGTAGACATCGACGAGACCGTTGAACTGACGCTCACCACCCTTCTTGGCGTTCTTCGCATCGTTGGCAAGACGGGTACGGGCGTAGTCGAGGGAGTAGACGAAGAGGAGGGAAGTGGCACCGGCAGCCTAGGAATAATTATCAGCCATGTGCGATCCAGAGTCTCCTTGATAGCACTTACACCACCGGAGGCCAGGTTGCCAGCCATCCACTTGGCATAACCATCACGGTCCTTCTTGAAGGCGAACATCGACTTGTAGGTGTCACGGAAAGCGAAGTTCAGGGCCTGGGTAGGGAAGTAACGGATGACGTTGGCAGTGTTACCTCTCCAGAGGGAAAGGACACCCTCGGCCTTGGAGGTACGGCTGAAGCAGTCAATGATACCATTGTACTTGCGGTCGAGACGGCCGGTCTTAAGCATTTCATCCTGTAAAGCATCGTGGTCAGCGCGACGTCGCGCATCTACGGATCGTGGAGAATCATACCTGGTTCTGGATGAGGAGCTTGACACGCTCGATGGGGGCGGCGGCGGTCTTCGAGACGGCGGCGGAAACACCACCCACTGTTGACAAGTGTTAGTGCTATCTCAAATAGAGAAACTAGTCCAATGTATCGATCTCAATCCGCGACTCAATGGCAATTGCGACCGAGGCGAATTGCGACGATATGGATGACGTACTCAAGAAGTCGACCACGAAGCCCTGTTCCAGGTTGTTAGCCTATGTTGCCAGAAATGCCTCAAAAAGACCTGTCCCCCAAACGCCAATTGATCGTTGCATCAGGACAGCGCAATCCATCTCTCTGCGACCCGCTGCATCCTCGCACCGACACGGGAGCGTTCGTCCGTTTGACTGAGATGGTTGCGCGCCTGATGGGAGATGGACTCTGGGTCGTCCGGGTTCGGTCCAGGGGGACGCCAAAGAAAGAGAGGTTAACGTACCGGCATCCCGAAGACGCTCTTATCCTGTTGTGAGGCCATCTTTTCTCAATTACCCGAAAACGAAATCCCGGACAATGAAGGAGTGGAGATGATGGAGAAGTTGTCGGTGGATGAGGGAGTTGGAGTTTATAAGACGTGAAGCAACTCTGCCTTGAAAATCTTTCTGCGCGCTTGGGCCAAGGCGCTAATTACATAAGGCGGATCGCCGGAGTCTACGGAGTATTGCCTCGGGGGACTGACGAACGACCTCAGATGGCACACGACAAGCGTCTACTACAAATCGGCCAGGAGCGGCAGGATCTAGCCTTTCTTTTGTGCTTGCCACATGCAACTTTGCACGTTCCATCAAGCCGAGAGGAAGAGAGCAGGCAGATTATTTGGTCGCGATCTCAGATGCTCTCCGACCCCTATTGACTGAGAGTCTCGGCGCCGCACGCGCGTTGCCGTAGCAGCAACGGATATCGCGATTTTGCAAGATCAGTGCTTACACTTTGCTCGATCCCACAAGGAAAAGAATACTCTGGGCTCTGTAAATGGCGTGCTGGAGGATAGCAATCAACTGATTTCTTTTGCAGCCTTCATTCCGCCAACTTGCATGGCAAGCCATTTTTCCCTCAACGCATCGGGAATTTTCGGAATCAGGGGGTGTGGCAGAGATAGCAGTTAGGAGTCGCTTTTGCCAGTACTCCGTAGTTACCAGACAGATCCATAACCTACAAGTACGACTAGTGGTGTATTACCGGATAGCCGACGCCACGCCTGCATGTACAGTTCTTGTAGGGTCGCGTGAAGGCCATTCTCTTAAAATAACAGTTGAGGGTAGATCTGCTATTGGCACACTGGTGGTGGAAGGCTGCAATGTGTTCGCCACTCGCGTCATTCACTTGCTGACCATGATGCCAAAACCCGTAGTCCGTACAACTTTCCATTCGTACATAATTAGCTATTATATCGGATGTATGTCTTCAATCACCGGCCGGTGATAGCATGCCATCCCCCATGCAATATATAAGTGAGAACCCTGGATGTATGTCTTCAACCACTCGCTGGTGGTAGCATGCCATCCCCTAAACCAAAAGCAACAAATGAACCAAATTGGATGTATGTCTTCAACTGACCAAAGCAGTAGCATATCATCCGTGAATGCAACCCAGAAAGCGCCATTAATCCCTGAGAGCACGTCTTCGACCGCAAATGCGATAGCATAGCCCTCTGCGTACCTATCTCATGAGATGCATGTCTTCAACCAGACTTAACTTTGCCTAGTAGCATTGCATCTTCCCTTCCTTCCCCGTCCTCTAGATTCTAGTAGACGTAGGGAATAATCCTGTACGGCACTAACTCGCAGTACCTCTCCCAATCCTTGCCGTACTTCTTCTTGCACTTCTCCTCATCCCTCCTCTCACGGTGCACCAGCAGGACGGCAAAGTACAGCATAAAAAAGTAGGTGAAGACCATGCCCCAACCCTTGGCCTCGCCCGGGACGACATATTTGCCGTATGAGTTGCGGAAAAAGACCGCATCCTTCTGGGTGGCAGTAATGGGATGCGTAGCCGTAGTTTGAATAACATATCCCGCCATGGCAGTAGGCAGAACGTATGACCAGCTCATAAGCCAGTCGCCAAGGTAATTGATGTGGCGGGCGCGTCCCCACCATCCGGTGATGAGGAGCTTGGATCCAGCAGCTGTTTCGATGTACTTCAGGTGCTTGATCCTGGGGTCGTTGGGGTTGGTGCGGAACCTATTCTTCTCGTTGTTGACGGAACGGAAAATGTAGTACCCGATGCCCTGAACTGCGAGAACCGCCGCAATGCCCCAGTATCCAAGCTCGACGGGATAGTTGGCTAGATACTTGGCCTGGATACTGTATGTGAAGGGGACCCAGACGAGGTCGCCGAACGCAAGCATAACACCGAACCCGTCGTTGATGATATCGATCGTAGTCAGGATCGCTGGCTCCATATAGAAAGCGTCCAGGACATAGACCGTCTGAGCAATGGTAATAAGCAGGATTGAGTCGGTGACCCTGCCAAAATTGCGATGCTGTTGCATGACGAACGCCAGGTCGAGAATGACCCACCCAAGAAGACCAGGGCGGAGCTCGTTCCAGGCTTTGATATCCACCTCACCGAAGATAGGGAGCTTGACCCGGGGATTCAGCTCGCGGCCAATAAACCAATCGTAGAGAACATTTCCAGTGGTACCCGGGATAGCCAGCTCGCGGTTATTGGGATCTTTGGGGTGTTTTACGGAGAAGGAAGCCAGATAGCAGTAAGTAGCCAGCGCATAAGCAATGAGAATGTTGGTAGTAAGCAAGGGAACATAATTGTCGGTGATGAAGGTCCACACCGGCCACTCAGCTCCCTCAACAAGCGTGCCAGCTGCCAGAATCGCGAACGTGAAAAGAGCGGAGCTGAAAGCTGGAATTCATTAGCATGGTATTCGATTATGATTGTTGCATCAGATATTTGCCTTACCGTTAAAGCGATACTTCAGTCTTCCACCGGTCCTGAGCTCGGTCCCCTCAGGCGTATCCGCAGGAAGGAACGCATAAAGCGCCAAATTCAGCAGATAATACGCAGTAGTGCCAACAACAGCGTTGGTGTTGAGGAGACCAGAAAATCCCGGCCACCCAACTTCCCGCTTCAATTGCTCCAAAGTTAACGTTGAGGGATGCAGAAGAGAAGGTGCAGGACAGCCGGAAATATCGTTACAGAAGAAGGTCAAAACATAACAGAAGAGAGGAAGCCCAAAGGAGATCAGGGCTGCACCCGGTCTGTAGGAAGGTTAGTCGCACACGGGGTAGTAGGAACACAAATGGTAGACATACGGGCCAAAGAATTCGTAGGCAGGCTTCTGTTGGGGCACAGAAGCTGCCCGTGATACCTGGCGTTTGGCAGCCATGCCCTCGAACCCTCTTCACGGAGCTGTTTCTCTAGGCGTCGAAAAGGGGCGGCCTGTTGACACACCTTCCAAGGAGTAATCTACCTGCACCGTGCAGCCTGCTTCAATCCGACAATTGGTGATGAAGAAGTGAAAAGAATGGTGCACGAAAAGGTCGAGAAGGTCTCCCTTATGAGGATCTTTGAATTGAGACGTCGTACCACTTCGCCATCACCGGAGCTCTCCATTCCGCAGTGGGCCCGTTCTCTTCCAAGATTCAGCCACATCGCCAAGCGGCACCATTCCCCTTCTGTCGCATCTGACGCGACGAGCCCCCATGCATCCTATCAACGAGATGTGCGGTTCGCGACGGACTCCGGCGCTCATTGTCGACAAGCTGGCCTTCTGATCAAAGTCTTCAAACCCTTCTTCCTTCATTGCTAGTTTAATTTCGTCCGCTCGTTTTGCACATCGGTTTACAACGTCATGCGGTTTGCCGTCCTGGTCGCGCTTTCGTCTTTTCTCTCCGTCCCCTCTGCCGCAGCGGATACGTCGAAACCATGGAAGCCTTGTACGGTTCGCTCACCCACGACTGATCGCTTCTTCGATCTGAATCCTATGCATCGGTCGCCGCCGGAAGAAGGCAAGAAGAAGAAGGATGCAGAGGAGGGGAGCTGGCATGCGCGGGGCCATGATTATGGTGCCAACTTCACATTGAACTTCTGTGGGCCTGTTGTAGAGGAACTGGAGCATGTCGAGGATCTGGATAAGAGTTTATGGAAGAACGTGAGCGCGTATTATGAGAAAGATGATAAGATATATGCGATTGGGTGAGTTCGCCATGCTGAGTGGCTATGTTTGTAGAGATTGACAAGGGCTATCTTCAGACTCGAAGCCTACGAGCCCATCTTCCGCGGTCGCAAACTTGTCCTCAACTACACCCACGGCTCCTTATGCCCTTCATCCTCGAAATCGCGCCGGGGGCTTCCCGAACCCGTCTCCCTGACCCAGCGGGAAATAGTCCAAGACGACGAGTACGAAGAAGAAGAAACGAATGACGGGTACAAAGCAGAGAGGAAGGACGACGACGACGAAGACGATGACAAGCCAAAAAAGAAGCCCCTCGACTCCGCCCACCGCAAAACGACCATAATATCCCTCCTCTGCGAAAAGGACCCTTTGGCCAAAACCTTCGTCTCCTTCGTCGCCGCCGTAGACGACTGCGTCTACTTCTTCGAAGGTCGCTCCCCCTACGCCTGCGGAGGCGTAGAAGCCGAAACCCAAGCACTGTCTCCTGGCGGCGTCTTCGGAGTCATCGTCGGCATCGCCGTGCTCGTCTATCTCGTAGGTGGATGCGTGTATCAGCGCACGGTCATGCATCAGCGCGGATGGAGACAGTTGCCGAATTATAGCATGTGGTCAGGAATTGCGGGATTTGGAAGGGTGAGACCGCCTAAACTTCCTTGATTGTTCATTTCTTTTCTTCTTAGCTGTGGACGTTGCTAAAGTCCGCGCAGGACCTATTCATCATTTTGACGTCTTCGTGTGCGCGGTTTTTGCCGTCGCGGAGAGGTTATAGCCGCGTTTCGTTGGGCCAGGATGGCGGGAGGAGGGGGAGGAATAGTGATGACGAGAATCGGTTGATAGATAACCTGGACGAGGAGTGGGATGATTAGGAATTACCCTTGTTGTATTATGAATCCAGCATTTCGGCATCGATGGCGTTTGGGATCGGATCTGAGCGCGGAATTCGCAATGGTTTTTGGATTTGGACAACAAGGCGATTGTCATGGCTCACGAGCATAATATCGCGAGGTCAACCAAATGAAGTCTTTCTTTCCTTCAGAGTTATTCCATTTCCCACTGTTGGTGGTCCTAACTGGCTCTAGGAACTCGGAAACCACTAACCGCTATCCAAAGTGTGACCTTCGAAAATACAGAAATATCTCCTCCCAGTCCTGCTAACACATGCAATGATAATGAATGCTGTGTGCAAAGAACCACCCCAAAGTAGTATAATACATGAAACAAGAGAAGAAGATATTCAAAGGGAAAATGGTCGCTGAATAAGAACCTGTTGAGCGCAGATACCAGTTGAAAAAGCAGCAACTGCGTCATCCTTCCCAAGTGTTCGTGTTGTAAGCTTCCACGGAGCCGTGGTCGATCCTGCTTATAGTTCCAGCTGAGACTCTTCCTGGTTGTCGTCATGACTAATGCCACTGGTGCCATGAAGCTGCTGAATTTGCTCTGGTATTGGAGTCTGTTGCTGCATTGGACTCTGTTCCTGCACCGGAGTGCTCGGAGCCGCTTGCTCTGCTGAGAATGGTTGCCCGTTGGCGGCACTTGGCGGCTGTTCATCGACGTCCATCTGTTCCCGGATACCGCTACTAGGGTCAGTATCAGCACCATCACTTGGTCCTGTTTGAGCCTCCCCGGCAGATTCTTCCGTGTCGACGAAAGTGCCATCAAGAACAGCCCTAAACCTCTCATCCAACCCCATCAAGATCTGCTTGATTTCGCCCCTCAACGCCCGCTCCTCTTTCGACATTACCTGCGCCTGATCGATCTTCACGCCACCAAGCACGTTTAAGTAGTCGTGACGCATGGCAACGAAAATGCTATCAGCCTTGTCCTCCATAACCTTTTGCAGGCTCTTGCACATAAGGTTCAGGTGATTTCGTACGGATTCTACGGCTTCCCTGAACATGTGGTGCCGGGCTTGCTCGATGTGATTGGCCATGTGTGCTTTCATGCGCCTAAAGCATCCCGTACCTGGTCAAATTGACGTTAGGTCTTATTGGAATTTGAGAAGTGCTGTTGGAGACGTACCTGATTCGGCAGTGCAGATATCGTATGCTGCGCGCATTGCGGAAACAATCACGGGAGTAAAGTCCCTGTTGGCATCCCTTTGTAGCTCCGTCATCGAGGTGAATAGGACGTTGTAAAGCTCGTTGAACAGCTGTTCGTAGGTGTAGATTTGCGTCTTCAACATAGCAAGGTTTGCCAAACCCACTCCATTTTCTCTCGCTCGTTCCTCCACTGTATCATGGAAACGGCGCAATATCGTGTTTGAGTCCCTGATATACAGCTCAAACGCCTTCGGTAGGCGGGTCTGGAACGTCCTTTCCCAACCAGTCGCAAGTTTCTTCGTGATAGGTTCGACGAGCTCAGCATTGAAGTCTCGAGGTCCAGCGGCGCCTGAATAGACTCCGTCGCGTCGTACTGTTGCCTTGTAAGTCGGATAGAACAGACCTCCGTCGTTTCTATGGGCGCCCCAACCGGCTGCGGTATTGGGGGCTGCATTGATGGCCTCCTCAATGACTTCGGGAGATTTGTCGAATATCTGATGTTCAATGTCCTTTTTGACCATTTTGATGCAAGCCTCGACAGCTTTCTCCAGGCCCTATGTTCGGGTATCAGCAATGCTCCTAACCTGGGAACGAATGAACAACTGGAAGCACTCACCTTTTCAAGTTCCGTTAGACGCCAATTCAAATACTTTACCTGCGCCTTCTTCTCCTCATCACTAAGCTTGAGGCCCGATCCTTCATCAGTCGCCCATATCGAAAAAGTATTCAGGAGCTGGATCAGGCTGAGCAGAAATGCTCTACAGCTCTGTATCCTTCCAGCTTCGGTCAACTTTTTGCAGTGAGCCTGCAGTTGTGGTATCTCAGTCTCCTCGAGCGTCTTGAAACCAGGAACAGAGCCATCTTTCTTAAAACGACCACACAGCTTCTGATATGCTCGGCTGCTGACGCAGAATACAGGCAACGACTTTGCAACTTCATCATAGTCACGTATGTCGACATCAGGGTCAAAGTTCTCTTCATCTTCTTCCGCGGCATTCTCCATGTCGATCTCCTTGATACCTGCGGCAAAGTCCTGTTGAATTGCGCTTTTGGAGTATTGATTCCGCCCGGCTATGCAGATGGCATTGATTTCCGCCTGGACATTAGCAAGCTTCTTTTCGACTTCTTCGAGTTCTTTGACAGTGTCCTTTATCTGCTGTTGAAGTTGATTGCGCTGACGGCGTGCATTGTTCTTCGTGTCCCTCAATTCCTCGAGTTTGTCTTCAATTTCCTGCGAGGTCAGTGGTCTACGTGGAGGCTCTGAGCTTTCCGAGTCAGAATCGGAATCTGTATCGGAGTTTGTCTTGGACCAATCGTCGGGAACAATGAAGCCGTCGTCGGAGTCGTAACCGCTGCGTGGACGCTTCCGAGATTCGAGAGACGGTGACTTCCTCTTCCTCTTACTCCTATTCTCGACCGGGGCAAAAACAGTTTCGCCCTTGATCAGCTGGTCCCTCAGCTTGTCCCACGCTTCCATCGCGTCGACAGCGCTTTCATAGGCCTCGCCGTAGACAGCCTTGGATTCCTTAAGATCCTTTATCTTTCTTTCCAGAGTCTCCACTCCTAGGTTGTGCTTACGCTCTTCATCGCGCAATCCTGAAATCTGGTCTTCTAGCCCTAAGCTCTCCTCGGCCTCCGTCACCGATATGTCGTCAGTTTTGGAGCAGATAAAAGTCACACTCGAGAAACCGCCGTCGTACTTGAGTTGTCGTTTGAAAGAGTCTCCGAGCAGGGTTTTAGCAGCTTTATCATCCACTGCGCGATTGATGGGTGCAACAATCCAGAGGCCAGTGCATTGCTTCATATAGCCCTGAGCCACTGCACTTCGAGCGGCATTGGAATCGTGGACACCGGGAAGGTCGACAATCACGGCTCCTGTAGACAGAGCCGGCGACTTGGTGTAGATTTTCACGACCTTGATCAAAGGCCAGTACTCCATGCCTGCCTGTAAGTTCTTTTCTCTACTGCCTTTTCCTGTGGCCTTCTCTTTACTGTCAACATAACGCTGCAGTTCGCTATAAAACGGCTTCGGGTCGGATTCTCTGATTCTTTTGGTGGTACCTAAAACTTTCTGCACCGATCGATCGGCCATGAGCTTCTCCACTGTGTAGTCTGCCAGCATATTCTGTGTTATTCTCGGGTATACTGCATGAAACTTCGCCCAGGCGACTCCCGCCTCAGAGTTCTGATCGCTAATTTCTCTGAGGACTTTGCCTTCTTCGTTGAGGAACTCTTTGAGCAGAACACTGAGTTCCTTTTCCCAATCAGCATGGTTGATAAATTCGATTTCCGCACGATATTTCTCGGTGGGATCGTTGCTGTTATTCCATGAAAGCTCTGTTACAACAGCGGTGCATGCACGCATGCAATTTGTCGGGACCAGGCGCTCTTCATCAAGCATAGCATTGATGACGCTGCTCTTTCCAGCTCCGGTGTTTCCTACCACGCCGACTACCGTTTTCTTTCGCTCAGCCTGCGATCTGAGTTTATCAATGGCGTTCATCCAGGTTCTCGCTTCTTCATTATTTCCATGCTTTGAGAATGTGTCTTTAAGAGCGTCCAGCACTTTCCTGGCATGAGTTACGCCTGTCTCAAGTAGCTCTGGATTCTGTTCTTCGATAAGTGTCCGAATGCAGTCAAATGCCGGTCTTTCTTCGATGCCCGTACGCATTTGTGATTCAGAATCTTCAGCAAACACATCCGACGGATCGAAGGCCGGTTGAGAATCAGCCGGTTGGGAATCAGGGTCCATGGTTGGAGCTGAAACCAGCGGGTCTTCTTCAGGTTCGGCCGTGGGATGAGACGGCATTGGGAGAGGAGAGAGTCTGTGCTCATTCATGATATCGGGGCGGGGTGCGCTTCCCAGCGGGGACGTCATGGGAGGCATTACATCATATCCGCTGAACGGCGCAGTTACCGGAGAGGTAGAAGCAATGGAGGCAGCGAGAGAGTTCACCGACGGTGACAGCATCGAGGTGTGTGGTAAGCTCGGATGGTCGTTCGTGGAGGACGGATGTACGGCAGAGGTTCGAAGAGGCGAGAATGGCGCAGTCTTATAGGTTGGTGTAGCCATTGCAGCTGTCATCCGCACAATGGACCCTGATCTCTTCTGTGGCGTGTTCAACAAGGTGAGAGACGGTTGCTTGGCTGCTGTTGAAGTCGCCGAACTATCTTGAACTGCCTGTGACGGCAGCTGACGATTGATGATGGGCTGCAACGGTACCCGTGTGGACCTTTCGACGGCTTGAAGAATGACTAAGTTGTCATTGAATTCATTTAGCTCTTTCATTTTGGTAGAAGGCGTCAACACCTCACGCGCCTTAAGCTCAAAGTCCACACCAGGGTTTTTCAGGGAGTATTGCGCAGCAGTTTGGGCGATGGTAATTTTCTGTTAAATCAGCGGGCTGACAGGTCAGGGATCCTGGAGCGCAGACTTACAGAATGACCTAGTATCCAGAGAAAGTCGCTCTCCCGTAATTCCTGTTCGGGAGAATGCGTATGCCTTAACACGCCGATCCAGTAACGTCTTTCGGGAAGCGGTTGCTTGGGACATGCTAGGCGTCCTTTCTGGTGCAATAAGGTCCAATCCATTGTGGCGGCAGTGTTGCTGCATGCCGCAGCCAGTGTCTGTGGATTTTGTCTCAGATGTTGTATCTCTCTCTGTGTAGTGTATTGTCGGACAGGTCTTGTATCGATCCTATTTACAGAACAACACTCCGAGGGGGATGTAGTTCGAGGGCGTCTGACGCTTGTCTGTAATCGAAACTGGGTGTTAGCTATCTTGACATTAGACAAGCGGGAACTGGCCAACGACTTGAGCAAACGAAAGTGAAGTGTGGTGTTGATGCCAAGAATCCTGCGCGTACACACAGACGCGCCTGCCACGCGACGACGCGAGATGCTAACCGTTCACGGATAGCGTGAATTGCAGCACCATGCTACCCCTATTGGGAGAATTCTGCGCTGGCAAACTATTCTCGCCTTGCAGCCATGACACTGTAATGTCTCTACATTGTTCAGACATTATGTTATGAGACGTTCGGCACGCCAGAAACATGGCAGCTAGTCGTTCAACCCTTTCCTTTGTTTGACTGTCTTTTATTGGACACTGCGGCAAGAGGAAGAGGACATAGTCTTACAATGCGATAATGGGGAGTTCCGCTATCTATTTCTGTTCTTTGTTTGCTGAGAGCTATTTGGCACAATGGTATTGTCTTCTGAGACCCTCCCCAAATTTTATACTCGACCACTTGGTCCGCATATTCTCAATTCCCTCGTTTTCTTCGCATTTCCCCACTCACGATGGCATCTCACTCGGGGACAACACTGAAGGGACCGATACTCTTAGTCTCTACCGCAAACAGGAACGACCGATTTCATCTCCTGAACGACCCTTCGATCCCTAAACCAGATATTGACACCGCCATTCATCCCATCTTCCGCGCATCGAACTTTGCCAATGCCAGCCCCCGAATCTATCGAAATCTCCAGCAAGCACTCCGGCTGGCCTCTACATTCCTCAAGTACGACTCCGTATTAGAATGGTTTGTGGCCCCTCTGATGGGACTTCCATTAGTCGACCTGCATAGCAGGAAGACCTACTTATCAGACCCCCTAGCGTACACAACAAAAGCGGAGAGACGAAAACTCATTGGCAGGGTACGACGAGCACTCCAATGCCTCTCTCACTCGGTACAGTTCCAGTTCCTCACAAACTCGGATGTCAAGTTCTACGCTCGCACGACGTTTCGCGAGGCCCGACCTGTCCACAAAGCTACCTGCACACAGCACTTCAGGTCGCCAAGGTCTGTTTTGATCGAACTGCGGAAGCAATATTACGACTTCCTCCACAACCATTATGAGTCCAGCGACCCCTGCGAGGTTCTGCGCCACGACTTCTGTCTGGGAGTGGCGCTAGTCCACGAAATCTGTCACGCGGTAGGTGTAATGCGTCGCAACAATCTCAGCGAGCCATGTATTCGGCTCGATCATCTTGACCAACCCGAGTTCGGCTACGCTTGGGAGAACTTCATGTTCGGGGGGATCATTAATCCCTTTGATCAAGTTTCTAGCACTGTTTCCTTTCTCATGCGGAAAGTTTGGTCCGACGACAAGACTGCCTATGCGGCTGGAGGTAAGGAGTGGTCTACCGTTCCCATGTCTTATATAGCCCAGTGGTTTCAAAAGCGGACCTGGGAGATCGTAGCATTGCGTGGACCAACTGCGATTCCTCCGCCTATTGTGCGCGTCAAATTGCGGGTCCTTCCGAGTCACTATTTGGTCATGAGCGACGACCCAAATGCGCTCTCTGACGTCCATGCCCTGAAAAAGAAGCTGATCCAATGGTATGCCGCAGGCGGACGATACCCAGGGGCCGTCGTCTCCATCCTAACAGCAAAGCTCCAGCGAACAGATACCGCAGAACTGCAACGTTATCTTCTTAAAGCCCCAACGCGTATGAACTATGCAGTCCACATCCCAAAGGACATCCGCGTGTCCGGTAAACCATCCATTGTCAAAAGCGAAATCATGATAAGATCCTACAGCAACCCTCTGCCCACCTCGCCACCTCCCATCCCCATCGATCCCAGAATCATACGCTTGGAGACGCCGTTGAAGCGGCGGACAGATAGTGATGAAGAAGGGCAGGCCCGGTCAAGTAGGGAAGCAGGCTCCGTTGAGCGTAGCAGCAAGCGTCTGAAGGTTTCAGCCCTGGCGTAACGGTAGGCGGCAGTAAGCACCACAATTTCCTTCGTTGAAAATTCTTGGTCCCCCGACATTGCATTTCAGCGTTGCATATAGCATACATGGTAGAATAATCGATTTGCATGTGGTTGTTACTGTATCATCCCTTGTCTCCTTGCAAAGATTTTCGGCCCCGCCTCCTTTCTTCTGCAGAGCATTTTGTCTCCGCCCTGCGCATTCTCTTTCATCCCCAACATAGTTTTCTTCACCGACTATCGTCAAAGACAGTCTCATATGTAGATCGCCATACCATTAACTCTACCACGGTGTTGCTGCCGCTTTGGAGCGTTCGAATTATTTTTAGTTGCCGTCGTACAACCTCACGGTCGTTGCGATTACGGTCGATGATTTCTGCAGCGTCCCGGCCCGGCTTACTTTTCTACATGCAGAGTGCCACTCGTACGCCTTGTTCTGGTTATTGGAACGCCTAATGATGCAATTTGTTATATCTTTGCATTATTAAATGATTTCAGGAAACGGAGCGAAATTGAATCCTGCATGTGCATTGTGACAGACGAAGCTGAACTGCCGGCGCCCAACTACTGCACTTGTCGAAGGAATTATTATAGTTCCCAAAAACTTGGGTAAGGCATTCTTCGCAATGGCTCTTGATGTATGATTATGTATTGGAGGGCTTGGCTTATTAGCTCCGCTCCCAAGGATCTAGAAGTTTTATTTTCCGTGTATAGCGGGGACGGAAGGGTGGGAAGGACTCGAAGGAGAAATGAAGCGATATTGATCCTGGAAGTTGTACCAAGGTGCAGGCGCGCGCTCTGTATACACGGCACAGTAGCAGAAGAGGAAATGTTTAGCGAACGATCCGTAAGCGCGCGTGTAGCTAAGTTAACGGATCGTGCCGATGCAATGATTGTGGTTGGTTTGGACAGCCGTGTGTTCAAAGAAAAGGTCAGTATTAGGGGATTTGTCTATTGTCGCTGATTCGAACAGTACCAACCCTTTTGAAGCAAGCAACGTGCCTTGAACCGTTTCTACCATCTATAATATAAGATGTATCAATAAAAAATCGCAACCGTGTTTACATGGTGGGTGTTCCCTATACGACGGAGGATATTTTGAAGCTTCCAACCGATCAGTTGCGGTGGCTGTCACCTACTTCAATGACTTGCATATTACGGCAAGCAACCACAGGACTCAAGTGAGCCTCATCCTCAGCGTGGATCCACGTATGTCATCCTTCAGCATCCCCCTTCCCACCCCTGCACACTCACATCAACACAGTACCAGACTCCATTATTTCATCGCTCCCGCGCTCGGCAACGAGAAACGCTTACATCGTAATACCCACGCTAATCTACCCCTAGCGTTCCTCCCCAACCGTGCATGCCCAAGGCTGACTGCCGCCCCCACTCGCTCGCGCACGCCCAAGTGCGCCTCGTCGGATAGCGTGCATCATGGGCGAGGAGGATGGGTGGAAGGGTTGGTTCTTGACATTGTCGGTCCGAAAAGCGAAGGAATACAAACGTGGAAACCGAATGCGAAGGTGTTTACGGTTTGGCTGAGGCAAGGAAGAGATCAATGACAGATCTTGAGAAAAACAGATATACGGCATATTGTAGATTCCACAATTCGTGATATTCTAGTTATACAAATCCAACAGAATGATTCCCACAAGTCCAATATCGTCCTGTCTAAAACTCCAAACCTAGCTTCTTCAACAACGCGGCAAGGGTATCAAAACATTCGAACTGAAAACAATGCGTGAAACTAGGTGAAGCAATGCAGTCAAAGCAATCCGCAATCATCACAAGAGTTGTCTTATTCTCCCTAATCCTGCACATCAATCCATTACGCAACCCCTCAACGCCTCGAATTATTCCACCTAGCCTCCAACTCCCTCGCCCTAGCCGCAGCCTCACTTCTCCTTCTCGCGCTCATCTCCGCCTGGCTCTGCGCATAATTCGGCAACTCATCATCCTCCGCCTCGTCATCCTCGCTCATGCCCAGCCTCTCCAGTTCAAGGTTAATCGGGTTTACAGAACCGCGGCGAGGTGAGGTGCGTACTGCAGGGCTTGGAGATAGTGACGAAGTGTGTGGACGTGCAGGCACGTAATCGTAACCCATTCGCTGCCAGCCAGTGGATCCTGAGCGCGTCGTCGAGGAGTCCTGGGTGGGGAGAGGTATCCGATCTGCCTGTCTCCCTCGAGAAAACAGTGAACCTTGGAGATAGGGAGGGCTGGCCGGTGAGAATGAAGAGAAATCCATGCTTCCGTCCGGGAGACCGCAAGTAGCTTCTACAAAGAGGTGCACTTCCGATGCGTCATGGAATGGTTCGTTGGAGTCGGTGGGGGAGAGCCATGTGTGAGGTCGTTGGGACTGGTGTGTAGTTGTTGTGGGAGTAGTAGTTTCGGCGTACTGGGTAAGATGTGAAGACGGTTCTTGTTGTGCTAGATATGATTGTCTCTGATAGGGGTCCGAATAGTTCCCTGCTGCTGAACTGGTGCGGGCCATGGAGGGCGTCTGTTCCGGGTAGCGCGAGCCTAGAGGCGAACTAGGCATGCTTCGAGAGGACTGGTAATAGGGAGGATCCTGATATTGATTTGGTGATAGGTGTGAACCGGCGGAGGAAGCACGTTGACGCTGAGAAGGTTCCAGGTTAAGGTGAGAAGATGATGGGTCCGCTTGTTGCTCCGCTGGCCTACGTTGGATTAGAGAGCGAAGGGACATGGGCGTGCGCTTCTTCTTAGCAGCATAGGACGGCGGTAGAGGTTTGTTGGCAGGTTCGGTAGTACATATTGCTGGGACCGTGGAAAGCCTTACAGGGGATAGTGATCGATGGGTACGGTGCCGGGTGGATGTTGCTTGGTAGGCTGTCTGCTGGTCAGGATCTCGTATTCGCTCCTGCTCCTGCCTGGCGCTCCTAGATATGGAGAACCAGAGATCATCATTCTTGGTCTTCTTGGCCCCAGAGTCGGATGGCGCCATGGCGTCCTTCTCTTCTTGTGCTAAACTTCTTTCTAATTCCCAAAACAAGAAGCTTGAAGAAACTAGAGTGATTGTTGGAGAGAAGGACTTCTTCTGCTCATAGTCGTGCAGCGTCGGTGGGGTCAGCAACTGGGTCCCTAGTGGCATTCTAGCTGCTAGTCTTGCTGAGGTGGCGTTCACCGAAGCTGGGCACGCTTCCGTAGTTCGAGGAGCGATTCAGGCAAGTATAACAATTTATAGCGGCAAGGCTGGATGAGAATCCAAGCTGGCTGGAAACGGATCCTCCCGTTTGCTCCTCGTGCGAGCAAGTCGATATCCAAACGAGGTTGGGCAGCTCGTGTGGTCTAAGATGGACCCGGGGATGGGATACTGCCGATATCCAAGGATGTGGTGTTCGAGATGTGGTGTTCGAGATGTGGGTTGGGAAGGGTGTGCGTGAGGTTATTAAACTGACCAGCTGAGCGGCGCAGCGTGGGGCAAAGGTGGCAGGTTTGCAGAAGGCGAACCTGGTGTCAACTTGGGAAGTATAAGGGAGATATGTGTGTGGTTCTCGAGCATGGGCTAATACTGTGTAAGGCAGAACAAAGAGCCACCAACCAAAGTGGGCGACAAAGAGGGAAAGCAAGCGCCCGGCGGAGATTATGACAAGACTGCGCCTGGTACTTACAGTGTCCCTGTGCTGGCATGAAGGATTGATGAGGGTCCCTAAGGAGTTGGTCCTAACACAGTAAGTAGTGAGTGAGGCAGTTGCGGTTTGCCCCTGTGGCCGTGCCATATCCGCAGGAGATGCATATCTGACAGTACTCGCCCTGCAATTCTTCAAAGCGAATTCCTTAACCTTTGACCCAGAAAGACCAAGGGGCCTGCCGACTCCACAGTAGACGAAGAATCCCAGCTGCCTCGTTCGCAGGGGATAGGACAGCCTTCCAACGGGATTTGCGACTACCGCGATATGCCTCGACCTACCGAGAGAAGAAAGAAGGCGAAGTTGCCCTGTTGGTGAACCATGGCAACCATTTGGTGTTGATGGCAGTCAAGGCGTGCACTGCCCCGGGTGCCAAAATTAGAAACGCCCTAATACTTGAAATGGTAAGGCGTGCCGCTCTCGCCGAGGCGCTTGGAACCCTTGCTCGGTCACTTCACTCCTTCGGTCTCTCGTTGTCACTGCGCGGAAGCGTGCCAGGAATCGGATTGCTGCCAACGTCCGGAGTATTCCACTGTCTCTTCAGATTCAACGGCATGGTATTCAGGATTGCGAGCAGATATGCTAATCTCGCCCCTTGGACAAGAAGGCCAACTTCGCCTGTAGCAACCGCGCGCTACAGTCAGATGAGGCACAGGCATGGTTCCGATGAAGCGCTTACCGTTGGCTATGTATAAGGCTGACTCCCGTTGGTGCACTTCATACCTATCCAATTCTGTAAGGCGTCCGCTTCGTCAAAGTCTCGTTCTAGGTCGAAGTCCGGGCCGACTCGTGCGAAGGATTGCTCACTGATAGGAATGTTTACCACAATAAGGAGGAAAACATGCTCCAGAACCTGAAACGTCATCGCCGTCCTCGTGAAGAAATCAAGTCACAAAACCTGACTAAAAGGGGCGCCTTTTGAACAATCACCATGAGCCCATAATATCCAAAGACGAACTCCTACCTTGAATATGGACCCTTCCATCATCCGGGGCACCTCACGCCTCCCTTTCGGGCCCATTGAATAGTTGTCATGGAAGATTTGAATGTCGGATCACTTTGGTCTTCTACCGCTTCATCCACGTTATCATCTTCGCCGATCTGCGTTGCCGATGCGCAAGATGCGACTTGAATACCAGACTCATTCTCCGATGAAGCGAAGGGAACACTAACAGACCATTGGAACCCTTCGTTGCCGACCTCCTTCATATATATCGTCCAGAATCGAATAGCCTGGTAGCAGGATCCTCTGGGACACGCCGCAACGTGTCAGAACAACATATCCTATCATTTACAGTATGGAAGGCACATGTTGCGGGTCTGAAGCGCATATTGTAGTATCGGTGGAGTCCCCGCATTTTTAGAGAGGAGTTTGTATTGCATTAAGTGTCTGTAATGTCGCCGGCATCATATGAGATCAACGCCAATGCCATTCACTGCTTAGCAGCAGCCAAATGCAAAGTCTTGAGTATTGCTCGATGTCGTAGCACACCGGCATGCATCTCGCCGCTCGCATGACATTATTAGTGGCTCTGGGTAAGACCTCACGCATGACATGATGGTATGGTAACAATGTCCTCTAAAGTTCGTTCTCCGAAGTGCAGATGAAAAGTGTTCTGCAACGCGGTTGCTGAGTTGATCGAGTGAAACCTACCACATTTGTATCCGTATTCCTCAAGGAGAAGGAAACCCTTGGAAGGTATGTCGTCGGTTCCTGGTAGGCAGGGAGGTTTGTTTTAGCCGTGCGATAATTGGCAGCCACTCCACTGTTGCTGCCACATGGGATGCCAGATCAACAACCGGTTGACGAAGGTGTGTACACATTAGCAACAAATCCAACGCCTCCGTCCGAGACACCATCCTTCATTCCATTGGGCACAAGCATACTGCCACCCCGGTATCATGATCAATTCTAGCCGTCCCCCTCAGTTGAACGCGAATCAACAAGGAGCTCCGTCAGAGCCAATGGGCCAACCGACCCAGCCTCCAGTCGCAAACCTGGATTTCCTAAGCGAAGCCAAAGATGCTGCCGCCAATACGGGGCTAAGGCAGGAAATCATTTGTACGACCCCCCTTGATCATAGTATCATGGCGAAGAAAGACCGCTAAGAGGATTATAGCTTTTGCCCGCTATCTCTACGGTGTAGAATATCCCAATGCTCATACTTTCGGCGTTCACTACGTACCTGAACCATACGTACCACAAGCCCAAGCTCCAACGCGTAACTATCACACGCACCTTGTCGCCTAGACGGCGCCGGGCTCATTCTCCTCACATCATCTCATCCTTTGTGTATCCACGGATTCACAGCATAAATCTCTAATGGCATTGTTAAGTATTCTTCGGGACCTTTATATGGGCGGAGACTGTGAGTTCATCCAGTCCGAGTACGGAGGCGCTCTTTTAACGGCTGGTGCAGGTCTCGATCCTAAAGCTTCGGCGGTTATTGTATCTCCGGAGTGGCCTCCCATAAACTTCGCGAAAGACCGGTGCCTTTGTCGGCTCCCGATTAATGATCCAAACCCTTCCGGAATTTAGGCGGAGCTGCCGCCAGTTAGGAACTGCGTAGCAACTCGTAAGATTTGCTTCGATGCAAAGGCGCTATGGACTACAGTCTGCATTCGGTACGTTCGTGAGTCATGGGAACCAGCTTCCATTGATACTGTGGTTGTACTTACGATAAACGAGACAGTCGTAGCTAGGGAAATGCGCCCAGTGAGATCCCACTTACTTCGCTGTGCCTAGCTTTAGTGTTGTGGGAATCTCTAGCTGGTTCTCGGAAAGAATCATCATGTGAGCTGTTTCCTCGGTAAAGACGGAGTAGCGGAAGTGACTAGATAATCACGTACAGTTGTCCACAGACAGTGCTTCAAATGTGTGTTTGAAAACTTCATATCGCGGAAGAGCAATCAATGCTGACATCAACCCACACAAATTGTTTGCGCTATGGCATTGCACACCCTGCATTACGAACCAAAATATTTGCATGATCGGAAGATAGGATGAAGGTCCGTCCTACATTGAGAAACCACGCGATGATACTACGGGCATGTTTCCGATTTGCGAACGTCTGCGCCGTTGTGCATGAAATCCGCTTTTTTCTCATGTTCACCGATATTACCTTCATGATGGTGAAGGAGGAGACTTTGAGTGCCAAAGTGAAGGTGGAAAGCCCAATTGCGAAGGTGAAAGTGGAAAATCTTCGCTTTTAAGGGCCCGGGTCGTTACCCTCCGATCTCTCCCCTCCCTCTACCTCTTCCATCGACGAAGCTCCCACCAACCAAACCCTCAAGAAACCACAAGACTCAATATGCCGCACGGGAATCTGATCGGCAGGAAGAAAGCATTCCTAAAGGAGCTTGAACTGCAAGTTAGGCTCAAAGACCAGATCATCTGTTAGTGTTCCTGAGAGATTTGTCGGGATATTCTAGCTTACGGAACTGAAAAGCTCGCGGTCGTGCGATCTACGGCCGTTGCGTGCCTTCCGGCCACACTTTCGACGTTTTCGTGCAGGAGACTACTCCAGACCGCAACAGGCAACCAAGTGCTCGGGCTGTTCTGGTTGTCTACACTTCATCGGGATCGTTCCCTACCGGCAAGATTCTGCACGAATATAGCGCTATGGAAGAATACCGTTCGGAAGTCGTCCGAGGCATGGGTCTTTCTGCGTTGACTGGACTGCTCGAAGAACTCTCCAAGATGGAGTGAGATCCCACGGGTATGTTTGAACGAAACTTTCATCAAACCAAACTAATTCTCTCTTCCAGTGGCTCGATCTTGAGCGCTTCTTAGCCGACGGCACGCAAAGTCGCGTCGCGTTCGAACTGGGGAGTATAACCATAATGCACCGGAATTGAGGCAGGTCTAGCCTGGGTGTGTGCATCGGCAAATGGTCAATGTTCTGGCTACGGGTGGATTGGTAGAGACTTTGACATGGGAGCATACATGGCGGTCTCGGACTCATAGTGACATCTTGTAGTGGACGGGAGTCCATTAGTCTCGAGAAAATGGATATTATCTGGCATCAGGCAACCCTCCGTGAAAGCTACAGGCTATGCTTGCAAGATGATAGCGTGTAGTTAAGGTGAGATTCGCAAGCTGATTCGTAATTGTGCCTACCGTAAGCGGCAGTCAGTGAAGGATGCGAGTTACTTACTTCCTGGTGCCTTCTTCACGCCGACAGTAATTGCGGCATCCCTAGATCTGAAGCAATTATTGAACTGGAAAAACTCTGTAACCTCTAAGTGTCCCATTGACTACTTCAAATATAAGCAGTCAGACAACAGTACTACTAACAGAACGGCGGGCCTGTAGAAGCTGACCTCCTCACTTCTTTGCTTCTCAGCTCAACGGAACTGACGTCGACTTTCTGGGAGGCTGAATTTCTTCCACGCAATGCTGTATCCTGCGTAGAGACGTCTTTTGGAGACGCTGAAGCTAAAATCTAGGCTTAAGCAAGAGATCATCGGTATGCTAATGCTTTTTGTATTCTTGGAGTAGCGGCTAACTGGACTTCACAGCTGACGGACCTGCCATCATCACTGGCTACGGGCACACCTGCGACGTTATTGTGAGCCCAGAGAAACATCCTGTTCTCAATCTGGTCGTAACCGGGCAATTTTCATCGCCTATTGGGGAAGACAAGGAGATTTTCAAGACGCAACTCGTCTGTATCAACAATAAACCTCCTACAACATTCCATACGACAATGGGATTACTGCTCTAATGGGCATCCTCAAGATTGTGATGGCGATCGGAAGTCATTCAAAGTTGTGATTCTTCTTTTTCCCCTTTCGGTGCGTTGGGTCTATGTTGATAATCGCCCAGTAGACCAGCCCTATGCGTACCACGACTAGCATCCATCTCCAACTCTTGGGCGGGAGTCTTAACGGTTGCGGAGTTGGAAACATGACGTTGGCGGATCTCTATAGATAGGCATACACAATGCCACGGAGTGGAAAGCACACGGATGAGAATGGTGCTGCTGCAGAACCATGGGCACTGTAGCTGCTATCAAGCTACTAGGGCGAACGCGCGGTGGTTGAATTAAGGTTAGCCTACTGCTCCAGATGGAAACAGTGAGCGGGCGCTAGTGGCTTAGTCATATCCTCTCCACACTCGTTGTACTCGAGCTCGCTCCCCGAGAACCACTAGTTGGCATGTAGTAGGGCGTGTACATTCCTCGAGTTGTTTTCTACTCACGTATCAAGCAGTATCGCACTCCGTTACAAATGCGATGAGCCTCAGAACCGCGATTGGCCGCGTATTCGTGAGATAATATTCACGCTGCGGCAATTCTCCAAATACGAGAGAACGTGCAGGGGAAGTCCCAGGGTCCTGGACACTGGGCTCCGCATTCCACATCGGCTTCTCGAAGTGCTGGCGAAGAAAACAAGTGTTTCAGGTGTGATTTAGAGAAAGACAATAGTCGACATGCCTATCGCCAGGACGTTTTCCTGTCGACAATGCTACTCCGTACATACTTCACACCAGCTTGACCATACTGGAGCGCTCACCTTCACCCCCGCCGGCTCGGTTCGAGACATCCAATCGGACGCCAACGACTCGACTCACAGACCGGCTGTTTCTGCACCTCTCCTCGACTACTCGAGGCTGCGAGACCAAAATGGTTAGAAAACGCTTAGAAAACGCCATCAATAATGATGCGTGACGATCCGTCGTTCCTGAAAGCTTGCCGCCCACGTGCGCTTCAAGAATGGTGCGTCTGAGAGTGCCCAGGTGCCTTCCGATTGCAATCTAAATAAGCCTGCAGGAGCAACCCGTGGCCGTGGGCCTCTTCATTTCTCTGCGCAGCCTGTCCTGGCTTCTGGGATCTGCACACTTTCCCAGTCCCTTCAACTCACACCGACGGTCTGGACGTTGAGAACTATGGGGCGTGTCGCGACTTTCCTGGTGGGCGCATTCGCGCAGCTCACAGCGCTGCAAAGCGCAGTCGCCGAGCCGATTGCTCCGACCCCAAGAGGAGCGCCTTCCGTCGACCTAGGCTACGCTGTCTACGAGGGATCCTATGATGCATCCTCTAAAGTCAACAGCTTCAAGGGGTACGCTTCGTTGCAAGCCTACGAGCATTGAATGCGCCCGTTGACACACGACATAGAATTCGATATGCGGCACCCCCACTTGGAAATCTTAGATGGGCTGCACCGCAAGCGCCAGCAACGAACAGATCCGCTACCATTCCCGCTACTGAATATCCGTCAGCTTGCCCTCAGACTGGCGCATCGTCCAAGACCCCTCCCCAGTACGGCTTCGTCTCTGGACCTGGCAATGAAGACTGTCTGTTTCTGAACGTGAGTCTGCAAAGTGTCCTTACTGGTACAATGGATTGATAATTGCATAGGTCTTTGCCCCTGCGGGCGCCAAAAACCTCCCAGTCTTCTTTTGGATTCGTAAGATGCTTTGCTTCACTCCAAGGTTACACGTGCTGATATATGTGCATCAGATGGAGGAGGCTATGGGCTATTCTCTTCGAAGGGTCTTGATCCGACCGAATTCATGTCCACTAATGGGAATGCGTTTGTCTCCGTCGTCATCCAATATCGCCTGGGCGCGTTTGGTTTCTTATCCGGAGAGGATATCAAACAAGACGGCGCGCTCAATGCAGGACTCCTTGATATGAATTTCGCATTGCAATGGGTCCAGCAGTATATCCAGAAATTCGGCGGGGACCCAACTCGCGTCACCATCGCAGGCGAATCAGCCGGCGGTGCTGCAGTCATGTATCAAGCCATGGCATACGGGGGCAAGCAAGACAAGACCTTGTTCAGCAATGTAGCCAAGCACCTCCCTCATTCACGCATCTGCTGACACTTCACAGATCATCACTGCAAGTCCATGGGTCCCTTATCAGTACAACTACGATGACGAGGTGCCGACCAAAGCCTATGATGACTTTGCGGAGGCTGCAGGATGTCAAGATGCAGACGATACACTGCAATGTCTTCGCGCCGCCGATACCGTGGTCCTGCAAAACGCCAGTGCCAAAGTGTCGGAAGCAGGTCCCTTTGGTACTTTCGCTTTTCTTCCGGTGACTGATGGGACTTTCGTCCAGAAGCGACCAACCGAGCAGCTCTTTGCGAAAGCTGTGAAAGGCAAACGCCTTCTCTCTTCGAACCTGGCCCACGAGGGTGTTCCCCTGAGTCCACCAACCGCCAAGACTCTGCAAGCCTTCCGTGACTACATCGACATCACCTTTCCCAACTTCTCCGACGCAGACAAGGCTGCACTGGAGAAGCAATACTCGTATGCAGGTGACGACAAAGATACCGATCCCTCGGCCCCACTCTTCGACACTACAGGTGTATCCGGCCCCACCGCCGTAAATCAATCCGTTCATGCCACCGGTCAACAACAGCGCGTATTCAACGTCTTCGCCGAGTACGCCTTTGATTGCCCGAGCTACTGGCTCGCCTCGGCCTTCCCACAGGCTTGGAAGTACCAATGGAGCGCTCCACCTTCTTACCACGGCTTCGACCTCAACGCACTCTGGTCCAAGGGCCAGAAGGCGCCTGGGCGGGATTTCATCCGTACTTTCCAGAAGATCTGGGGTAGCTTCATCACCACCAACAATCCCATTATCTCCATCTCGGACGCCAAAGGCTCCAAAAACAACGCAACCGTACCGGTTGGCCTGTTTGGCAAGATCAACTGGCCTCAATGGAACGACCGCAGCCCGACACTCCTTAGTCTGAACTTCACGGGTGGGGTGCCGCAATTCCACGACCCCACGGAGAATCTGAAGTACTACACATATACGGATCCCGGTGTGACCAACCAGCACAAGATTGCGGACGCGAGGAAGTGGGAAGGTGGTAGGGGGAATAGATGTGACTGGTGGAAGAGTCAAGCTTCTAAGGTGCCGTACTGAGGCACGGTTCCTGTTGTAACTTGTACAGTAAAGAAACGAGAACAAATAGACTTTCAGAGGTTTCAAGATTTCACGACAAGGTGTTCTGGATGGAACTGTGGTGAGAAGAGGTGCAGTTTGCAATGTGGCAAAGGAGGGTCTCGGACTTGCGGAGGACTGCATGGGTCTGGAATTGCCCCCCTCAACAAAGAGGAGAAACTCCAAACCTCTATCGCGTACCTACGTCCGCAACGAGAGTCGCACAGCTGTAAAGGACGCCCTATCTTCTGCCTATTTCCCTTTCGCCACATCCATCCTCCCAGGGAGAAAACGAGGAGCCCAACAAGTCCGCAAGCACCCAACTTCACAATCAATTCCAAATCACCCTCCATTTGACCCCTCCCCTTCCCCCCTCCTTCCGCATCAAGCAAATCTCCGCGACCTGCGACGCATGTTCGCTTACCCTTGTTCGATGGGACATTGCGCGAAGCAGCGTAATAATAATGCAGTATTTAGCCGATATGGCGATTGGGTTGTTGACGGAGAGGATGGATGGGTTGTTGGTGGAGTTTTGCAGAGTTTCCGAAGTCTGAAACTTGTTGTTGTTGTTGTTGTTGTTGTTGTTGTTGTTGTTGTTGTTGTTGGAGGAGGACGGAGGTTCGGTAGGATTTGAGGGATGGGATGAGGTTGAGAGACAATGGCATTGTGTCACTTGGGTACTCCGTACACCTGGGCAGTGGAAAGGTGGCTGCGGCGTGTTTGCGATCGGTACGGATGTGGCTGGCTGGCTGGCTGAGCTAGGCCTAATAAAGTCCCATCGTTCTATAGCACTCAATTGCTGTAGATATAACTGTCTTCGCTATCGATATACAGTAAACATGTTATATCCAACATGTACGGAGTATACGAGTTGCATCTCGTCCCACAAATAACGATGATTAATGTCCATATCCCATAATACAGTCCAACACCGAGTCATTGCCAAAGTGGATATCACAAACCAAGAAAAACGAACGCCGACGCCGATATACCGATTCCAACAATCCATAACCCTTTTTCCTGCGATTCCTATCGCCGTCCGTCATGCAAAGTCCTATAGAACAGTGGTCGTAAAGCGTAACGCGTATCTGGTTTTCTTTGAAGTGAGGGCGCTCTTCATTAGAGCGCCTGTATAGTGTGGGATTGCGCTTGTATTGTGGTGGCGCTATGGTCGGAAGTTCGGTGTGTGAGGTCCTGAGGAGGTCTTGATCATGAGTTGGTCCGGCGCCTGACCCTGGGTGAATACAGCCATCCCTGTGGTGGCCGTTAGGTGTGATGTAGAAACGCTGCCGTTGAAGATTGTGTTTCCTCATGGGCGTCTCCGGAAAGGTCGTTCCTCCATATGTCGTATGCGTTTCTTACCTCGGTGGCGAGCTCCTTCTCGTCCGTTCCAAGATCCAGAAGTTGCAGGAGGTGTTCGTGGGGTAGAGGGGCCTCTCGCGCTCCAACTCGTCCAGGACGAGAGCATACTGACACGTCGGTCGCGAAAGGAGGAGTCGAACCGTGGGGGAGTCCAGCGGTTGAACGTGGCCTGCTCTATTTCCTCCTCACCTCCCAGACAGTCTTCTTAACACCCTGCCCACTTCTCGGCGCACCCACCGCCTTCCCTGAGGCCAGAGGCTTCGGCGGTCCTTCACCCGCCTCCTCTCCAGCGCCCCGGGCGTCTTCACTACTCGAGCCGCCTGCCTCTCCCGGTCTTCTTTCCACCCTCGTCCAGTATTGCGGCGATCTCGGCGTTGCAGTCACGCTCGTATTCTCCTTCATGATCTCCGTCCCAAAAGCCGCCGACGCCGTCCCATCCTCGTTACCCAGAATCGTCCGCGCCTGGCTGTCGGTGCCAGAATGGTCGTAAGCGCTGAGGCCCAGCGACCGCGCGATGCGGCTCCGTCGTGATTCCCCGGACCCCGGTGTCGCCGTCGACGACGGGTGTGATTTGAAGATGGATGAACCGGGGAGGAGAGGTCTCCGCTTCCTCCACATGTGCCAGATAATGGGTAGGTTTGTGCAGAGGATGCCGCCGAGGGGCTCGAAGGCCGAGTACGCGCCGAGCGGGACGTAGTACCATGTGAAATCTGGATCTCCGTGGCCGAAGACGACGGTGAGACGGATGGCGGATACGACGCATGTTCTGATTGAGCGAATTGGATTAGCTATTTTTCACAGCAGAGAGGCAGTGTACGTACGCTAGTCCGGCCGAGAAGATTAGACCCAGCAGGAGCTTCTTCTTTCTCTGGAGTTGCAGGTGCCAAATGACCGGCCACGGCATGACGAAGATGATGAGATCGGTGATGAGATTCGAAATATTGGTGAAGTAGGTGAACTCGACCAAGTGCAGACATTTGCCCTTGACATTGCTGTCCCAAAATGCCTGGATGGGTTGGCACACGAGGGCCAGGGTGACGGTAATGCCGATTCCCCAGGCGATGACGAAGGCAATAACGGCCAGGACGCATTTCCGGAAGAGTGGTACGACGAAGACGCGGTAGTAGAATGTGAGGATGCCGAGTTTGACGAACACGAGTGCAAAGTCGTAGAAGTGGCTGAAGACGTAGTCACCCTGTCTCGACATTGGCATGTCTTCTTTCGATTTTTGATAGAGCGTACGGGCACTTACTAGTCTGACCATCTTCAAGTCCTCCGGGTCGACGGCGATGACGTGTCTTCCCATACCATGGGGTGGGCCTACACTTGTCAACTCTGGTTGAGAAATCGAACCTCGGAAACCGTACCGTAGCCCAAGCCGCTTGCACATTCTCCAATAAGACATATCTATCGAAAGTATGAGTATGAGCATGAAGATCCTTGGGTGGAGGCCGTCGAGCATACTGTTGCGAAGACGATCAAGTAATCATCCAGCGTGATGCCATTTCTCCCCGCACGCTTCGCCCATAACCGCAAGGCTGTGCTGATAATCGACGCCGCAATGGGTACACTATACACCCAGTGGATTTCCGCAACTCTGGAATCGTCCCTATGCGCTTCCATATACGCCAGTTGTTCTGGCGTGAACGCTGACATGACTCATGAGTGGAGGAGTCGAGGCTCCTGCTGTCGACTTCAACGCTGGAGACGTGTGTAAGGCTGAAGAGCTAACAGCTCTTCACATCGTTGCGGCAGATAACGAGTGGAGGAGGAGTAGTTGGGCTGGCGATGGAGCGAGGTTGCGAAACAGGAGCCTACTCTTTTATCACGCGCCAATAAAAACCACCTGCAACGCTCGTATGCCACAGACCTTGCTGGGAGGGGTAACCTGGTGTGTGAACGGCAATGTCCCGCAGTGGATATTGAGGGTCTGATTTATGGAGGATCGGCAGATCCTTAAAAAAGCATAGCCAACCCCGGGCGCCTCTTTTTAGCCTACGGCCCTCGTTCCCTTGGAGGTGGTTGGACCGAGCCGGCGATTCGTAACACATGCGACAATTTAATCAAGAGTGTCTGGAGCAGGCTGTGCACCGTCTCAAGACATTTGTGCGACAATCGGACGCCAAATGCGCGAACTGCTGTGGACGGGCTTGTATGACCGTTCAGCTGCTTCAAGTAGAGGATCCGCTTCGCCGAGCGTGCTGACGGTGAATTCTCAACTGGCCGATCGAGAGAATTGGGGGCCGTCCGACTTATGCGTTGTCCTCCGTGACATCTGCGCAATGCCCCGCTTGCATGGTAAGGCTGTTGAGAGCAAGCTCCGTGACACATTTGGAGCAACAAATGAGTGGTTCGTATTCACCCAGCGCGTACGGGTTTGGCGAATTGGCAACCGTTCGGAAACCCCCAAAACACGCAGCAATGAACGGATCGGCTCCAGCGGACTGCATGCAGCCCGGTCTCGTTCTGCTCGTGCTGACCTGTCATATCTTTTGCTGCATAGTGTTTGCTTTGTTCGCATCATTCCGCCCTATCGCTGAGACGGCGCGACATGCCAGATGGGCGCCTCCAGCGGATCCTCCCGGAAGATCGCATCTATTGACGGGATGGGATGCACAGATGCCACCTCCCTTCTTGGCATTACAACGGTGGAGGTGGCTTCCACGTTCCACAAGAAGCGGGAGTCAAAACGCGAAGCTTCCAGGGCGAGACCATAGTGGAGCCACGCGTCCATCTCGCAGACAGATGTATCCTTCATGTTGAATCTACATAGATAATGGCTTGCGTGTCTGAACGACTGTGCCATGCATAGGTCCGTTGCATGATCTATCCATTTAGTTTAACTTCCCGCCACGGTCCCGTTTAGTTCTGATTGCATCGATTGCAAGGGGATGTTTGTGTGCTGATTTTATCCTGCATTAATATTATTGGCATCCGTGGAAATAGCTTGGGTCGCTGGGTGTTTGCGTCTCCTGAATTTCAGCAGAGATTGAGCACAGATACGCCCAATCAAACAGCTTATAGAGGTCAAGTTTGAGTATCTTCCAAAATGAAGGCCAGCAGGCGTCGTCCCTGGTTCAATTTGAAAAGTTACTTTACAAATTTTTTAAGCGCCTCAAATTCAGAGTCTTGCGCAATGTCATTTGGGACGCCCTGTTCACTTGGAAATTGATTCTGAATCCCTTCAAAATAATAGAACGTATCCTGCTGCTATGCTTTCGCTGCGAAAGAAACAAGAGAATAAGCTATCGCACAGTGTAATTTCTCATGGAATTATTGATAATGATGGATTCTTCGAAACCCGTGAGGTTATTAATCGATAGGCTTTTGTACAAGGCGTCCATAAACTGCAAAGTCGGTTGCCCCATCCGACCTTGCTGATTTTATAGAGCATTGATGGGTGTTAATGGACCCTCCTTGCCGCGCCTCAGTACACTGCGCTCCAAGTATGTTCATCGTGAAAGCTGACGCGAGCTGAGATTAGCCCATTGGAATGCTTATGACAGACCGACAGCCCGGTCAAATTCCGAAAGAAGAACCCAGTCCATCCCACTCTTTTAGTTCATCATCGAAGTAGTGTCCAGGTTGCCTTCCACTGATCTTGAGGAAGTCTTTGGAAAGGAGAATGGAGACTCTCCTATTTGCGGTTAGCAAATTCGGAGATCTTGACGAACTGCTCCAGCGAAAGGTTCAGCCCCTCTTCCTCTTCCGCTTTATACTCAATGTAACGTTCAACAAGCGTCGCATCGACAGCGAGGAATGTCGCAGGGATTGGAATCTCCACAGAAGCGTTGGAAGAATTCTGAACACGTGCGAAATATTCCACCCGGGTTGGCGTGGAAGCTTCGTTGATCGATTTTAATGCATTGGATTCACCTGTTTCACTTGCTTAGTACGGCTTTCCGCTGGTATTATATTAGGGACTATACTTACCATTTTCTGTCCGGATGCCGTTGCTCTTAGTTTTTGGGCCTTTCTTTGCAGGCTTTTGTTGACTCAATTTAACTACATTGGCATGTTAGTATTCTTTGGACAATGACCTGACAAGATGAGTTGTTACTTACTTCTCTTGCGCGGTTCATTCTGTCCACCAGGAACCTTTGATGCGCCATTGGATGCGCTCTCTCCGGGTGAGCCGTTGAGGTCCCTCACATTACGTTTACGGGTCCCGTCACCATTTGGTTTTGAAGGCAGTGAATTGTCCTCAGTCGTCGACAACCTAGAGGCTGGACCCTCTCCACGTGCACGAGTGCTTTTCCTTCTTGGGGCTGCCATATCTGTTCTTGAGGGCTCGGGAGCTGATGGTTCTGACATGTCAGAAGCGACATCCTTAGCTGACTCCTGTTGCGTATTCCTATCGACCATCGCGTCGGCACGGGATAAACCTCCTCTAGGGCGCCCTCGCCTACCGCGAGTACCACCTCGCATCGTACTCGACTTCCTACTGTTCTGGGTGTTCTTCGGTGCGCCCTTGAGATTGGTTCGGTAGGATGATGGTGGCAATCGATCAAGATTGGTCTTTACTGGTTCAGAGTACACGGCGCTTGGGGAAGAAGATAAGACCGCCATAGGTTCATTATCTTTATTTGCTGTTTGTATGTTAAAATTGTACCCTGCACAAACACCTACCGGCCTAGGACTTTCTTGCCCAAGCCAGCCATGACTGAAATGGAAGAGGTGAACTCAGACGACTTACCTGTAACAGTGGGCAAATCAGTATTTGCACCATCACCGCCATTCTGGGTGGGAGTCTCATGGGCGTCACGAATGTCGGCATCTTTCGCTTTTGACTCTGTCACATCGGAGCCTATTCAGTATTAGTCGATGATCCATACAACATGTCCGATACGAAATGTATACACAATGGTTCAGCTGGTGTCGAGGTAGATCACACGGTAAAGGAATGGAGAATGCACTCCTTACCTTTAATCTTCGGTTCCCCATTGAGCGTGACAGTGCCGACATCGGCCAACCCGGCTGCGAAGAGTTTAACCTTGGTTTTTGCCAGCGGTTTCCAGTTAGGTGTGTAGAAAGGCCAGTTTTCCGGTTGGGTCTTCTGCGTAAGGTTTTGGACGCGATTGTATGCTGCGAGCAGCTGCGCGTACTGAGCGGTCGTGGCGATGGGTCCACCTTCCAGTTGTGGATCCTGGTGAACACCCAGGTAATTGTTCTCAATCCAGCCGGCAAGTTTGACATCGTCTTTCTCTCGACTCTCCAGTAAGGTTTCTTGGATAGCTTTGAGTCCTTTGAAGTCGATGATGCCAGCTGCAGGCCATGAAGGAGAAGAGAGAGCAGAGTCTGTCGCCCCAGATACCAGATCAGCTAGAGCTTTCTGCGGGAGTGCGGCTTCATCAGCCGTAGTTCTTTCCTCGCGACTGCTACGATCTTCTGTCTCCATTGTAGGTTGCCCTCGTGTGAGTGAGCGGAACAGGCGGTATGGATGCTGAGATTATGGATCTTGAAAGTGCGAGGAGAGGTTTCGTGGCATATGCAGCTGTTCGGGGAAATATAAACTTTCAAGCTTTAGGGCCACAGGATTGCTGCAGCTTTAAAGCTACTCCATTTAATGCGCGCGTGGAAAGCGGGGAACGAGGTTGAGCCTTAAGTGATGGTGAAAGCAATGGGAAGCCGGAGGTGCAAAGCTTAAGCCACTTCCGCGAAGTGGGTACTTCTGAGCACGCAACCACGTGACGCCGAAGCACTTCCTACGCTTGGATTGAGGGCTTTCCTAATATCCTGGCGTAGTTTGATATTGGTGAAATTTCTTGGTCAAGCTATAGTAGACCATAGGTAGAAGGGGTGCGGAGCCTACAGGGACCTGACGTAATCTCCTAGCCGCGACCACTTCCAACTGATGATAGATTACCCAAGACGCGAGGTGGGCTCTCGTAAGAGGTGAGGTTACGCTCCACTACCTTCGCGCAGGGTTTTGTTCGAAAGTATCAATGTGACAAATCTGTGATGTTGTAAGAGAGGCCGTTATACGGTCGATTATCAAGCTATCCCAACCACGCTAGGTAAAAGCTCCTGTGCCGTCCGTCGCTTCCTCCACGTATATGCTCAGTGCACTGACATAGAAGGCTGCCCAGAGGGTTTGAACTTCAAATTTAAGCCAATCATTCCACAAGGAATCAGATCGTAGGAGAAAAGGTGTCTGAAGGGCATTCCTACATCTGGTTGTATATCAGTAACGGGGCTTTCCAGTTCTTCCAAAATCCATTCTTACCATTACTGGTCCCCACTGCCACACGTATCTCTATTGCCTGTATGCAGGTACTTCTAGGATTGGAAGTCCTCCGTCCATGCTCACTGTTTATTGGATATAACTTTCCACTGATGATCACTTCTTCGGAACACGCGCTGCCGAAATTACCAAGCCTTGCAAGCACATTTCCCTGGCCCTTACCGCCTTTCGAAATCGTCAAGAAAATATTCCCAAGCTTGATATCTCAACAAAATCCGTCAGTCGAAGCGTCGACGAACAAGAAATCGGAGAAAGTAGTCCTTCTGCATCCACACACCTCAATGAAACTTCGTATTCCACTCATACCATTATACCCCATCAGGCGGCTCCTAACCATAGTGACAATAAACCGCCGCATTCGTAATCTGTATTCCCCACCTCTAAACAAAATGTTCATTGATCGGGCTCATGCCCGACGCCTCTCTTTGCCTCTTAATCAAGCTCTCGCAACTCAAGATATTAAAAAACTCCATAGAAGTGCTCCAAATATTGACACTTGACGTGCCGACGTGCCGTTTTTGTATTTGTATGAACACATCAAAGGATTTCTGTTGTTCCAACAATGCAATGCACCGCACACACTAGTAAACAATTCATGAATTCACAGTATGGATCGTTGAATGTAATGACCACACTATCCATGATGCAATCCACCTCACAATTATATCTATTAACCTGCCAATTAAGTGTTAAAAAGGTGTGACAATCCATCCAAAGTCTCTCAAAGCAACAGCCTCAATCTCCCTTCCACCTCACCTAAAACCCAGGCTCCGTAATACCCCGAATAGGCGTAATCGTCCACCTCTGCGTCGGCCTCCCAACATTCGCCATATTCATAGCCACCCTCGGCCCTCCCTCCATCGTATCCAAATACCTCTCGGGCCCCGTAAACGCATTCTCCAAATGCCACGTCCCATCCCCCCAAGGCTTGATGGTCCAGAACTGACCCGAAAAGAACCCCGCATCCGCCACCACGGGAGTAGACTTATCGTTACCGTCGATATCGAGTTGGCGCGTGGGACCCAGGAGGAGCGTGCGCAGGAAATACGTGCCGTCGTTGTTGGACTTGATTTGCCAGAATTGGCTGGGGAAGTTGGCGTCGCGGGCCATTTCGATGCGGCCGGTGGAATTGGCGCCGTTGTCGTTGATGACGCTAAGGGAGTGGGTGGCCGGGGAGAAGGTGTTTTTGAGGCGGTACCAGGTTTGGGGGTCGAAGTCTCCTGTTGGTGGCTGGTCGATGGGCTTGACGGTGATGTTGAATGTCATGGATGGCGAAGGGGCCGGGATGTTGGTGACGGAGACGTACGTGTCTGCGCCTGAGTAGGCCCTGCTGTTCGGAGTGGAGGTCGAACTAAATACAGGGTTATTGGAGAGGCCCGGGTAGACGTCTCCCATGTCGCCCTGGTTCCACCCACGTTGGAGGTCCTTGGCACCATCGGCTTGTACGAGTTTGATTTTGGGATGGGATTCATCGGTATTGCCCCACAGATTGTCATCGATGTGCCAGATGAGGAGACCAGATCCCGGAAGCGACTCGTCGTAGCCGGTGAGTTGGCGGTTCTCGATGAGATAGTATTCCTGGCTGCTGGTGTTGCCGTTCGTCCAGAGACGGTGAGTGGTAAAACCGGACTTTACATCTTTGAGAGTGATCTCGCGGTTTTCGGTTTCTACCACAGTGTCAATCCAGCCTTGGTTTGCCTTGCACCCTAGTGAAGAGTCAGTTATCCGTGTAAGTCGATCAAGAGAACGAACATACAGGCCGAGGGATGAACAGGACGGTATCCGCCCCCGCCCCAACTTCCGAAGGACATCAAGCACCACATTCCAATTCCGCTGGAGCTGTAGTCTGTGTCGTACAGATCAGGCCAGCCGAATACTAGGTGACCGATCTCATGTGCGCAGACGCCGACTTTCGCCTCTTCGCCAACGGACAAGAAACCATATATCTTCACACCTGCATAAAGTCAGCTTATGCTTTAGCTATCCTACGTTGGTGAGGCCTACCGTCAACATCACGCTCATTTGGAAGATTCCATTTGACGCTCCAAATGTCGTTGACATTGCCACTTTCATCGGCCGCGCGGCCGGCGTGGACCACGACGTAGGCATCCACCTGGGAACTATGAGCATAGATTCACCCGCAACGGAAGCACTACTCACGTAGCCATTTCCATCATTGTCGTACGGCGCAAAGTTGATATTCCCAATCGCATGGTCTAGCACCTCATTCGCCATAGTCTGTGAGTTTGGCTCGGGCCACCCTCTGCCATACTCTTCCAAAGCGTCAATATCTCCCTCTTAATGTTCCGGGCAGGAGTCTGCACTTACCGCCATTGGCATAGTAAGCCATATTCTGGCTCAGCGTAAAGGGTCCCACGACCTCTCCTGTCAATGAAACCTGCCCATTCGACACCTCTTTGTAGTACTCCGTTACGGAACCCGTGGGAATCTTGCCAGTAGAGAACCACAGCTCTTCAAAGCGTTCTTTGGTACCAGGAGTCATTTTCACGTCTTGGAACTCGGCGAGAATGATGGCGACCCTACACTGGTCAGATATCATACGAGTACGCGAAATGTTTGCATTTACTTAATGTTGCCTCTCAACGGGGCCCTTTCAGCAGCAGCTGTACTCATGGCCATGATGGAAGTCGGCTCCTTGAAGTGCGACGGAGGGAAAATGGTGCCATCGTTCATGCCGGGAATTCTACGCTCGCCATTGAAGAGTCGGCTAGTCTTCTTTTTGAAGACAGCCTGGTCGACCGTTCCCTGGGAGGTGAGAGACTCCGTCCTCGCCTTTGCGAGGAGGTCTGGGTGGGGAGGAACGAAGCATGGCTCGGTGCAGTGCCTGGGAGCCATGGTTTTGGTGTTTGTGTGCTTAGTGGATAGATTGTATATGATTTGGTTATTCGATAGTATGGTGAAATGATTTAGTTGAAGTTTGAACTATGGAATAGCAACGAAACGGCACATACTTATACCATTTCAAGGCGCCATTTTCATTCATCTAGCGGGGTCAGATACCCTCAGCCGCTCAATATTACACGGCGTGAACAGCATGCTGAGCAAGGCTGGAAGCTGAGGGTCCGGAGACAGCTGAATGGAACAGGGCGAATGGCGGTATCTGTCGGTAGCCACCTGCTCCGAGGGTGTGGGACTAGAAACCGTGAAGTGCAGGTAGACGGTCTGAGTCAAGTCTGTTCTGTAACGTATTCCGTCTTGCAATTGTTGACTCGGCCGGGGAACTTGCAATGTAAGGCCGACAATCCTCGACCCGCTTTTCTCTAAACTGATCAAGGTCCGGATAGTAGCCCATGAGCGTTTTTCTCTTAGCCTTTGTCATGCTTATACATACTGGTAGTCACGACATCGCTGCGCGTATGGAATGGACCATTCCGGGTGAGGGTTACGTGTACCTGGAGAGCTCTAACTGAACATTCGTCCAAGCATAGAGAGAAAACAACAGCTGACATCTCGCCCCGGGGCGTATCCGTTGTCCGCAAATATCAGCTCTCACGCCCCAAAAGGTATTCAATGCCGGGTTCACCGTATACCGCTCATGTGATGATGAAACATTCCTCATTGTTGCCTGTAGGCCTAGGACCACCATAAACGGGGCTGGAAGGTGAATTGCCGTGTTCATACATACATAGTACAGATGGCGGTCAAGATGGGTCTGCCTTTCAGCAGACTGCAACATGGTTCTTTTTTTAGAGCGATGGACGCCTAACACTAAGCAATGGGACTGATCGTAAGCTTAAGGACACCTTCAGGATCTGTCTCGTCTCATTCGAGAAGGCCTAGCTTTGCACCCCTGGCAGCGGGTCCGTGCCCCTACGAAATCTCACGATATCACCTTAAGAGAAAATTCTCTTGCATTACACTTGTAGGTTACATTATCCCATATGAGTACGCCTTAAACATCCGGTAACTGGCACCAACTGAACAACATCTCGAACTGCTACGCACGAAAGCAGCCCATCACGTTGACACGGACGCCTAACAATCTGAGGTGATAAGGGCGGACTTCACCATCTGTTCGTTGAGACGATTCCCCGCTGCAGAAACGGATTTGACAGCGCTGCATGTTGTAATAGTGCACCGAATCCTCTTTTCACTGATACATCCTCTAGGGCCTAGGTTTTAGAGTCATATCTACTTATGTGCTTGTATTGATCACCTATACCCAGCTCCTATTCATTGATTCGAGGTCACCTATGATCACCAAACTAGGATATGGATGACGGCGCCTTCGACATGCCGGCAGCGAAGAATTTGGCCTCTGCCAGAATTGCTGCCATCTTCGGTCATTATGGACTCTTCAACACTTAGGAAAACCGCCGATTTTGCTGCTGGCAAGGACCTCAGAAAGTTTCGTTTTCCTCACTTCCAAACTTGCGTGTCCGTGAAGGTAACCGACAAGAGCGCTCTTTCCCCAATCTATCAACCATCACTTGCGTAAACAATGAGGCGTCTACCTAGGTACCTAGGGGCACTTGTCTCCCAAGACGCTGAGCCATGGCAATCCTAGCTGGTTCAACTGATGCAGTGGTGTCTTGCTTATTGTCTTTGTCTCCATTGTCGTTTATTGTTTGCGAAGTCTCACAGGTCAACAACACCAAAGGGAAGGAGCGAGCAACGCTAATCACGTCATTGCGCTCTTATACATAGTCGCAGTTCCCATTTTCCGACGGGGATGTCTCCTTCACTCAACTTCATTCTCTCATGGGCTGCACCCACTGCACTTCAGCATCGTTAGTAGTACGTTAGTACGGCATCTTAAACTGCCAGCCTGCTTGTTGTCGCAACACAAGTATCGAGACACACCATTCCCTCCATACCCTGTTAACCCCACTCTTTCAGCAAAATCCATCACTCGCATCTCCGACCCGCAATCCAATCCAGATCGGGGAACGAACCCAGATTGAGGATACTTTGCTCTCAGCACACGACACCGCACAAGATGCTGATGCCTCGCGATCAAGACATTCTATCCCTCCCCTTGGACAACGAGACATCCTCCTTCCAAACGAACCCCATCGTCCAGATCATCGGCACCAAAGCCGTGGATCCCTTTTACCTCATCAACATCGTCGCTTGGCCAATACTCATCCCCGTCATTCCTCTGCTATACGTCATCCTCCTCTACGCCAACCCACCTCGTCGCAATGGCCCTTCTACTCGCGAGTCTGGAGGTTTGAACCAGGATGAAGATGCTGCCGTCCAGCGTCCCGCGCCTCCCCCGGAGCCTGAGTACCTGGAGGACGAGCCAGCCCCAGATCCAGCTATGCTGCTCATCAAGGTCTGGCTGAATCTGATGACGCGCGTCGCTAGCTTACTGGTGTGGATCATGATCCTGGAAGTCGCGGGCGCGTTTCGACTCGACGATGTGCTGTGCGAGACCATTCCCAGGGGAAATATTGCCAAGGTCATGTATTGCGATGGAAAGCGACTCTTGGACAGCAAGCTCACGCATCTGGTTGCTTTGCTGGCCACGTGGAGGGTGCTTCGCTGGATGAGATCGCTCGCGCAGGAGGAAGAGCGAGATATGAAGGATTACTTGAAGCGGTTGCGTAGGTTGGAGGAGAGGCTGGAGGCGACGGAGGTCCTTGTGAGGGAGTATAAGAGGTTGGGAGAGGTGTTGAAACTAATGGAGATGGAGGTGAAGAGGAGGGAGGAGGACTCTGAACGGGTGAAAAAGGAGCATGAGTGCTACAAGGAAGCCGTTGAGGAGTTGAAGAGGAGGGCCGAAGCCGCTGGAGTGGACATTGGGAATCTGAGTGTTCATAGCTGAAGAGAAGCGACGGAGAGGGAAGAACAGGAGAGGGTGAAGAAAAACCATACACCTTAGAGTGAATGGGACGGAAACCGGTGGCAAACTTGGAATTTATGAAACAGACAGAAATTCGAAAGGGACTTGGGTGACAAGAGACACAGATATGCAGATATTATTACCAATGCAGCCAATCACTTCGGCCACAATTCATTCGTAGGGTATCCATGGAGAAGAGAAAGAAGAAACCATTTCACGCCCCCGCCATCAGCAGTAGAAACGCTCACTCAAGCACCTCCGGCCGCCCCCTCGTGCTCCTGCAACGTCTTGATAAACGCCCACTCATCCTCCTCCCCAACCTGCTCCAACCCTTCTTCCTTATCGCTGGCAACCTGCGCCGCCTCCTGGATCGCCCTCTCCGCCATCAACCTCCTCCCCATCTCCGCGCCCCTCACCGCCAACCGATCAGCCTCGACATTCCCCCTCTCACTCGCATGCCCCTTGACCCACTCGAACCTCGTCCTCGCACCAGCCATCTCCCTCTCCCGGATGCGCTCCAGAATCGGCTCAATGAGATCTCGATTATCTACATTTTTCCCGCCGGCGGTCTTCCAGTCGTTGCGTTCCCAGCGGACGAACCACTCGGTGACGCACTGGATGGCGTAGTGCGAGTCGCTGCGGATGAGGGCCGTCGTGTTGATGGGGAGGATGTCGATGGCGCGTTTGATGGCGGCGAGTTCGGCGCGTTGGTTGGTTTGCTTGCCTGCGCCGAGGGGGGCGGCGACGTTGCTTTGGTTGTGTCAGAATCATGAATGCATTGGTTGAAAGGACGAGCAGGGAACAAAAGGAAGGAGGGGAAGTGGAAAGGAGGATACGGACTTTGGGTTCCCGGGACCAAAGTATACACCTATTCCGGCCACTGCGCCTGCATACCCGTTATTCGGCGCCGCGCCGTCGGTGTAGATGATCATGGGTCCACTGAAGTCCCCCGTGGGTTGCCATTTGCGAGCGTTGAGCTCCTCCTCCGTCTTGTATTCTATCGTCCCCGTTTCCGGGTTTAGCTTGATTCTGCGGTCAAAACCGTCCTCAGCGTCTTCGGGTAGAGGCCCCGTCCCAGGCTCGATTTCACCGTTGGGGAGATAGACGGCGGCGGGGGTTCCGTCGTTCTTCTTCTGTTTCTTGGACGTCGTGGTGTCTGCGGCTTTGGGCGTCTTTCGTGTTGATGTAGCCATGCTGGGCCGGAGAGAGATTTCGGAGGCTATATCTTCTTTTATGCTGGGTGCGGCACTGATGCTGTTCGTCGCGTTGAGCGAGGCGCTGCTTCCTGCATCCCTGGAGTCTACAAACGCCTGAGCTTCCTCTCTCGTGGAAAAGCGCTGCTGCTTGGAGCCTGGGTATCCTCGTATCTGCCGTTTGACTTCGTCGTAGTCGGTGTATACGCCTGGGTTATGGCCCACCTGCACGCCGTACCATTTCTCGGGCGAGGCTTTGGGTTTCGACGACATGGCGGAGCTGGGGCTCTGGAGGAAGGCTTCGGCGTCGGTGTAGGAGGCGAACTTCTTATCTGGAGTGCGGTCAGCGCAAAAGCTGCGGGGCGTGGAAAGGGTACATACGTACACTCGGCGCCGGAGAATTCCTTGATCTGCTCCTGCGTGTCGGCCCAGCTGAAGTATATGCCTGGCTTCCGGCCTTTGCGAACTGCGAAGTAGGCTGGAGGCGGCCTCTTGCGCTTCTTGTCTGCCGACGAGGTTGCAGATAGGGATTTGGTCTCCGACATGATGTCTTCCTCTTCACAGATGTATTCCTCCTCCTCAACGCACTCTAAGTATTGGAATGTGGAACTGGAACGGCGGAAGGTGCTTGGATTTGCGGGGTAACCACGGACGCAGGGTGAGTAACAGGTTGAATGACAGGTCAAACGGCAGCGGCCCGTTGCTCGCACGACGCGCTGGAAGTGTGTAGAGGCGACACGCGACAAGGTTTGCCGACAGACCGCGATCATAGACACCGTCGCGTCGCCGGGAGATTGAACGGTCGTGGCCGCAGAACGCTTCGGAGTCCGATGTTCACTCAGTATTGGAGTACTATAACAGCATTGGCGTCGAAGAGGGGAAATGCAAGAGGAGTGGGGGTAGACGCGTGGGAGGTTGACCACCAGAAGAGGGAAGGGTCCGAGCGCCAATCTGATCTCAACCCCACAAAGTCGCACGGGCCAAGAGTGAAAGGCGCAGTGGAAATGATGTGCGCAGATGATGCCCAGCATAGAATCATCAATCCCATATCTACTTTTCTTGTCCGCAGCTTGTACACGAGCCTGCGGGAGTGCACGAAATACCGTTCAATAACGACAAGACAGTGACAAGACCTCGGCGACGCAGGGTTCCACCAACCAAGCTGTGCTTGGGCCCGTCTTCGAGGCCCTCTATTTGCATATCACATATATCACATCCCAAAGGGGCCTTCGGAGGTGCTGCACCATGTTCGAGGTACAATCTAGTTGAGCTCTCTCATACTGATTACATGGTGTTAATAGGACTCTCAGGGACGACATGCAGCGGACCGATACCGCCTTCGTTTGCACAGAGCCCGTTCGGTAGTCCTCACAGGCAGTGAACTGGTCGAGATCCGCGCTGCGCAGCGGACGTTCGAAGGAGCATACGTCCGGACGGCGCTGGGACAGTTCTCCTTCGCCCTCGTTGTGCTGAAGATCTTCACGGCAGAATTCTACTCCATTGGCGCCTTGTTTGCTGCATACGGGGCCGGAGTGCTGTTCACGAGCTTGCTGCGCCGGCAACAAGGTCCGGCCAACAACACCAGAAATCTCATGTATTCAACTAACAAGCATAGGAAACAAGCAATTCTTCTCAGAGGTTGGCGAAGATGGGCTGAATCGGAAGAGATTTAGGACGTCTGGGAATGTCGTTATGGTACTCACGGTGCTGACGTTACTGGCTTACGTTGCTCTCCTAGTTCTCATTGTCAAGCTGCGTTCATGAGTTGTAGATCCGAGATCTCGGACACTGAAGAGAGGCTGTCGCTTTTCCACGTATCGCGTATCGCGTATCGATGTGCATCTAGAGCAGACAACATAGAGAGACATAATGTGATAGGACTAAAACATACATTGATGCCAAGTTGGTTGAAAGTAGTGGCTACTTTCGTCGAACCCACATGCACACCGCAAGGGGTAACGCATCACAAGACCACGCAATCATGCCCTACCTCGATGCCTTTTGTGAGGCGGCGTAGGAGCTGTTGCCGAGAGATGATGCGGTGTTAGCTGGTTGTGGTAGATGGATCGGCGGCCATGGCGATGCGGAATCCCATATGAGATGCACTAGGGCGGGCATGTGAGGGAGGGTTGGCGTAATCTTTGGTTAAATCAGCAACGTTTGGAGGCCTCAGGAGGGCGCAATCACTTGCCGCTCGCGTGTGTGAATGATTGGACAGCAAGACTGCGAAGTCGGTGCTTCGGGGCAGGCCTGGGGAAGCGCGTTCGTTACCTTGGTGTATTGTACTGTGATTCCACTAGTCGAGGGCCATTGCCTGGTTATCGGCCTGATTGTTGCATTCACACCGAAGGGCGGCCGAGAGCTACTCCATATAAGAAAGCGTCGGCCATGCGCGCAAGGCGATCGACCGAATAATAACGCCGGTAGCTAGCAGAAAATCACGATTCCTTCTTTTCTTTTCGATCTGTCATCGGCGGCGTTTGCTGAAGCGACGGTGCGTGCTGCCGGACCTTCTTTGACGCACATCACCATAAGGTCCAAAAAGTGCTGATAGTCCTCCCTCCCTCCTTCTCTCCTTCTCTCCTCTACCTCTCTGGTTCCTACTATTTCCTGTGCAGCCATACAGTCAACCTGCACCTGTACGGCGTTCCGGATTCGACTGAGCTGAAGCAAACTGTCCGACGTCTTATTTTCCGATTCCACGAGCTGGATCACTTGCAGTGTCTCTCCACCAGGTGACCAAGTTCCACACTGTCAGCGGCAGCCCTCCAGTACCGTATCGAGAACCCGCAGCGGCTCGCTGGATCCGGCTCTCCACAAGGACAAACATAAAAACTCGGTGCAAGTCTCTGCTCTCGCGGACGTAACCCGATTCCCACTCGGACCCACAACAAGCGTTGCTTCCGACATCAAGAGAAACCTTAGGAAGTCGATCTGCGCCAGGGACCGGCCCACCGCCACACCTTTTGTGGCTTTTACGCTAATCCATATCAAGCCTAGAATTGTTCTAGCGTCGACAATCCCAGGAACCCATTCCTGGGACAAGAGACAAGAAGACCATGGGAACGCCGATCCTTGCCACTAATCATGGTGACGGTGGTCCTGCGACCACTTCGTCAATGACCACACCTGAATCCCTCCGCCCACCTGCTTCCCCCCATCCTAGGAACAGCAGCTTCGGCCAACACTCCATCTTCGCCAGAAACGTTCTGATGAGCCAGATAATCGTTTCAGACGCCGACCCTGCACACGCCAAGCCCAGCAGCAGAACATCCCCCACACCATCACCATCCACGCACTCCAGCGCCCCAGCCTCTGCGCCTGGCAGCCATCCTTCCTCGGCGGACCGCACCCCGCTGCAAAATGGACATCTAAAGCTACCGCCGGCCGCACGTGCGGTCGCGGATACCTATGGCGCTGCCCTGACGGACACGCCCTTGTCCTCCATGCCTGGGAGCCCGCACATGTACGTTCTGTCAAAGAATGAGTCACTCAAACCCCACCCAACTGACCATCTTTCCAGGCCTCCGATGAGTAGAAATATATCCGCCACATCTACTCCCCGTTCACGCCCGACCACCTTAGACATTCCCGGTCTCACCAAATCCAAGGTCTCGCCCGACGGCAAGATCGCCCAGCGTGATGTCGGCTCCAAATTGGTCATTGTCATGGTTGGACTCCCGGCCCGCGGCAAGAGTTACATCACAAAGAAGATGATGCGCTACTTGAACTGGCTTCAACACGATACAAAGATCTTCAATGTCGGCGAGAGGCGAAGGGTAGCCGCCAGCGGTCACGGCTATCGCCTGTCTTCGTCGAGTATGGACAAGGTCCCCTCTGGGATCAAGCGTACTTCTGAAACGAGAGGCCAGTCGCTTCCGGAGATTGCCGCACATATGTTGATGACGGGGGACTCTTCCGCAGTTGGAAATGTGACACCCCTGAATTTGCCTCCGCCAGAAAAGCAAGATGAGAAGAAACATGTTCCCATGCATTCAGAATCACCTGCCCGCGTCGAGGTCAACTCGCCGGGCCCTGAGTTGCATACTCCTGCCAATGGAGAGCAGGGTACAGAAAACGAAGCCATCGATCAGTCCGCGAGCTTCTTTGACCCCCTCAACAGAAAGGCCGCGCAGCTTAGGGAGCAATGTGCCATGGAGACATTAGACGAGCTGCTGGACTACATTCTGTACCAGAACGGCTCCGTCGGTATTTTCGATGCCACCAACAGCACCTTGGCTCGTCGGAAGCAGATCATGAAGAGGATTCGCGACCGTGCAGGGCCTGAACTCAACGTGCTGTTTGTGGAGTCGGTCTGCCATAACAAGAACCTTTTGGAGGCGAATATGAGACTCAAACTTTCGGGACCGGACTACGAAGGCACAGATCCTGTCGCTGCTTTGGAAGACTTCAAGAACCGTGTCGCCATTTACGAGAAGAATTACGTTCCCCTTGGTGATTACGAGGAAGAGAACAACATGCCCTATGTCAAGATGATCGATGTCGGAAGGAAAATGATATCCCATCAAATTAGGGGCTTCCTTGCTGGCCAGGCAGTATTCTACCTGCTCAACTTCAACCTCTCCCCAAGGATGATATGGATCACTCGCCATGGCGAGTCGGAAGATAATATTGCTGGCAAGATAGGGGGAGACTCGGATCTGAGTCCGAAGGGCAGGAAATATGCCAAAACGCTCACCCGGTTCATCGAAGAACAGCGCAGAGAGTGGACAATCAAGCAGGCGGACAAAATGGCTCACTCACGCCTCCCTCCTACTTCCGGCGATGACACTCCACCGAATCCGTATTACGGCGAGGATGGCGAACAAAAGAACTTCTGCGTGTGGACCTCGATGCTTAAACGCAGTATCCAAACAGCTGAGAACTTCGACGAGGAGGAGTATGACGTCAAGCAGATGCGCATGCTGGATGAGCTGAACGCCGGCATCATGGAGGGCCTGACCTATGAGGCCATCAAAGCTAAATATGCCGACGAGTACGAGTGTCGAAAGAGCGATAAGCTGGCGTATCGCTATCCTGGCCCAGGAGGCGAGGGCTATCTGGACATTATCAACCGGATCCGTCCTGTCATCGTGGAACTGGAACGCATGACCGACCACTGTCTGCTCATCACACACCGCTCCGTCGCTCGCGTCCTTCTGGCTTATTTCCAGGGTCTGAAGAGGGAAGACGTCGCCGACCTGGACTGTCCTTTGGGTATGCTGTATCAACTGGAGCCCAAACCTTATGGTGTCGAATTCAAGGCCTGGCGTTATAACGAAGAAAAGGATTGGTTCGATTACATGCCTGATTACAAGCTTCATAGAGGCCCGGCGTACATCTGAGACGTTCCATCTCGCTCGGATGGCCCATCACCGGCTACAATTGGCATCTTCTCTTCCCTGACTCGACTCAATCCTAGCCTGTCCGCGGCTACGTATCCCTCGGCATTGGCTTTCTTGTTCGTATGGTATGGCTTTGGTATTTATGCTGTTGTCTCTTTTGTTGGTGTTCGGTCTCTGCTTCTGGCATATGTTGGCGTTTTCAGGGAACGGGTGAAGTCACCCTTGGTGGTCGGTTGTTGCTCCTGTGTTGTGCTCAACGGCACGACCGGGTCGTTTGCGACTGGAGGGCGTTTGTCTTTTCGGTGTATTCGGTACATGGGGCCGGCTTTGGGCAATGGTCTCTGCGGGTTTCACATTGCGGTTTCTGCTGGGTTCATGCAGGCTGCGTGGGTAGTGTTCAAGACCCTACTTTTTGGAGATCATGGGCCATAACTGTAATGCGATGGTACTGATGTCCGTGATTGTTTTTCATTTCATGGGTGGTTGGTTCCATGGGAAGTAACATAGGATGTGTATGGCGATCAGGGTACTGGTTAGGCGTATCAATAGGGTATTGGTAGAGGGAAGGGGGATTGGAATCACGTGGCTGTGGACGACAGTTACTTGGACAGTCTAGTAGAGATATAAACCTATTTATCTGCATCATTCTTGCTACATATGTCTACGGGTGTATCTTTATGCTCAAGGAATAAGCCACCGAACGCTAGATACTTCAGATTCACTTGACCTCTAATTCACCATGCAATCAACCCAGCCTCCCCTTCTACCATATATGCATCAGGGCAGAGGAACACCTTCTTGAAAACCAAACCCCGCAGCCTCGCTTCCCCGCACAATCTAGAAGTCTCCACTTACACGTGGACGCCAATCCACCAGTTACCGCGTTCGCAATACATTAGCCTCGCCTTGTTTTGGCTGCATCCCGGGGTAGAGGTAATATATATCCTGGTTACCGAGCAGAATGCAGGAGCGTTGGAAATGCAGGATTATAGATTGGGAGTTGAGCATGCGGGGGAATGGTTTTGAGATCGGTCGATGGTTGAGAGGGGATATGAATGGTGTTCGTTCCAACACGGATTATTTGGAAGTTGGAATATATATACTGTCAAACAGTCAACGGACTATGTTCTGCTGAGGACTGCTTCACGCCCTGCGCTAGTGAAGGCAATGAGACGGTGTTGAATATGTTGACGATATGCCTGCGTTGCCGCGCTCCTTGTTGCGAGCGACGCTCCTAACGTTCGCTATCATCACCATATTCTACCTCTTCTCATGCGGAGTGCCGTACCCGCCCTCTTCGCGCGCACTCGACGGCGTATCTCCGCCTTTCGGATATTCAACATGGTCGACTGGTAGTAAGATTGGCAGCGAGGAGAAGAAGAAGAAGGTTAAGGGTATAGCGCCGGGCAGAGATGGTTTTGAAAGGCTGGATATGGAAGAGGAAGAGTGTAGAAGGGTGTTTCCGGGACTGCTGTTGGATGTCGATGATATGATGAGGAGGGGGGAGTTTGTGTTTGAGAAGGGTGATGGGGGGTATATGGGGTTGGTGCAGGGGAGGGTTTGGGGTGGTGAGGTGGGTGGATTTGTTTTCGTCAGTGAGAGAGTTCCATGTTTCCTTACACAGAGTCTTAATAATTCTTGGAGTCAAGACTTTATTTTGCCACTTCCTTGCTCTTAGCAGTCTTCTCTCTTCTTGATTCGTCCTAAGAATGACACTGAGCGAAGACTCACCCACCCCCAGCTCTACATCCTCACCACCTCCCCCACCCGAACCCCCCAACTCCACCACCAACGCCTCGCCACCCTCTCGCAAATCCACCGCGCCCTCCTCACCTCCCCCTCCCCCCTCCCAAACACGCATTTCGCCTTCGTAACCAACGACGTCCCCAAGAACGATTCCTGGGCCTTTGCCAAAGTAAACAAACAATCCAATCAGAATGTCTGGCTCATGCCACACTTCGCCTTCTGGGGCTGGACTGGCGCGGCCGGCCGCGAACTCGGCACCATGGACGAAGCACTCTCGCGAATCGCAAAAGTCGAGAAGGGAATGAGGTCTTGGGAGGAGAAGGTGGATAAACTCGTCTGGCGCGGGACACCCTGGTTCAACCCGCTCGCGTATCCGACCCTGCGGCAGGATCTCCTGCGCGTGACGAGGGGGATGCCGTGGGCGGATGTGCAGGCGTTGAAGCCGAGTGCGGGCGGGCGGGGAGGATATAGCAATGCGCTGCCCATTGAGGAGTTTTGTCGGTACAAGTATGTGGTGTATACGGAGGGGGTGACGTACTCGGGGCGTTTGGCGTATCATCAGGCTTGTAAGAGTGTGCTGATTATGGCGCCGTTGACGTATTTGACGTATACGACGAGGGCGATGAGGCCGATTTGGGTAGAAGATTTGGTGAGTGGGGTTGGCGGGGGGAAACAGGTTGGGATAGGGGATAGGGTGTTGTTTGATGAGACTAAGACGATGAAGACGGGGAAGAAAGCCTGGGGACAACAATCGACGCCGATTCTGAAGACGTTGGGGAGGGAGAGGTGGAAAGAGGCGAATGCTATTTACGTCTCGCCCGATTTTTCCAATCTCGAAGATACCGTTGCGTTTTTGGAGGGGCATCCGGAAGTCGCGGAGCGGATAGCTAGGAATCTGCGAGATGCGGTTGTTGGAGGGGGTGTTTTGAGTAGGGCTGCCGAGACGTGTTATTGGAGGGGGTTGATTAGGGGGTGGGCGCGTGTGGCGAGGGAGGGGGAGAGTTGGGGGAAGGAGAGGGGGGTGAGGTTTGAGGAGTGGGTGTTGGGGCAGGTGGGAAAGGAGACGGGGAGATAATGGGGGTTTGTGTTCATTTATGGTGGGAGCTGTTGCTCTGATATTTGGTTGTATGGGGGATGGTTGGTACGTCTCTTTTTCTGGCGATGTTGGCCTCGAACGGGAAAAGACAGGGTGTGATACGCTTCCGACGTAATTCCCATGGTTTCAAAGGCAAGCGCCGTCATCATTTCCAGTCCGTTAGTGCTTTTCTTTCCTCGGAATTCGGCTTCTCTCTACTCCTTCTTTCCTTCATTTACCACTTCACTTCCACACCCAACAATCCTCCTAATAGTACCCATCCGCCTCAATGCTCTCCACCACATCCTCGTCCATCTCCTCCATCTCCTCCATCTCCTCCATCTCCTCCATCTCCTCCATCTCCTCCATCTCCTCCATCTCCTCCATTTCGTCCACCTCCTCCATATCCCACTCCTCATCCACCTCAATACTCTCCAGCACATCCTCCTCCATCGCGCCCATATCACCTTCCTCATCCTCGGCATCCACCTCCTCCACACTCTCCAATACCTCCCCCTCCATCTTCTCCTTAGTGCCTTCCTCGCCCATACCCTCCCCACCACCCACCCCCGGACTCACCGTCCCCCTCGTCCTCTCCAACCAACTCCTCCCCACCCTCACCGTCCGTCGATACCCAAACCCAGTCCCCATTTCCCTGATCCTCTTCTTCGCATCCCTTGTCCTCCCCAGCGCCGTCAGATTCCCTGCCGAGTCGATGAAGCCGACGCGCAGGAGGGTGCAGAAGCTTGTCGGAGCGGTGATGGAGAGGTGCAGGAAGTTGGGACTGGGAGTGGAAGTGGGATTGAGATTGTTGCCGGAGGTATGGGGTTGGGCCGGATGGTAGTGAGAATTGGGGGTTGGGAGGTTCGAGGATGGGTAGTTGGTAGGGGACGGACGGGCGCGGGCCATTGGGTTGCTGGTTGGAGTGTGTTGGATTTGGCTTCGGTTGTGGAGTTCGTGGCGTTGAGTCGCTGCGGTCGGTGTGCGGGTATAGGCTTTGCCATCCGAGCCGAATTGCGAGAAAGGTGGAAGCTCAGGCAAGAGCAGGTTCTGTGTCAAGGGCGCGCGGACGTACGCAGCTGTAGCGGAAGGTAATGGAGATGAGGAAGCCTCGCGGGACTCTCGACCCTTTGTGGAGCGACTTGGGACCTCTTCATCATCCTCACTGCCGTGTTCCTTCGTATCTCTCGTGTTTCTACTGAAGAAGCGCCCGAAGTTAGGACCTGGGGGCGGTGCGCGCATTCCGCGTGCGAAGGGAGGCGTATTCATCACCCTGCCCCACCCGGAGGAGAAGATACCGTTGCTGCTTTGCCCATTTTGCCGAGATTCGGGAGGAGTGGTGAGGTTGTTTAAGTTTAGGTCAGAGTGGTCTGGTGGCACGTAGCCGTAAATGTGCTTCAGTTCTTCGAGCCATGGGTCCACGTCGTCGACAGCCGGAGATCGTAGCCAGCGGTATAAAACGAAGCTTGTGTAAATGAGAAGTGAGGCTGTGAGGAGGATGGCGGAGATGGTGAGTGTGACCGAGCGATGGACGTTTATCTCTTTCAGAGAGTTGATGATTCGGTCGCGGAGGCGTTGATTGGAGTCGGGGGGAAGCTCGAAGTGGAGGAGGATGGTGGATATGTAGTTGATGAGTGGGTGAAAGAAGACACACAGCCAATCTGCGCTGTAATGATAGAGAGACTGAAGCGCATCCATCATGGGTGGCTTGGTGGATGGAGTTGACTTTCTGGCAATTCAGTGAGGCGCGAGGTTGTGGTTGGGGGTTGTGGAAATAGACGAAGCGCTTGTGGGAATGTAGAAAGAGAGGAGCAACGGAAATCTCTGCTTTATCTACGGGGATAAATTCTGGATCTCCCTTGAGGCGAGGTGAAGGCGAGTCACTGATGGGACGCGTGCTTGTTTGCCAAGACCCGGCTTTCACTGCTGTTTGGTAAGCTAACGGAAGTATCACCGCCCTCACTCCGTTTACCACATGAAAATCTATGCACCCTATAAGAAAACGGAACTTGTGCCGTTGTATATGTTCTTCAAGGGAAAATGGAGTATCTTTCTAGGATCTGCAATGTCAGTTTCCATGTTCTGTGGCCTGTTTACCGCTTGTATTCCGGCATACGTTCTTATCTGGCGTTCTGGCAACGCTTGCCAGTTTCAATATGGCTTAAGTCTCTATGCGTAATTCGAAATTCCAGCTTTGCCTTCCTAGGTGCGTAGCAGTGTGTATCTTGGTCCTACCACAAAGGCACCTTCTGCGTTAATGCAAAGAGCACATCTCTCCTCCGGCATAGGAGACGACGGTCAGATAGTGTCAATTTTTGGTTAAAGAGGAAGATTCCTCAATGGACCGTTCTCACATTGAAGGAGGACCCCTGAGGAGGTTGGAGCCTCGACGTCCGCATCAATCCGAGAGGTGTTCGGCTCGTATGAAAGGCTCAAAGCCTTTTAAACGATTAACGCTTGCCAGCTAGAAACAACCCAAATGAGACGAACATGGGATTTTATTTAGTTACTGCAGGTTGTCGTGGTCGCCGTCATCGTCATCCCTATCAAAACGGAAACGCGGATCACCCTCCTCACCTACAGAGTACTCCATAGCATAGTGTCGCACCGGCTCCGGCCTGTCATCCATCAGTGAGAGAAGGGCATCCCTATCCTCTTTTCCTTTGAGTAACTGCCGAAGCCGCTTGCCATCCCACATGAAACAGCCCCAGAGCCGCAGCTTGGTCGGTATGTAATACCCATACAGATTGCTATACGTCCCCTTCCAGAAGATCGTCCAAGCTAAAGGCGGGCCCGTCGCGTCCAAGTCGTCCTGTTGGAAAGGGAGCGGATCACGCCTTCGCTGCATCTCATCCTCCTCTGTGGGATGTTTCACGCGCCGCTCGTCCTGCACGGTGCCGCCACCGTCCCAGAAAAGGAGGTAGAGGTCAAGGTGCTGAGTCCAACACATGTTGACTCCCATCGTAAAAACAACGTAATCGTAATCACTCCTACGAGAGAGTATCATCTGGAGGAATGGCAACCCGAGTTGTATAGTTCCTCTTATATAGTCCTCCCGCATATATTCATTGTCCAGCGCCTTGCGCTCCGGGTCCGTGAATTTTGGCCACGACGGACGAACATCGTCATGTATTTCTCTCAGAATCCGGTCGTACATGTGCATGGCGAAGGCGTGGACGCAAAGGATCTCTTCAATCTCCCACGGCTTGTACCTGCAGAAGAACCAGTGGAGGACATATTCCGAGCCAAAATAAACCCATACGCTTCTGGAGTTTTCTCTGCTCATCACATTGAAGAACAACTGGATGCGATATAGGCCACGGGTAATGCGTGCTTGTTCCGATAGGCTCAGTGGCTCCTTCATTTCCAGCTCCTCTTGGGCCCATTGGGCATATGCCTCTATGAGGGGGTGGATGATGCACCTGTAGAACCGTACCATTTCTACGACTCGGTCCTCGGATACATCGTCATCCGTGATGGCGCGGGAGCCTAGCGTACGCAGTCGCTGATAATTTTCCGAGAAGGCACCCAGTTCTTTCGCTTTGATCACCCTGGATGCTGATTCTGCTATTGCATCCGGTACAACATCCCGCAACGTTTTTGCGAATACCCCGCGCAGAGTACTCCAGCGATAAGCTCGATATAATTGATGATAAAGAGGGGAGGCATGGACGAGGGCTTTAAGACCATTGATGTCCAGGTTTAGGAGCACAGCAAGCCTGATTTCGGCGGGCAGACTCTCCAATTTCGAAAGTGGTTTTGAGAAAGTCGATGGGGGATCTTCGCTAGAGTCAACCTTTGTGTTCCGGAATATTTGATTTAATTTTCATACTGTATAGAGCGACAGGTGAATTCTGAGTCACTGAAACGGCACACGTACCATTGACGGGAAAAGGAGCTTGGTCTGGTGCCGCAGCTGCAGACGGCTGGCGAGATTTTGAAGGCCGCAACGCCTTGAGCTTTTTAATGAGACTCTTCATGGGTGGTTGATAGAAAGTGAGAAGGTGGTGGAAGACGATGATTACTTGTAGCTAATAAGGTGCAGCCTAGCTGACAGCGACAGGGTTGTTGATCCTTACTGATCAGATTGTGGTTGGGGAATGCCCACCCGCCGAGCTGATGACTTGTGGCGCAATAGCCGCTGTGAAACGTCTTTCCAGAACGTCCCCCTGCAATACAGTCGTATTTGTTGGCAGTTGAGTCAATCCTCTCCATTCAAGTTACCCTAAGTGCGGAGGCACCTGGGCGCTCGCACGATCCGCAGGCACACGAACTCGCTCTAACACAACATTTCTACCTATGTACCCTAGGGTATCTTCCACTCGAGCTTCCAAGCAAGTCAGCAACCAAGCGGCATAATTAATATGATACTCCGTAACTGAAACCTTTCGCCAACACGAAGGGCTTTTGTGCTATAACAACTTCTTTCGCAGGTTTCATTGCGCTGCAACTGCCTATACACCTACATATGCAATTGGTTTGTCAAGCAAGTAGAATCAGAAATCCCCTGCACAAATGAAGTGTGAATCTTAGAGACCAAAACCAAAACGAGATCCTTGCACACTGTGCTAAGAAATATAGGTCAAGTCGAATCCGTACATTGAAAATCGTAGAATGAATGATGGCACATGTCAAATGAGTTTCTTGGCATACTTATCTGCCGGAGGGGACTACAGGTCGTATATGCGTGCCATCAGAAAATCGAAGGAGTCCCGCTGGTCACGGGTGCGCTTTGATTCCCGCTGCCGCAGGAGGACATCATCTCCGTAGAGCTTCTGAAGTCGCTCAGCGTCCCACATGATATATCCCCATTGACGCAGTTCCTCGGATATATGGCAGCCGTACAGGTTGCTATACGTCCCCTTCCACATCATTGTCCAGGCCAACGGAGGCCCTGAGGCATCACCGTCTCCTGTGAAGGGAAGAGGGTCGCGACGTCGCTGCATTTGATCCTCCTCAGTGCGATAATTCATCCATCGATGCCTGATGGGTCCTTCTTTGAAAAAGGGTTCATGAAACGAGCCGTTTACTGGCCATTGGAGATTCATCCGTACGGTGTGGACGAGGTCGTCATGATGATTCTTTTGAGAGAGGACTGTGTGCAGCAATTCGAGACCAACGGATAGAGTTCCATCAAGAAGTAGGCTCCGATTGAACTCGTCATCGAGATTGTATCGTGCAACCCGCCTACGGGGACGGCTTTCGGCGCTGGTGTGGCGGTCGGATGATTGCAAATCAGAATAGAGGTCCGAGAGAAGTCGATTGTACACACGGCTGGCGAAGGACCAAATGCATAGAATCTCTTCAACTTCCCATGGTTTATATTTGCAGAAGAATTTGTAGAGAACCACATCGGGTGGAGTTATCCTGGGGGTTGAGCGACGGCGTCTTGGGCCTTGACCCCAGAGCCAACAGTATAGCTGGAATCGATACATTGCGCGGGTGACGCGTATTGTTTCTGATCGGCTCAAAGGTGTTCTGGCCTCGGGGAGGGTCTCCTGGACCCAATGAGTGTATTTTGCTACTAGAGGTTGAATTGTGCGCCTGTAGAAGGCTGCTATACCGATCAGCTGGTCCAAGGAGATGTTCTTGTCGAGAATGACTGCTGCACCTCGAGCACGATTGCTTCTATAATGGCTCAGGAATTCGTCTTCAGACACGTCGGTATCTGCCTCCGAGACGGCTACGGCGTCAGGTATGATGTCTGCTAACGTCCGGGCTAGGCTTCTGCGGATGATGGTGTCGCGATATAGGCGATAGGACTTGTAGAACACAGGGGACGCGTGGACAAGGCTGCAGAGCTCGTTGATTTCCAGAGTGGAAAGGAGCTCGTTCCTGATCTCTGGAGGGAGATTTTCCAATCTAGAATTGCTCATCGTAGCCATGTCTAGACGGAAATGTGTTTACGAGGATTTCCTTTGTCTTTCGCAGCTGGGTCAGGAAAGGCGTATGGCGATACTATTCACAGAGTTCGCACCGTCATCGGAGCGAAAAGAGGTATGGAGAAGAGTAATGGATGGCTCGCGAGCGTATATTTGAGACCGCCTTCTAGGTGCCCCTTAACTACCACTGAACCACCCCGGAACGACGCAAAATGCTGTGGCGGGTTGATCTTACATGTCCTATCTACTAACCTCTTCTGTCACCCTCCCACAATAGTAAACCATTTCGGCATTCCTAAACCCGAGGCTAATAGACTGATAACCCCACACCCCACGCGTACACCAAACGTGGAGCCGATTCGCAAGTTTCCCAGGGTTTTCGACTTCGTCGTGAACACCAATCTTGACTTGCGCTTGGGTTACTTTGGGAAGAGAAGGTACTTCCGGGATATTCTGCTTTATTTGGGAAGTTTATTTCCATCGCTCAGAGCATTGCAACCATGGCGAAAGTGTTCTCTTATGCGGAAGGTGAGTATTTGCTTGTTTGACCTTCTCCACATCCTCCCATGAAATGCCCATCTCTTTCCAGTCTCTCAGTTTTCTATTTGTATATATCTCGACTGATGGACTCTATATCTCTTCTGACCCATATTCACAATGCTCCGTTTCTACATCCCTCAGCACTTCGTTTCTATATCTCTTCCCTACATTTCCGTGGCCCCACATACATAGGTATCTCTCTGTCACGCCCAAATTCCATTCTTGCTTATGTCCGTATCTTCCCATCTCCATAATCTTCCAACCATTTGTCCTCTAGTCTCATCATCACAATGCCCTCGCATATGCGTCTCTCTCCCCACCCCCTCAATCACCCACAGCGAATCTCAAAGCACACCAGGCATCCCTAACACCACCCACAGTGTCCCAGCACAATACCCCTGAAAGCTGCTGGGTCATCCTCTACGGCTGCGTGTACGACGTAACCTCCTTCCTCCCCGAGCACCCGGGCGGCATAAAAGCCATCCTCAACCTCGCCGGCCAAGACGCAACCTCTGAATACGATCCTATCCACCCCAGCAACCTCCTAAAGGAAAGTCTCAAACGCGGAGATGTAAAGAAACTCGGCACCCTCGACGCCTCCACCGTCCCATCACCCACCTCACCCTCCAACACCTCCGCGTCCCCCACCCCCTCAAAACCCAACCTCCAGCACCTCCTCAACCTCGACGAAATCGCGTCGACCGCCCTCCAACTCCTCTCCCCAAAAGCAAAAGCCTACTACCACTCCGCCTCCGACGACCTGTACTCCAAAACCTTGAACTCGACTGTCTACTCGCGCATCCTGCTGCGCCCCCGCATCTTCCTAGACTGCACCACCTGCACCACCGCAACCACCTTCCTAGGCCACAAAGTCCACCTCCCCATCTTCGTCTCCCCCGCAGCCCTCGCTCGACTAGGCCACCCCTCGGGCGAGCGCGGCATCGCCGAAGCCTGCAACACCTTCAACGCAATGCAAATCATCTCACACAACGCGTCGCAATCGCCCGAGGAGATCGTCAGAGACATGCCCGAGTCCATGGTATTCGGATGGCAACTGTACGTGCAGAACGACCGGAAGAAGAGCGAAGCCATGCTCGCCCGCATCCGGCACCTCAAACAGGTAAAATTCATCTGTCTGACACTCGACGCCCCCGTGCCCGGGAAGCGCGAAGAAGACGAACGCTTCGGGAACATCGGTGCCGGTGCGCCTGTCCCGAGTGGCATCCAAGCGGCAAAGGGGACGGCCAAGGTGTCCGAAACCAGCGCTTCGCCAACGACGACTGGCGTCTCGTCACCACCACCGAAGAAGAGCAACGACTCGACGGCCGGCCCCGGAGCAGGTGTAGGCCGGTCCCTCTTCTGGGGCACCGCCGCAGACCTCACATGGCGCACCACGCTCCCCTGGCTCGCGCAGCACGCGCCCAAACTCCCCATCGTCCTCAAGGGCATTCAGACGCATGAGGACGCGTACCTGGCCTCGCTTCACGCGCCCCAGGTCCGCGCCATCATCCTGTCGAATCATGGCGGCAGGGCGCTGGATACGGCGCCCCCGGCCATTCACACGCTGCTCGAGATACGCAAGTATTGCCCCGAGGTGTTTGATAGGGTCGAGGTGTGGGTGGATGGCGGCGTGAGGAGGGGCACAGATGTAGTCAAGGCGTTGTGTTTGGGGGCGAGGGGCGTGGGCGTCGGAAGGGCGGCGTTGTATGGGTTGGCGGTTGGGGGGAGCGAGGGCGTGGAGAGGGTGTTGGAGAGTATGTATTCCTTTCTTCCATGATATCCTTTATGAGCTACTCGGGGATCGCACCGAGGATACAGAGGCTAACTGATTTGTGCAGTCTTGAAGGCCGAGACGGAGACGTGTATGCGGTTGCTTGGGGTCAAGAATGTGGATGAATTGGGCATGCAGCATGTAAGTCGCTACATTATACATCTACAACTTCGCTATCAAGAGCTAACTCCCCCGAGATCAATGCCCGCGCCGTGGAGAGGGATATCTACGACGGTCCGGACAATCTGGCAAAGGCAACGCTGTCGATTGGGAGGCCGAAACTGTAGTCACGCAGATGCATTGATTCTGCACTTCCCGTTTTGTAGTTACGAGAGCATGTTCTGTTCACGAGACAGGCAAAATAGAAATCATGCATCCATTTAAGTAGAAAACGACATGCTGCGTCCATCGGGACAGGGTATCTATCAAAATATAGTACAGAATGTATGTCTTTTCGTTATTCGGGTAGACTCCCGCATCCGTCAACAAGCCGAACGCCCCCATTAGAAACCGATCATGGCCGTGTCCCATTATCGTAATAGTAAGTGATCACTTTCAAAGCTGTCCGAGAAAAACATTATCGAGCCAGGCCGAGGTAACATGCCTCCGTGGCGAAAGGTGCAACAGGGGCTCCGGATCATATATCGCCGGGTTAAGCATACATGGATAGTGGCGGTCAGACGACATCAACGGGTCCTCCAGGGCCCCAATTCGACCTCTCTTATCGCTCTGGCGTAATCCCGGACGCTAGCAGAGTCCTGCGTCGCTGGCCAACCATGGTTATGATCACCATTCGGTCGAGATAAAAAGACGGGATCTACCGGCTTCAGGGGAGGCCCATACAATGCGCTCGACACGATGTTCTCGGGGTCTCCATTGATCTCGCCAAGATCCCTAGAGCTGTGCCCTTGCGACGAGGACGAGGCTTGGTTCCCGGCCTGCTCGCTCGGCGTTCTTTGTTTCCCGGAACTGTGATCTCCTGAGCCCAGAAAATTGGTTTCATCCACCACAGCAGGGTCCGGGCTCGGAAAGGAATTTGACAACGGATCTCTGTAAGGATCGGAAGCTTCTCTTTCCCATGCCTCGACCAGATGCCTGTTGTCCCAAGTGCGTCGATCGCTAGTATCTTGACAGAAGCTCCCTATACGGCTGATCTTGAAGGCGCGAAGCCTGTCCAGCGCGGTCTTGAAGTCGTCCAGAACGACCATATCGGTGAGACATTTGAAGACGAAGGCGAGTTTCCAGAAAGGATTGATCCCGACGGGAAGCGTCGACTGGAAGGCGGATGTGACGGAACAAATGTCCAGGATGATGAAGATGACGCTGATAACCATGGCTAGAAGCATGATGCCAAACCGCGGCGATATCCGTATGATCTCTTTCAGGGTCAGGTCATACTGCGTTTTGATAATCCAAACAAGCGCCACAGTAGTGAAGATCCACCACGGATCTCGGCACAACGCTTCCCTGGCAACGAGAGTTAGCGAACGTCAGTTTCGGATTACAAGTGGACTGTCATACCAAGGCCTAGTCCGTATGAAGAGCTCATTCTTCTTATGAAAGTACGCAAAGTTTGCGTAGATTTCCACGACCCAGTATGGCTGAACCAAGATTATCGACCCGATGAATGCCCAGCTAACCGGCCGAGAGAGGAAAGGTTTAATCTTCATCCAGGATACAACGTTATGTAGCGACCAGGATGCGTTTAAGGGAATGGCGCCAACTGACAGCCACCAGGCGTAAACAGGCCTGTGGAAGAACAACCAGAAGCCTTGCCATATGCCGAGTATAAGCTGCGGTTCCGTTAGCTGTGCCGTCGTAGACACATGTGGAGCGACTGTACGGTACCTCGAGAAGAATCAACTAGGCGAACGAGTTAGCGAAACGGATCATGCGTGATATTCCGGTAGTGCATACCTTGTGGAGCAGGACTCCCCTCCGCATATTCGCCATGGTGATGAAAGCCATGATGATCAGAGATCCAACCATGAATCCTTGAGCCCACGCTTCAAGGATGAGACCATCGGGATCTGTAGGCTTCTGGATCTCATCCTCGCGTCTGAGGAGCGCACTGGAAGTCGGCCGAAGCGGACTCATGACTTCTGATAAATGCTGAATATCAGGAACGGTTGTGGGAAGGTCGTTTTAACATGGACATGATAGCAGCTCAAGGCCATGCTCGTCGTGTACAAAGGCACGATGGCTGAGTGAGTGTGGCGAAGCGCGCAGACGGTGAGAGTGACAATGGGGGTAGAAGCGTAAAAGTAGAAGTACAAACAAACGGCAGTTTTGGCTTCTCGCGTGCGCTGGCTCTCCGCGCTTTTTACTCCGCAAATGATGTAGCCCTACTAGCAACTCAGAGTTGGAGCTACCGCATGCGCTTTTCCTGGTCAAGCCAACGGGGCACGTTCATTGGCACCCTGAAGCTGCCGACCAAATGATGCGTCAGGACGGTAGTTGGTACTCGCCACCAGGTAGTGGAGAAACGGAGAATATTCCAGATTTCGTCACACCCGAACCATAGATCAGCGAAAGGGCAGGGACAACTGATCGTCTTGTTCTGCCGATGGGCTTCGAAAAGTCCTCTTTGTTTTTGGACGGCACTACTCGCTTTTGTCGTGCTCTTTCTCCCACCGTTGGCAAAGAGGCATCACTGGAACCGAGTTGGAGAGCTTTGTCCTATACGTAGGTACCGATGGTGCTCCACGACCGGTTTTTGTGAGCAAGATCGTAAAAGGAATAGGGTTTGCGTGCGCCTCAAGGGGCAGAGCCGAGGCAACCTGTGAAAGCTCCATGTATCGGACTATTCCCGAACCGTGGCGGATGAGCCAACCTCACAATAATTCATTGAAGCCACTAATAAACAAGGTGCCGTTCGGGACTGAAGCTACCAAGGATGGTCCGCGAAGTCCAGGAAACATGGTGCTTTGCCTGGAACGACAGTGGCTGTGGCTGTCTTCACAAATATGGTTTCCAGGTTGCTGCAACGCGGTCATAGCAACACAGTCGAGCGGGAATAAAATGGTACGGCGATGGGCAAGGTCCGAGAGGGTTTGGTGGCGAGTTGGCGGAATCGCGGAGAAGAATCGGTGCTGGGCATCCGTGAGAGCGGCGTTACTAGCCATTTTGGGCAGTCTGGCGGGGTATGCAACTGCCACTGCCCAGGTGCGGCGGTGCAGCTGCCCCGCCCTGCGTCACTCATCTTCATCTACCCAAAAGTTTCGCGCATCTCATTGACAAGTCGACAGACGCATCGTAGCTCGGAGAGCTGACCCTACCATACCAATATACGTACATCTCATTCTTTCTAACTCCATCTATTTCATATCCTCCAAAGACCTACCTCCTGCCGTTTCCTCCGCCAGCTCTCGCCATGTTCAAGAAAAAGCCAAACGTAAGCTCCCCAAAACAAGGTTCGCTCCACAATGCCCTGACGAGCCTAGATCAAACCCCTCTCACCTCTCAAATCCTCGGATCGCCGCCGTACCGCCGACCAAATCATTGCTGATTTTGGCCTGCAAGTTCCCGTAGACTCTTCAGCAGAGGCGGAAGACAAAGCTGCATCGGCTGCGCCTCTCACAGCCCTAAGGAAATCATTACTGCCGGAAAACTCTCAGTCGGCTCGGTTTACAACGACAGCAGGCCCGGATCTGAAGCAGGTTTCTGGCACCATATATGCCGGAAGCCATGAAGGAACAGGCGACGAACAGCGCATATTATGGGTCAAGGTGGAGGACAAGATGTACCCTACAGGTGGGAGCTCAGTGGCATCCAGACCAAAACGACTATGCTAATGGAGTTGAAGTATACACACTCTGGCACAATCCCGGTATTGTCCCTCTCCTTCATACCCCTCAATTCGTAGTCGAAAAGCTGCAGGGTGGTGCAGACCTCATGACTCCCGGTCTACAGCGAGGCCCGCCGTTTCCCGCAAAAGCCACAAAAGGGGCAGTTGTTGCCATTGCAAGTCTGGAAGCTCCGACGGTGCCAATGGCTGTGGGTACGTGCGAGATTGATGTTGCTTCTCTACAAGAGGTGCGAGGAGCCAAGGGCCATGCAGTCCAGACTTTCCACTGGTCAGGAGATGAACTCTGGGCTTGGGGTCCATCAGGAAAGCCCGGACTGGAGCCACCAGATCACTTGGAAGGGTGGGCCGACGACAAAGCAGGCGATGCGGATCTTGCTGCTCCGATGGACAGGCTGGACCTGGAAGGCGGTCACGATGGCGGTGTAGCGTTGGATTCCGTCCCTACGGATAGACCGGATGGAGAAGAGGTGGCAGCTGAGGCTTCACGTAGCAAGAATGATTTGGTCGAGGAGGTAGAAGAGCCGGAACTGACAACCAAAGGTAAGGTGCACTTGTCGTCCCTACCTACGCACTAGCTCATGAACCTACAGAGATAGACGAAGCGTTCACAAACGCGTTCCTCTATGGAGTCAAGCACCATATGGATCATAATAAAGACCACCCTACTTACGGACTCGACTTCCCCTTGACACAGTCACAGGTCATGTCGCTGCTCGTGCAGCCTTTCCTACCCACCTACACTCCCGCGCGGACCGCCTCCCTCCAACTCAAGAAGACAAGTTGGAAAAACGCGAAAAAATTCATCAAGCACCTGGACAAGGAGAAGATAATAAAATCAAAAGAGCGCGGCGGCAGCGAGGTTGTCATCTTGGACATCGACTTCAACGACGAACATATCAAGTCCTTTGTGCCATACCGGTTACCCAAGAAAGAATCCGCTACAACCACGGGCGTGAAGTCAGATTCAGCTTCGTCTGCCGCCGGGGAAGATATCGGCCAAAAACTCCAAATCGTCTCGCTATGGCGACCGAAAGAAAAGCTCGCCTTCGTCTTCAACGCCTCCAACGCCGATCCCCGCGGCTACTATACCCTAAAAGAGCTCCGGCAACTCCTTTCCGCGTATGCGGAGAAGGAAAACCTGGTCTCCCCGAAGAACAAGCGCATGATCAAAATCAACCCCCAGCTCGCCGACGCCCTCCTCACCTCGTCCGCCGCCGACGACAGAGCCCTCGCGGCGGGCGAAATCCCCATAGACGCCCTGGCCGAACGCATGCAGGCCGCCTCCTCCCCCTTCCACGCCATCCTGCGTAACGAGGCTACCATCGCGGACGCGAAACCGAAAGCTGGCTTGCCGCCGAAAATCCACATTGTGCTCGAGACGCGCAGCGGGAACAAGACGGTGACGAAAGTCAGCGGCTTGGAAGCCTTCTACGTGTCGCCGCAGCCGCTGGCGGATGAGTTGAGGAAGACGTGCGCGGGGAGCACCAGCGTCGAGCGGTTGCAGGGCAGTAGTCCCAAGAATCCGGTCATGGAGGTCATGGTTCAGGGGCCGCAGAAGGATGCCGTCGTCCGGGCTTTGGGGAAGAGGGGGGTCGAGCCGAGGTGGATAGAGGTGGTGGATAAGACGAAGGGGAAGAAGAAGGGGTAGATATCTCGATGGCTGTTGAGACACATGTACGGTAGATGCTTCTGTAGCCAGAAACCAGGAAAGGGAAATACGGCACAAAGGCAAAACAAGGTTTTCACGAGATTGCTGCACAATATGGATGTAGCAGATGGAATGGAAGAATGAATGAAAGAATAAATACTGCATTGATGGGACGAGCAAGTACTGCACAAGACCAACTAACTTAATCTCATAACCCCAAGTACCAAGCCTCCCCTCATCATCATCATCCCATACCATATCATCACTGTTCCGTGCCTTGAGTCTAACCACGCTATCCCGCAAGCATGCCCGTACTCATAAAGATAATACCATGTGAGTCTTTCGACGCGCGTATCCGTCCTGAAGAAGAACCAGGCGGATGCGCCATGACCTAGGTACCTAGAGATAACCATACTTTAAATCCCCTATGGAGTGAACCAACCCCTTGGGCCTGTTTCTTTCAATCCATAACCTAAGAAACCATAAAAACCCATGGTATATATAATAAATATATGACCATCGGAAAAGAACGCCTTCCAACTGGGGCCCTTCAAAAACGCCAATGAAACGCCCAAAACGCGCGCGTGCTGCATCCTCATCGTACACAACTCGCTCGCTGTTTGCCCGAAACCCCACGAACCATACCATCTCCGTGTCCCCTTACGAAGACTCTGCACCACCTCCAACTTCGACTGCGGTGGAACCGGCGGCGTCGAAACGCAAAGTCGCACCCAAACTCTCTTCACCGCAGATATGACTAAACGCCAACATTTCCGGCAAGTCCCGACCCCTCACCACCACCACCACCAGGAGCGGCCACATTTCCGCTCATCAGCCGTGGATCGATAGCCTCACTCAAAGCGGGTTGTGCCTGCTGTTGCCCCTGGGACGTCCCTTGATGAGTCTGCGAGTGCGGCGCCGAGCCTCCGTTGCCTCCGTTCCGCGCCAACGTGGGCGAACCCGAACCCCACGCCACCCTCGCACCCGTCATCCTCGCCACGGGCATCAACGGCGGATTCCTCGCCAGCGCCGGTAACTGCGAATTCGGTCCTTGCGGCGCTGCTACCGCTTGCGCTTGCGCTGGCGCTGGCGCAGGGGACGCAGCCAGTTGCCTCATCATAGACTCCCACTTGGGCATATTTGATTCGTGCATCGAAGGGGCGCTGGCGGTGGCGGAAATGGCGCGTTGGAAGGCGTCTGCAGATTGGAATTGCGGGGTTGGTCTGTGGCGGGGGAGATTCGCATTCGACGGCGTTGTTGATGTTGGTGGTGGTGGTGGTGGTGGTGGTGTTAAACCTGTGTGAAAGTTGGTTGCCTGAGGGTGGAGTTGTGGCGAGTGCCCATTGGGTAGAAGTGAGGGAGGAGTAGGTTTGGGGGTGATGGAGATGGCTTGTCTCGGTTGATGTTGAGGATGCGGTTGAGGTTGATGCTGAGGGTGATGCTGAGCCGTGGTTCCCGCAAGCCTAGCTTTCCATTCCGGCGAGAATCCTCCGTCTGGACTATAAGGCGAAATGTAAGTCTTTGCTCTCCTCAAAAACGCGTTCTTCAGGTAAGGGTATTTGGTGACATAGGCAAGGTAGTCATTTTGGGGTAGAGAGGAGGAAAAAGGTTGGGCAGTGCAAACAAATGAGGAGAGATGGCTTGTGGCGTACATTGAAGAATTGGAATGGGATGTTCCGGGTGGTTTGCTCATAATGTGGGCATGTGGCACTCCGCGATGCGGAGTGCTCTGAGGCTGTGATTCAGGAAGATGTTGGATGGGCGGTCCGTAGAAGGACGACCGTCGATCAGAGCCGGAGGTCTGAGTCTGCGGGTAGGATGAATACGCCTTTGCGGACTGGGGACCAGCCTGAGGATGATAAGGATATGGCGGAAGCGGCTGATGACTCGTAGTATACTGATCAATCCCATGGAGCAAGGGTCCGGAAGTCGGTGGCGCCTGTGTTGGAGACACCTTCCACCTGTGAGAGTGATTCTGCGGAGGTTGGTAGTGATGGAAAGTATGTGAAGGACGATTTGCATGATGCGGCTGTGTATTCGGGATGTGATGAGTGTGGCCCTGCTGAGGAACTGGTGGGCGATGGTCGTATGAAACGTTCGGTTGATGTGCTACTGGTGAGTTAGGGTTCTTCCGCGTATCTGGATTATAGTGAGACACTGGCGAACGGTACGTGTTCACTTCCACTTTCGGCTTGTACTGATAAGGCTTCTCATCAAAATCACGATACTGCTGCTGGACAGGTGTTCGCGGAGCCACTGGCATAGGTTTGATGGAGTACGGCGGTACATTGTACGGATAACGGGGGAGGACGGGCATCGGCGGCGGCGGCGGTGGCTTAACGGTATCCAAGAAGTTACTCTTCGGATTATGCAGAGGTTTCCTGAGGTCGTCCGTATACTGTGCCCTTGCTTCTGTCGACGTCTTACCCAGATAGTGCCACAGCGTGTGAGGCTGCGAAAGATCTGTCTTCGCGACCTTCTGCGTGACTTCTGGCGCCGTATTGAACTCAGCCCACTTCTCGATGGAGTTAGGGTCGTGGAAGGGATCGCCCATTTCAGGAACACCGTCGGTACGGTTAGTGATGGCCAAGGACGAATCATTCTCCTTGAGGTGCTCAGGAAGTGGCTTCGCGTTCGCGGATGGCTTCGGTCTCTCCGATTCTGCTGGATCCAGATGGAGAAGATATTTCCACTCCACCTCCACACGGTCACTGACCACTGTTAGCCGATGCCAATAGAAGATCCCAACCGACTTACCCATCAGGCAGCACCTCGACGAGAAGTGTTGCTTCCCCGGGCCTGTTCTCTATGACCACACCGCCGTATATCTGATACATTTCCGCATCAAGATACTGGAACTGGACGACGTCTTTCGGTTTAAGCGTCTTCGCATAATCCATGATAAACCGATCACTTTCCAGAGTATCCGCGGTGACCTTCTTCACGTTCCGCTTCTTCGGACGATGAAATCGACACCTAAAATCGTACCCATCATAGAAATACTCCGTCCCTTCCTCGTCGAACGTTGGCATAGGTCCAAGATCAACCTGCACACCGGCAGGGGCTGCGCAAGTCGCGTGGAACGCTCTCGTGCACTTCTTTTGCGAGCACTGGAAGACAGCACCACGCTTCGATCTGCAGTAATTGCACTTGAGGTCCAACCGATCTTTCCCGATATTAGCGACATTGCAAACGACTTCGTTGGGCTTCGACGAGATGTACGTCTCAGGAGTATAATCAGCGCAGAGACGGTGAGCCTTTAGGCCGTTATCGGTCGGAAGAAGCTCATCATAGTCAACATCATTGGGGCAAAGCACGCAAGGCATGCCCCTGCCCGGGATCTTGATACGGATCCTGATGCGTTTGACCTTCTTGGGCTTCGGTGCCTCCTTCGGCTCCTCAGCAGCCCTCTTCCTCTTGTTACCGCCTTTCCGATTCGCCTTCGCTTTGCTCTTTCCGGCGACACTGGGTGGCGGACTCGGTAGATGCTCATTCATCTCGTCGTCTTCATCGTCCGTTTCCTCGTAGTACTCTGGTGTCGGCTCGCCTCGCAATTTGCGTTCGATTTCGTTCACGTCGACCCATACACTGTCGGATTCGCATTCGCACTTCTTTGCGATGCGTCCGTAACTCAGCCAGGCTTCGTTGGCGAAATTGACCGACTCAGCACAATTATAGCCAAGATTGTAACCCGAATGGTAACCGTAGGGAAATGTGATGACAAACTCGCCCTCGTAGTGAACCAGTCGGTTAACCTTGATGTTGAACTGCTTCTCCAGTTGCGCCGGGGAGATAAGGTACGTCTTGTGGCGAAGAAATTGGGAGCAGTTCTTCGCATCATTCGGCCAGATACTCTTCATAGCCGCCTCGAACCGTCTGGCATCTTCCTGGGATATGCTGTACCATTGCTTCGGAGCGCCAAAGTGGATGTAGTTGATACTGTAGAGATCCACATCTTCAAGATGCCAGGCAAACGTCGCCTTCCACATCCCCAGATACAGATATGCAGTATTGACACCAGGAACCTTGGTCCCAAGCACATCGAGCAGATTCTCCAGTTTTGCAACGTTCCAGCTGGTCGTACGGTCGTCGAACAGGGATCCCGGCATATCAGCTCCATACATGGGCTGGCCGTAATTAATCGTCTTCCAGTAGATCTCCTCGAGCTCCTTGCACCTCTCAATGGTGAAATCGCCGACATTCTCGAGATGGTAATCAAAGCCGTCAAAGGCCGCTTCATCGACGTAGTCTGCCAAAGCGGTCCGATTGTTCATCCTACGGGAAGCGGTCGACTTGGGTTGACGGCCTTTGGGTTTCGTTGAGGTTGCATCGTCCTGCTCCTCTTTCTTCGCACGCGACCTTTTCGGTCTCTTTTCCTCGGATGCATCCTCCTTGTCAGGAGACTTAGGCGTGGGAGGAACGTCGACGTCATCCTCACGGCTTTCCTCTTCTTCCTCCTTCTTGTCTACCTCTTGCCCACGTCTCTTCGGAGGACGTCCGCGCCTCGGAGCCGGCGAACTGTCGTCCGTTGCCCTTGCGGAAGCTGCAAGGCGGGTAGATCGCGTCCTCGCAGGAGGATCGGCAGCAGCTCTACGCCTTTCACCCCTCTTGGCCGGAGGTTGATGATGCGCTTCCTCGGTCAGCGCCTTCCACTCGGGCAGATTATACGACCGCTGCTTCTCAATATTGGCCTGGGTGTAAATGCCATGCTGACCCGCAAACTCCTGCATAATCGGATTCTTGACCTTGATCGTCTTGACCGCTTCAGTAAGGTCGGGGAGAGAGTCGCGCCTAGGTTCAGGTGAGTCGGCTGTTGAGGCTTGGGGGAGCTTGGGGCAACTCACCATTCCTTCGGCGGTATGACTTTCACTATGCCAGACTTCATTCCGTACTTGTCGATCTTGTCGACAAACTTCTTGAAGCTCCTGAACTGGTCCATGGTCTACGCAGCATCAGCAACCATCCTTCCCATTTGCGCATACTTGACGGAGCATTCACACTCCCAAAGGCGCAACTTCCATCCCAAGCAAACAGTGATACTAGATCAACCAAAACGAATCTCATCATCACAACTCACCGGCTTAAACACCGGAATCCTCCCACCCTCAAAATAGTGATCCGGCTCAATCTCTTCCCCTTCATCATCACTGCTCTCCAACTCCGACAGCTCCGATGATTGCCTAACCTCCCTCTTATCATTATCCTCGCTCGTCGGCGGCGTAAGTGCAGCCTTGTCGGCGGCATGCTGCTCCTCCATACCTTCCATCTTCTCTTCAACGGACGGCACCACCACCTCCACAGGGGCCTCCATTCTCATTTCTCTGTAGCAGGGGCGTTGCGCGCCGGGAGAATGCGTGGTCGAAGGCGCGGATACGGGCATGTACGCCCGTGGTTGTGACGGTGGTCGTGCTCGCGGTCGCGAGCTCGTCTACCTTGTCGGCCACTCTCTCTCGCCACACAGAACGCCAGCGGGACTTCAGAGCTCGTACAACGAGGCTTGCTCAACGATAGAGGCGACGCATAGGCGTCAGGATTGTCGTAGGGACGTAGGGGCGCAGCGCGAGATGTGCAGGACGGGTGAGAATGTGGATGGTACGTCGGCCAGGAGGTTTCAAAGGGACAGGGCTGGGTGGGCGGGAACGATGGATTGCCAAGACGCTAGCCCAGGCGGGGAGAAGCGTGCTGTGGCCCCATGCCCAGGTGGTTGGTGGGTGGCTCCACCATCAGTTCATCAGGGCGCACCGGGGTGGGAATTCGACGAGGAGTTGTTGGTTCTCCAGATTTTGGACATCTGATAAGAATGAAACTTGTGTGGTGAGATAATTGTGAGAAGCGTAAAAGTATTCCGTCGTGTTATCATGGCATTTCCCTTTCATCGCGCCTAACTGAAGATCTACTAAGCGCAACGCTTCTCCAGCTGTAGATCTAGCCTTGCGTTCCACACATCAAGGGGGAGAACGGCAGACGGGTTCCTGCACGTCATTGGCCCTACGTGACGGGAATCTTATCTGATCCGCCCGCGGAGCGTTTACGAACCTGAAAGCAAGACCATGAGTGAGGATGCTGTGGAGTACAAGGTTCTCAGCCGTGCTAGGTATGGGCTGGAGTGAGACATGACAGTGCACTGGCAAACAGTACTTTCATAAAGAGGTCCGAATTGTTCCTGATATGAAGAAGGTCGTCGTTCACTTACCAGCTCTCGGTCGTGTTCACGTCTAAACTGGCGCAAGCAATCACTGCCACAGCATAGCTTGAAAAAATCCCACAAATATCCCAAACCATCCAAGGCAGCTGCAATAGTGATCGAGACACGACCTGGGCAATTTCTAGCACTGTCTACCGTCGTCGTCCCACGCCCGCTCTCACTGCGCCAGAATTCGCAGATCCCAAAACCCACGGGACTGCATCAACCCACATACGCGAAAGTAGCACAACACACCCCATCCCCAAACGCACGGTAAGAACAGCATGAACGTGCATCATCGGATTATTAGTGCAAGTTGCGTCACTGCAACTTCTCGGGACCCTGCACCGCCTCTGACACGCCGCCACCTCTCCCCACGGCCTCGGCAAACTGGGGAAAGATCAGATAGATCAGCCCTAAATAAGAACAAGCCACTCCCACGCCTCCCCCGGATTAACGCTGCAGGACAGAGGCAAGAAGCTAAAGTAGCCAGGTCCCATCTCTCCTATTCGCCATCTTCAACCTCAGTCACACCGCACATATAGATGTACAAGTAGACAACACAGATAGTGAGGAGGGATCAAATCATTTACATTCATACTTTTCCTCCATCTCCCGGTGGACCTCTGGCTGGAAGAAAGATAAACGGTTGATGCAATCCATGAGACCCAAAAATGCATCCCAATGCTCCATTGCTATGCACAGAGATATGAGACAGTGTTTTTTCACAAACATGTAATGATCTTCTCCCTATGCATCTCCCTCCTCTTTGCCGCAAGATGCTCCAGAAGTTGTTGGTTGGTATGACATGATATGACGGGAAAGAAGAGACTTCTAAGAGATTATGGCAACCCACCAGTAAGCCGTTCCCCCTCATCATGTTGAAGTGCTAAAGTGACACTGCGCAGACTGCGGCATCTACTGCTGCTGGGGCTGCAATTCACCGCCACGTGGGGCTGCCCTAAAGCCCCCACGACCACCACGGAAATCGCCACGACCACGTCCACCACGCCCACCACGGCCCCGTCCATCCCCACCACGAGGTCCACCACGTCCTCTGTAACCACCATGGAAGCCACCCCGCCCTCTGCCACCACGATGGTGATGCACCTCGGAGAAGCCGTCGTTGGGTGCCGTCGTAGCAGGAGCACCAGCAGGCGCCTCCTGGGCATCGTCAGCCCAACTCTGCACGCTGCTCACCGGGGCGGCAGCCGCCGGCGTCTCAGTTTCCGAAGGGTCGCGCGGTACCATCTCAAAAGATTCGGCAAGGGGCTCGTCGGTGCCGGAAGCGGGTTTGTCCCATTGCTCTTCTGCCGCCGGGTTCGCGGCGCCTGCATCGACGCTGGTGACCGCGGGAGCGCTCGGTACTTCTGTGTCTGCTGCGGCGCCACCAGTCTGCTGGCCCTCAGCAATGATCTCCGTAGGAGCTTCAGCCGTCGTCTCCTCCGCTTCGGGGGGAGCCGCCTGCGACTGTGCTACATCGTCAACCCACGCCTCTTCTGCGGCGAAGGGAGCCTCCGCAAGAGATGCCTGCTTGACCTGGGCGACTACGCAATGTTAGTTCGCGCGTGCGGTGACGACCATGAGTACGATTAACCTACAGGTGATGGTCAACGGCACGCCCTGTGTAGAGACGACTGTGTCCTCCGTGCCCTCCGTGATATTCTCCATCGCGGTAACGGCAGCTGCATCGCCTCCATAGACCGCCAACAAAGCACCCTCGAACGCTTCGGAGAGCTCCCCACCCTCCTCGGTCTGGCGGCGAGTCGCAGCTGCCATGAGGAAGCGAGATAGAGTGAGCAGCTTCTCACGGAATGCTTTCCTCGACTCTTGAGCCGCCTCCTCCTTTAGTGTCTCCCTCAGCTTGTCGAGTTCTTCCTGGTGTGCTGCCTGGAGCTGCTCCTTCTGGCGGGCAATTCTGTCTTCATACTCCTGAGCAAACTTCTTGTATTGTGTGATCTGCTCCTCAATCTGCTGCAGCTGGGCTTGAAGTGTCGGTTTCTTCAGTGCAGAAGCGCGCTGGTCGGCATTGATCTTGCGGGACGCGACGAGGTCGTCCAGAGACACCCCGGGGTTGGCTTCAATGATGGCGTCGACCTTTTGCATAGCATTCTGTAGAGGTCGTTAGTATGAAACGGCAAGACCAGTCAATTTGAGACGTACGAGTTTCTTGTTGATGTTGCGGATTTGCCTGAAGATCGAGTGTTAGTTAGTCTGGCTCTTCTTGCGCTCCTCCGGGATTGCACGTACTTCTGAAGCTCCTTGATGTAGGAGTTTTCGCCACCATCAACACCGTTAGTCTTGCCAGGTTCGACGCTTCCGACCTCCGAGGATGTCTTCTCCTGAACAGGCACGGCTGGAGCTGCAACTCCTGCCTTCGCCTTCTTCTTGCGGGCGCTCTTGGACTCACCGACCGCCGTTGTTTGGGGATTGGCAACGACGTCGGACATGGTTGTTGATGGGATATCTATCAGGCGGTGAGGGTAATAGATGATAGATGGCTTGACGCGTTCTATACAGAGAGACGACAACGATTTGGAATCAGGGCTGTGATTCTGGTGTTTTCGGAGCTTCGTGTGACGCGCTTCTCCAATCGGTGACGCTGGCTTGGCTGGCAGGGATGTGCTCACGTTTGTGGCTGGTTACAACGGGCAGCTCCTAGCTAGCGCGCTTGGCACAGCGCGGCCTCTCATTGGAGCGCCAACAGTGTCAACATGGTCAACGTCGAGTCCTTTCCGTCAACCGAGCGAAAATGCTACAGACAGTGAGAGTATTATTTAGGTGTTATGCCTCGTATTGATAATGAAACGGGTATTCATTGCCCTCGCAGATAGCCGAATCCGGGCGCGTAATGATGAAGGCCTGGTACATATTGGAATGTTACACCGTGAGTAGATGATACTGTATATAGAGGCCCACTTGATGGCTGTTGTCCTAATGCCAGTATTCGGGTCCCCTGTTATGGAGTAAAATCCCCCTAGGTGAAGGTTCCTCATTATTTTCAGAGACTGGGCAAGAGAGGAAGCCCATGAGCGTGCGAGAAGACTCTTTGGAGATCAACAGAGAGTGACGAACATAGGCAAGCGGTGAGTAACAATATATCCGGCTTGAATGAGTTTTTTATTCTGCAGGATGCTAGTCCTGCGGAGGGAGTAGTGTATTAGGTCGCACCCCCAGACGGGAGCCAATATATCCAGTCTGTGTAAGCTCGCAATTGCTGCCTGTCCGACCAGAGTCGAGGACGCGTTGATACCACTACCACCCGTGCTGGATGAGTATCGGTGAGATAGAACAGGAGAGCTCTGATTGTGAAGCAATGCTCCTCCAGCTGCCCACTTGCGTTGCTGCCATAGAGCTACTCTAAACCCGCACTGCATCTGTTTTTAAGGTAATAGTGGGACGCGGGACAAGATGTCTGGGATCTGAAGGCTTACCACTCCGGCGCTTGCGTTCCAAGCCGACGAAGTGACAAACAGTCAGCCAACAGGAATCCAAGCCGTGCTCATGAACGAACCAGTGGCAGCGCGGGGCGATCGAAAGCATGGGATGCATCCCATGAGCCGCAACTGAGACAACAAGCTGTCATCAAGGCCCAGCGAGGTGGATGGGTTGCATGTGACTGTATGGCTGGTCTTTTCCAGATCGAGCTCCTCTTGCTGTTGAGACTAGCGGAAGATGATGGGATGCGCGCTCACTAATATGGCGGAACGAAAAGGATCCTGCGAGTTCGCAATCCCGCTGGGGGAATCCAAGGCATTTTGGTGAAACAAACATTCGCAGATGAGTGACAGATCATGTCCGACTGCGTTTGTTGTCGGTATAATGGTTATAGCCTTCGCATTTCTTAGCGGATTTAGCTGCTTATCGCCCTGGCAGGGAATATAAAGAGGCTGGTGAGGAAGACATGCAATGGCAATTGTGGTGGTGTGGTGACTGCGGCAAAGCTCCCGAGTACATAGCACGGCGCCTCAAGCGAGTAGAAGCGGCCATGTCGAGTGATAGGCTGCCGGCAGACACAATAATCAATGGGCAAGCGCCTTTGAGGAGTATCAATCGGTGTGTTGCAACTACTAAGTCCTCGTTTGGTGTATTGGATGCGTGCGCTAATAAACCAGGGGCCTCAGGGCAAGAGTGAAGGGGTACCGATCTCTGTAACATGGAAGGCAGACAAACAGACATGCAGCTGAGCACTGGAATCCACCGACAGTCAGCGCGTCCGGAGGAGGTGTGGTCGATATCTGAAGCGGTTCCTAGGCAGAGTTTGTGGGTAGGGTCACATGCAAACCCCGCCCAGACAAGACCGCGATCGCGTGACTGGCCCGAGGCCCGGGGGGAATGCGAGAACTCTTGGATTGACATGGCAGAGGTGCCATCCGGGGGCTGTGGCCGTACTGTGTAAAATCGACAGTCTCAAAATGTTGCTTGAAGCTATTTGCGTGGATTTGCGAATGTAAAGACAAGAACAAGCGGGGAAGTTGGGGAGCAGCAGTGACCCGTGCGGCGCATAGATGGTTGCACCTACCTTGGTCATCTCCTTTGAGTGATGATGAATGTCGACCACGGCAAACCTCCCATTCCTCAGCAAACCCTCAGCTGCTGCCCCCGGTTATTCTACTACCGTGCCCTAACCCACCCCCCCTCAACACACTCACACACATCTGCTTGTTCCATCATCCAAGGTCGCAATAATGCTCCTTGGATCGCCCAATGAGGGAGGCGGGTGGCATGGCGACAGGGCGCCGTGTGATTCGCCGCAGGGCCGCCCCCCCGGCCCTGGAGCTGGTCTAGCGGGGGCGCAGCTTAAAGGCAGCCTCCGCCCAGGTTGCGACCACCCCCTCCCAGGTCACCTGCTCCTCTTCGTTCACCCAAGCACGGTCGCTCGTGATTCCCTCTCCGCCATACCCAACCTTTGGAACCCGGACCCATTTCCTGGCCCTCCACCGTTTCTCCAAAAGGGTATGCTACTGTTCTTGCCCCCGTGCGAAGCTTGCTCCCTTTCTTCTGCTCTTTTCATTTTTTGTTTTTGCGCGTCTTCTGTTCTGCACCCGGCGCGCGTCCCACTAAGCTACTGACACGCTGTTAAAGGAAAGCCGATCAGGTGAAGCCGATCAGGTGATCGAGCATCATCAAACAACCGCGTCTCCCGGCTTGTCCATCACGGTAAGTTGACCATCTTCAGCCCTCATTTTCTTCCCCGTCATATTATCCTTTTGCGCTCCGCTCCCCGCCCTCCGCTGCGACGACGCATCGACGACGTGCAACTCGAAACCTCCTCAAAATGCGGTTATCGCAACAACCTGTTCGCTGCCGCTGCCACCGCGGCGCCGAATCTCCTCTATATCTACGCCAAGTTACCTTTCACCTTCGCCCAGCACCGCTTGTCTGAGCTCGCGCTGCACGCCTGGATGGCGCCGTCATTCTCCTAATCGACCCCTCCGAGCTTCCTCGAGCGATTGCGGCTTCGTCCCACAGGCTGCCGCAATCGAGATGCTCGCTCACCTGAGCACCGTCTCCGTTTCACCTCCGTGCTACCGTTCTCAGCCTCACACTCCTGTGCTAACGTTTGTTCGTCACCAGAGCGCATGCACCTCGCCCGCTTACGATCGCTTCTGCACTGCTGGTGGCCTACTCGTATGAGCTGGCGCGCTGATCGCTGATCATCTGCGACATCGATCCTAGCATTCCCAAACTTGCATCAACGGTATTCGACGCAGGGTCCAGCGTTCGGCAAGAGATAGTCTTCAGGCGCCCACATCATCCCCGTCATGGCCGATATTGCTGGGTATCCCACCGATGCTAAGAGCGCACTCGGTGCGCATTCCGACCCTATCCATACTTCCAACAAACGAAAGCGTGACACGCGCGACCAAGGCCCTGCCAACGCCCGACCTGCTCCAGGATCGGTCAACAACGATTTGAGCGATCAGGCTACGGCCTCCTTCCTTGCCGCACACAACGCGTCGACGAACGAGGAGGACATGCAACAACAGTTCGATGTTCATCAGAACAACAACACAAATGCGGCGAGCGTTGGCGACACTGCTGCCGCCGCACTGGCTTACCATCAGATGACCGTCCCTCAAGCAACCGAGCTTGCCTTCCAGCCGCAGTCTGCGCCGGAGGGGGCTTCGTTCAACATGGGCGACCATCACCAGCCACCACAGACAGGAATGCAAGACTTCAGCCTCGAGGCTCTGAAGGCAGCCACGCAAACACCGCGTTCAGGCCCACCCGCCACGAACGAGTCCCCTCCAAGTACGACTAGTCATAAGCCTCCTGTTGGTTCCGAGGAATGGCACAAAATTCGCAGGGATAACCACAAAGAAGGTACGTCACCTACGTTGATAACTACATCACGAAGGCCCTATACTAACTCCCTCGTAGTCGAACGCCGCCGTCGTGAAACCATCAATGAAGGCATCAACGAACTTGCCAAGATCGTCCCGGGATGCGAAAAGAACAAGGGATCTATCCTTCAGCGGGCTGTTCAGTTCATTACTCAATTGAAGGAGAACGAACAGCAGAACATTGAGAAGTGGACCCTCGAGAAGCTGCTCACCGAACAGGCCATCTCCGAACTCAGCGCCAGCTGTGATAAGTTCAAGGCCGAGGCGCAGCGTGCTTGGGAGGAATGTGAGATCTACAAACGAGCCTGTGAGAATGCAGGCATCGTGCCTGAGGAAATCAAGGCGCGAGAGAACAATGGAGAGCAGAGCGGTCAGAGCTAGACTCCCTTGGCTCATCCGCGCATCGCTGCACTGAATCCCGGTTCCGCTGGTACTCTCACGTCTGTCGTGACGAGCAGTCACTTCGGAAAGTCACTCATTCGCGTCAGTTATCCTAGGGACCCCTGCGTCTTCCTTTCATCTTTCTGTTATGGCGTCCGGTCCGTGTGCTTTGCTGTTGTGGCCATAAACGGATGGGGCAGTCTATGTGGCACTCATTCGCCCGGTGGCATCGGTTTCAATGGGTCGTTTCAACTGGAGAGGTGGTGTTTCCATGGGTTTCAGCCTGAACAGAAGAGCTCTTTATGGACCCGATCATTTCTGGTGTTCTCGGAGTGCGGAATCACTTCAGGGATTAAGAAGTAGTTCTCATAATAAGAAGTACCATTCCACTTTGACGTGGCAGACGGGTCTAGTAGGGCTGGAACCATGCCTCTCACACAACTCTGCCTGGCTGCCCTTATCTGCGCTTCCATTGGTTGACAGCCAAGTGACCGCACGAGCCAATTCACTCTTGGCAGCAACTTCCGCCCTGACAGCGTCGTGGGGTAAGTCCACCTACTCTTGCCCTTCGTGGTCCCTGCTTCTCTCCCGTATGCATGCATGTGGAGTCCCCTTGCTGATATTTGGTATCATTTTGCCTCTCTCAGCCATCATGAGGTGTTCATGAGAGCTCACCAGCCATGAACATAACACCGAGCGATCTATTTGTTGTCCGCCAACGCTCTGTATCCCACAAGAGCTACCATGGACGCAAACCACAAAGCCGAGGACGCTGTCCCACCGCCTGTTACCGATGAAGCTGAGCTAGATGTCCTTCTAACAGAAGAGAGCGCAGTAGACCTTGTGTCTTGCGACGACCCTGACCCCCCGCTCGACACAGCTGAACAGCAAGGCCTTGTCCCAGACGAGGCCTCCCTCGAACCTCCCTCAACGGCTGAACCCGAAAACGCACGCCCCGCTAGACCTGTTCTCTGGCGACAGGTACCCGGCCGGGAAGTCCCTCCGCCTAGTCCAGCGCCATTGCATCTACCGCCGCCAGCTCCACCGACACCTTCAGTAGCCCTCCTCGAGGCCGGATTAGCGAGCGATTCACTCTCACTGTCGCAACTGCGCAGCCTGGTTGATACTGTCCCTGCAACCGAACCGACCCCATATGCATTCACGTACGACGATGCTTCCTCGTTTGAAGAGGAGCTCGAGGAGTGGTTCTCCTACAGCGTAGAAGAACAAGCAATTCTTCTCAAGACGTATACTTCTTTCTCTGCGGTTTGGGAGACCATAATCGGTGGGAAGTATGAAGATGGAGGGAGTGAGTGGACAGCCTTGTCTCAGGAGCAACAGAAGGAATTCATGAAGGTCTTGCTGGAGGATAGTAAGGACCAGGGATTACCCACCAGGTTGGACACTATCGAAGCGTTGGTGTATGTGCTGCTAGGTTGCTGGCATGAGAGTGCTGGCACCACACAGGGCCACAAACAGCAAGATTCCGGGGGGCAGGAGGGTGCCGACAGAGGCGACACCCTACGCTTCTCGCGATACAGCCAGGCCGGCGTCCAAGTTGATTTGATACGCAGGAACGTTCGGCTGTTCATTGACTGTGGCGGACTCCGGAGCCTTGTCGAAGGAATTCCCGATTTACTGGCTCGGACTATTGGAGAAGAGTCGCAATCAGCGACGTGCCAGGAGATCAAAGACGCGGGAAGACGTGAACTTTGGTGTGTGATGACTGCACTTTATGCAGTTCTCGAGGTCGCGCGCATAGAAGAGAAAGAGAAGGGTGATCTGTTCATAAGGAACGACATCATTTCGCTACCCAAGCCCGGTCTCTTCATGCTTTTGATTGGCGTGATCGACAAGATGCGCTGGGACGATTCAGTTGATATATCCATGACGAAGGTATTTCTCCTCGCCTGGAAGACGATTCTGGTGACCTTCGGCGGGCTTGTCGAAGTGGAGAAAGCAAAGCGATCGTTTGCGGATCAAAACCTCGAAGCTGCTGATGCTCGAGGACAACCAATCATAACAGCCTCACCCCTTGACTACCATCTTTTTCGTCAAGAAATCAGTTCGAAATATCCAGCCTACAACCCTCCCCCGCCTCTTTTCCCCCTCGAACCGGAGAACCGCTCTATCCTCCCTCCCCTCAAGAATCACCCGAATAGAGTTGCCGGAAACCATGTGTTCGGTTCCGGACTGGGAGAACTGAACGAGAACAATACTTCCATCTTCCAGCAGCCTGTACATATTGCTACCCCGGCGCCATCGCCTCCGCCATCGCCCGCAGGCCCTGGCGGTAAAGGCGGCAAGAAGCAAAACTATCAAACTAATCAGATGTTCCCATTCTTGTACCCTCCGCTGGATGAGGAGAGCAACAAGCTGGGCGGAAAAGGGTCAACTGACTTGCAGGATCTGTTGGTTGGACGGAAATGGGAAGGGTCCGACATCCCCACTTCGATCTTGGAAGCCGCCGAACTTTTTGCCAAGAGGATGAGGGCGTCCCGCGCGATGAAGCAGTTGTGGGAGGAAAGAGTGAATTACATGAAGTATGAACGAGGCTGGACCGGTGGCGACGACGCGCCTGATGTGGGCGAATTGTCTCTGGAACCGAAAGCCGGCGAAGCACAGAAAGAGCGGCCTCAGCCAGGGAGTATGGAGGAACGGCTGGAGTTGGTGGAGGAGTGCTATGGACAGGCACTCCCTTATCTGCAGTCTCTCGTCATTGTCATGATGAGGGTCTTCTTGTATCACGTCACCGCACTTCTAGTCCCGACAAGCAGTGCTAATGCGTTACAAAGCGGCTACCAATACCAGCCGAGCCAAGGTGGACAGTCTGGTAATGGACCTCAGACGAATGGGCTTAACGGCCATGCAGGTGGCCTCAATCCCAACGACGAGATCACGGACAAGATGCGGACCCAGGAGATCCTCGACAAGGCAGTCTGCGGAATGCTTTTGCTGCTCCTGAAATGGTTCAAGATTTCTCGTAAGCAAGTCCGTGTACAGAGCGTCTTGCGTTGCTAACGCGCCATGTAGACGTGCTCAAGTTCGAGTATCTTACTCAACTTCTTGTCGACACGAGCTACACGACCTTGATATTGAAGATGCTGCAAATGGTCGAGATTGAGAAGGCTGTCGTTTCCCGGACCGAGCAAGAGGAGCTGAAGTAGGTTGCCCTCGTGTGTTCTGTCGCTCAACTGCTCACCCATCGCCAGCTTCTTCCACTTCTGCCGCACCCACTCTCGCCACGGCATAACAGACGAGCAACAACAGCCACTCCAAGCCGATGAGCCCGACATGGACGACGCGGTTCCCCCTCCCATTCCCCTCCGACGCGCCGAGTCAGGCCCCGAACCCACGTCGCTTCCCGACCACGTTGCCCTCCCGCAGAACGTTCCCCCGCCCATACCCGAAGTCGACGAACTGGGCAACCCGCTCTCGGACCTCCCCCAGGAACCCATCACAGACTACTCCTGGCGCACCTTCTTCACCTACATCAACGCGCTCCGCATCATGCAAAAGATCAGCAAGCATAAGGCGCACAGAAACCTCATGCTGATCAACTACAAGTCGTCGCAGTTTCTACGGAAATGCCTCAAGGTGCCCCAGCCGTTGCTGAGACTGTACACGTTGAAGCTCTTCAAGAATCAGGTACCGTACTGCGGCAAGAAATGGCGGCAATCCAACATGCGCGTCATCACGGCCGTGTACCTCCACTGCCGACCGGAACTGAGGGACGATTGGCTTGCGGGCGCGAGCGTGGACCACGAGGTGGATATGGCGGTGCCGTTGGAGCAGGCGCTGCGGAGCCTGACGCATTGGCACAATGTCATGCGGTACAAGGAGGTCATGGGCGCGACGGGGGAGCTGGTGGAGAGGGAGAGGGACTTTTTCAGGAGGGAGCTAGACAAGATGGATTGGGGGGTCGGTGTGGAGGAAGGGGTGGATGGTGAGGCGGAGGGGTGGGGGGAGGGGCAGGTGGACGGGTGGTAGAAACAGCCGGGCAATCGGGAGGAATAGATCGGGCGATACGGGTGGGGAGGGAGGCTCATTGCGGAGTTTGTGTGCTTCATTCAGAGTCTGAAGCGAGGCGAGCGTTTTGTAGGGGGCGTGGTCAGTGGGGAACCTAGCCTTAGTGTATAACGTGTATAGCCCCGGTAGCCATCCTTAGACCGGCCTTTTGTAAGTAGGGATGACTGGTAGAGGTGGGTATGGAGGACTATGGATAGGTAGGTACTCTAGCAGGCAGTCGAAGTGACAGCCGGGGCATTTATTTTTTCCATGCTGCACGTACCCGAGACATGACATGGCCTCCGAGGGAGTGTCCGGATAGATAATAAATCACACGATTCTACTATGTATGGATTTTCTTGCTGTGCCGCAACGTGGTTTACATTACTGAGTGCTTACCACCAGCATTGAACTACGGTTGGGTATGCGCTCCGGGCGTGCGGGTAAACGGCTACCCGCTCCCGTTGCCCTGGGGAGCCCGTAGCTAAAGATGGTTTGTGGTTGTCGGGTTCCAATAAAAGGAGATGTGATGCGCGGATGCGGATGCGGATGCGGATGCGGGTGTGCGGCGTAGTTGTAGTTGGGGAGTGTGGAAGGAGGAGTATTATTTGGGGAGAGAAGGGAGAGAGGGAGGATGACGGAGTATCAGACGGAAAGGAATGGGTAGTCTACGGGATGTTGGGGGGAGAGAACCTTGGAAGGGGGGGAGTGTGTGCGACGCTGGTATGGGAAAGGGAGGGAGTGGATAGGTTGGAGGAAGAAGGGAGAAACGATGTCGCTCACAAGATGGGCAGGTGGATGCGGATGAGAGGGATGCGTGCGACACCACGCGCCCATCCTCCTGTACTGAGTATCCTGCTTGTGTATCCCGACATCCAGCAATTCCAGAAAGAAAGGGAACTGATAGATGTTAGATTCATGCTCTGACGCTTCACACACCTTTGCGATATCTTCGAGAATCCTCAGACTCGACATTCGACGATCCCACACCCTTCATGTCTAGCACGCCAACAATACCTTGCTTGTAAGCGAACCCCATCCCTTGCAAGCCCCGGCGCTCCGCGGCGCGGGACCAAAAGTTGCCGTGGGAAGCGAACCATTCAGCGCTCAGCCCGGGTCTGCGTGGGTGCGGTGGCGCTGGCGGGACCGTGGACGTGGTGTGAGATGTTCCCGGTTCTTTTTGCACATAACAGCGGTTCACGGTGGGCAAGGAGCGTGTTGCTTTTTCTTTTCCTTGTTAGAAGCTGTGGGGTTGTAGGATTGGGAATGAGGTGAGGGAGTGGACATTAGTGCAGCGGAGAGGAGAGTGGTCTTGGGAAGATGGCGGAGGGGACGGACAAGTCGTTGATATTGGGGAATGATCTGGGAACAAGGCGCTGGGTGAATGGTGCAGGTGGTGGGTTGCACTAGCGGACACCAATAATCCCAGCTAATCGAGTTTCGGAATGGCGTACTGCAATGTGGTTGGGCGCCGTTGATGAGGGAGGGTGGAAAGTGGGGCCGCTAGTGGAAGCTAGTGGCGGGATGGGTGGAGCCTTGGGTTACCCGAGTACTGTTGAACGCGTTGCTCCGTATCGTTCTGTGTGTTTTGTACGGAGTATTTAATCGAAGCGAGATGTTGTCGAGAGCTGGTGGCTTGATGCCATTGGCCTGCAGAAGGAGGGATTGGAACGGATAGAGAGGAGCAGCATGTTTGGTTGTGTTGTTGTGTTAAGGGTATGGCCTTTGGAGGCGAAACTCCTGTTGATGCAGAAGTTGCAGCCGTGTAGAGGAGCTGTCTCTCCATCTTTGCCTTCACCATACCACAGTACAGTACACGCGAACTGCGCAGAGCGTTGCATCAGCGCGTAAAGTACCTGACACACCAAATTTTCCCAGGAATACAGAATAACACTTCCTGGCCCTGGCACCCCTCCATCCCAAGGGTCAGGCACCCCCTTGTCACGCACAGCCCTTTGTTCTCCAATTCAGCCGGTTCCCCCAGCCAGCCAGCCCGTCGAACCCTCTCTCGTTTCCTGCCTCTCCCTCTCCCGCTCGCTCCCGCCCCCGAGACTCCACTCCCCTTCCCCTTCCCCCCAACCACGACCATCCGTCGTCCTCAACCACCAAAAGGACGAACCATCGCGACCTGAGCGCGAGAATTCCACACCCAACGACCCATCCCGTCGTTGGCACGATTCTCGAGGCCGTCGCTACCCTCGCTGTCGCAGTGTCAGCCTCATCGACAGCACCCCGGTCGTTCGCCTGATCCTCAGCTCTTCACCCTCACTCGGTCCCCTTCATCCGATTCACCCCATTTCACGACGCTGGGAAACGTCGTCCTCCCGAGTTCAATTGCGAACGCGAATCCCGCCGAATCTCACTCGCCATAATCGTCGCCTCCACCATTCGCTCTTCTCGGGACCTTGTTCCAGGACTCCGGGTCAGCGCCGCTAGCTGGGTCAACTACGCCTTTGACGCGCTGCCAACGCCATCCTCGACCGAGTTCCATCGCTCATCAGCGTGAGTGATTTTGTTCTTCCGTGTGAAGAGGGCCGAGACTAGGCTCTCGTCTGTCGCATTAGGAGCGCAATTGAGTTCTCGACGCGAACAGGAAGAGTCGATCGGCGTGTGTCTGGCATCTGAAGGCTGTTGAGATCACATCGGCACGAACAATTGCTGACCGCTTACCAGCTCCCTCACATACGTGTCTGTCAGAAAGAAAAAAAACGTTTGACTACTCGATATCAAGATGGCTACCACAATCCCCGTGCAGAATGAGACGACGAGCTCCTCCTCTCGCATCACCCAAAAGGGCCGCAAGATCACCTATAACCTCCAGGTAATCCAACAGCCCATGCGCGCTAGAGCATGCGGCTCGGGCGCCAAATCCTCGGCCGATAGGCGTCCCGTCGATCCTCCCCCTATTGTCGAATTGCGTGTTTTCGAAGGAGAAGGCCCGAACAAGACTGAGATCACCTTCGCCTATCATGCCAACTTCTTCCTCTTCGGTGAGTGAGCCTGTTCTCTCAATCTGGAACGCAGGCTGATGGTTTGAATAGCCACTCTCGAGAATGCTCGTGCCATTGCGCCAGGTCGCGCTCCCCCGGCGACGCCCAGCTTCCCCGTTTTGACTGGCACTCCAGTTGCCGGCATGGCCTATCTTGACCGCCCATCTCCGGCTGGTTACTTCATCTTCCCCGATTTGTCTGTTCGTCATGAGGGGCAGTACCGCCTCAGCTTTGCCTTGTACGAGGAGCTGAAGGAAAAGGATGACATGGATCCTCCTGATCACACTGCCATCCACCTCCAGAACGGCATCGAAGCCCATGTCACTCACCGCTCCGAGGTCAAGTCGTCTCCCTTCATTGTCTACTCGGCCAAGAAGTTCCCCGGCTTGACCGAGAGCACCGCTCTCAGCCGCATGGTCGCTGAGCAAGGTTGCCGTGTCCGTATCCGTCGTGATGTCCGCATGAGGCGCCGCGAGAACAAGTCCTCTCGTGAGTATGATGAATATGAAGAAGAGTCCGGTTACGATGCAGCTAGGCGCACAGCTACTCCTGATACCTACGGACAGCAACCCGGAATGCCGGCTCCAAGCCCTGCAGTCGATGGAAATGATCGTCCTCGCTCCGTGTCCAACGCCAGCAATACGTCCTTTGCTCCGCCTCGTCGCCCTAGCATGGACGATATGGCTCAAGGATACCAGGCCAACAACACGTACCAGCAGCCCATGGCGCCACCGCAGAGCACCGGGAGTTACCAGATGTCTCATTATGCTACTAACCAGAGCTCGTACCAGAATCAGTATGCGCCGCCTTCTCATGCAGCCGCTCCGTTGATGCAGCCCCCTCCGGCCCCTTACTCGCACCAGCCAGCCCAATCGCACAGCTCGTACCAGCCCCAGAGCGGAATGAACATGGGACAGTCGTATGGATACATGCCGAACCAGAGCTATCAGCAGCCTCAGTATGAGCAGCCCCCTCCAGTGCGCCAGGAGGAATACGCTCAGCCCATGAATGACTATCGCCGACCTTCAGTCCCTCAGAGCACCCAGCAGTATGCAAGCAATAACCACATGATGGCTCCATATGGCTCCATGGATCAGTACAATCGCCCTCAGCAACTTAGCCAGCCGCTGCAGAGTCCAGGTCACAATGCCCCAGCAACCACCTCCGGTCCCATGCATGGAAACGCGCTAGCTCCTCTGAGGACTCTGCAGCCTCCTGCCCCTCTGAACAAGCTCGAACCAGCCTCGCCCGCCTACCAGTCGCCTCCACACTCGCTCTCTGCCCCAATGTCCGCCACTTCGGAGGCTCCTCAGAACCACGGATATCTCGACAACCGCCAGACTCTCCCCAAGTTCGTTCCTCAGGCACAAACCACGTCTATCCTCGGTCAGAAACGTCCCTTCTCCAGCACCTTCGATACCAGCCACATGACTGAACGCCTCCAACAAGGCGCCAGGCCTAACCCTTCTGGAGCCGGCTACAACTACGAAGGTTACGATGATGGCGACATGGAAGAGCCCATGGACCGCACTGCTATGAGTTATCGTCGCGCGGATGGGACTCAGCGCCAGCGACGGGTTCCTGAGCTGGGTTCCTAGAGTCTTGATCCGTCTGCATACTGGATAGATGGATGGCTTCTGCGCCGGTTATCTGGTTACGTATTTTCTTTGGGCATGGATCTTCGGTCACGGCAAACTCGGCTATATTTTCGACATGTCCACCACTCCGTCTCGCCACAAGATGTCCCGGTCATAACAACAATGGGAAGAACGAGTCAATATTGTGTGGGTGGCATGGGATCTAGATGGGATGGAGTGAATGTATGGACTGGAATGGGAGGGGTTGTTTCTCAACTCCTCGACTCGGCCTTCAAGGTCTACCACTTTTTCTTTATGTCTTTCTCTCTTTCCTTGCCCTTTTATTCTTTTCTTTCTGCAGCAGCTCGGAGACGGAAATCCGATTCTCCGGAAACGTAGACGGTTCCCTCGAGACGGGCGGATTACCTTGCCCTTGTTCCAAGGCGCAAACTCTTTTTTCTCTGTTGTTGTTCTGTTCAGAGGATGAGCTCAGGTGGCAGGGTTGTTGTTATTGTTGTTGTTGTCGTTGTTGTTTCACTGTGGACAGGACAAGAGAGGACACGGATACACACATAGCACATACAGACACACTGGGACGCTGACTGAAGTCTTGTGCGCACTAGCACGACTTTTCTTTTCTTTTCTTTCCTTTTCTTTTTACCCTCTCCTTTTTCTTTCTTCTCAGGTATACCGGGATTTTCTTTTCCTTGGGAGGAATATCGAGATATCAATGCCAGATTTTCAAAAATTTCAAACCTTGAGGGCTTTGGATGTGCTAAGCTTGTGCTTATTTGGTGACATTGCTTAGATCGATTGATGAGTTGATGACCTTAGAGGAGGAGGAGGAGGAGGAGAGGAGAGGAGAGGACGGGCAGTAGGACTAAAGAGGAATAAAGAGGAATAAAGAAGAGGAGGGCTTTTCGTGACCCTTGAGCGGTTGCATGCCCGGGGCCTCCCTCGATGCTTGTCCGCGTATTCCACTGAAGAGGCAGAGATCTGGCCCCATGAAGCCAAATACTTATATTTCCTCCCAGGGCAGGTATACTTGCAGGCGTAGTTCATCTATCTCCCAGCAAGGGAAGAAAACCAGGGCTAGTAAAATAGGATGCGGCGGAATGGGTACGTACCGGGTATGTTACCACCTACTAGTATTTCATTTGTTGGTTGTATGTACTAACAACGCGCAAAGGTTTGATTTTGCGAGTTTGGGTTGGTTTGTGCATGATTGGGGGATAGGGAATTAGTTTGGTAAATAGAATAGAATAGAAGCGAAGGATGGGCCTGTGGAGATTTCGTTTCTTTTCTCATCTAACGGCCGGGATGGGTATGTAGGAATCCTAGGGGATGGTGAGTAGGAGGGAAGAGAGAGGTAGAAGGGAATGGGAATGGGGAATGGGGAATGCGGCTAGGGCTGGCGATGTGCTTGGTTTGGCATTTTGTGATTTTAAGACATGGACGGACTGGAGCGACCAAGTTCTGCTAGGGAGCATGGAAGAAGGAAGATCTGAAGAAGATGAATGAGAGAGCCTGGAAATGGTGGTTACTATGCAGCAGTCCTACCTACGTCAAGAACATCCTACCAGAAACCTTGGAAGCTAGACGGCAGTGCCCTCAACCCAAGAAAAAACCCCCATCCATCATTTTCCCGCAAATGGAGCTTCGCGAAAATCAAGTCCATCGACTCTCGACGAAGTACGCTGTTGAGGATGCAGACGGGGAGGAGGGAGTTAAAGTGAATCCAGGCACACTATTGTCCCATTATACAGCAATAGCTAGGCCAAAACAAAGGCGGGAGTGGGCCTATAGGCCTGGGGCTTCAAGTCCCTTCATTTCGGGGTCCTAATCATTAGGGAGTATGACCTGCAGAACCTACTCCCTCCCTCCGCAGACTGCCTTCAGACTGCGGAATAAACACTCATCTTTAGCCGGATTAAGCACCCTGTAAAAAGCCCCGAATGAGCCCGGCAAGCATCGTGCCCTGCGACCGACTCAGCATCGTCGAGTGATTGCCGACAGTAGCGCCGGTAGTGATTTCTCGCGCCGTCAATCGCATCCAATCCACTTCCGGGTCCAGGGGCTCCCACTCGCCCCGTCTCTCGTCAGGTTTAACGAAGAAGGCGTGTTTGATACCGTCCGAGAGCGAGGGCTTCCAGAGTTTGTAGATGCGGCAGTGATGGAGAAACAGTTGCGCGAATCTCTCGAAGCCTTCGTACCTCGGATGCAGCAACTGCAGCGAGGGATCCAATTCCGTCAGATAGCGGTGGACGTCTTCGGTTGTCCTCAAGTCCCCCAGCCGCATGGCTGAAGGCGTGGGCGTATCCAGCATCACTAAGTTTCGCATCTCGATTGCAGGGTCGCTGCAAAGCAGGTTGGCGCATGCGGCTGCGATGCCACCGCCGAGTGAATATCCAACGAAGTCATACGGGCCAGAACAATATCTGAGAATGCTGTTGCTATAACGAGAAGCCATAGTGTCAATGTCGGCCTCGTAATGGTCGTCCGTGAGGCCCCTGGCCCACAGCGCTACCACTGATCGACCCGTGCGGGCAGAAAGACTGATTGCGAGGTCTTGCAGCGTAGATATTGCGCCCCCGGCCCCGTGGAACAGGAAAATGGGAGGGATGTTTTCGAGGCCTTTGGACAAAACGACGAGTTCCTGGCCAGGGTTTGCGGGAACGGCTTCGGCGTTGGCGTCGGCGCTTGGATGCAATTGTGTATCGACGAGCGCGGCTAAGCCTCTGATCGTGCATTCGCCGAGTGTGAGAGATTCCTGCGGTCGAAAGCGAGTACCCAGTTTTTTGTTGAGGTGCCGAACCAAGATGATGCCGCTCAGCGAATCCAAGCCGTATTCCAGCAGTGGAATGGTGAGGGAGAGTTCGTGAAGGGATTGGCCGAGCACATCTGCGAAGAGTTCGAAGACGGTTTGTTCGGTTGTCGATTCGAACGCAAGTTCTGGAGGAGCCGGCGACGAGGTGCCTTCGATCCCGTTTTCGACGTCGTCCAGAATCGTGGAATTCTGGGTAATGAGTCCTGTCGATCCGAAAAGGGCTTGTCGGGCATATGCTGGGAACCTCCTTCCGAAACGCTTCCAATCGATCCGGGCGATGATGAGGGATGCCATGTGGCTCCCACCTATCTCAACAGGCGCCGAGGACGTCACAGCTCTCAATACAGCAAGACCTTCAATAGGTGAGATGGGTTCCAATCCTCTTTGACGCATCCGCGCTAGGACATTTGGAGATGATGCCGCACCCACGTCGCTCCATGGACCCCATTCAATTGCCATGACAGGACGACCTTGCGAGGAGAGCAATCGAGCAATGGAGCTCTCGAAACAACATGCCGCGGCGTGATTAACCTGACCCGCGTTGCCCAGAGCTCCGACAATAGAGCCGAAGAGGACGAAGTTATCGAGACAATCATCTCTAAGCACATGTAGGAGATTGAGCGTCCCGTCCACCTTTGACCGTAACACCGTTTTGAACGTATCCCATGACTGATTCATGAGAGCACCATCTGAAAGGGCTCCGGCGGCATGGAACACTGCGCAAAACGGTGGCATGACGGCCCTCATTTCGTGGATAGTAGAAGAGAGTTGTTCAACATCTCCAATGTCGACGCGTGCAACGCGGCATGTCTGAGGAAGATGTAATCCTTTCTGGACATCTTTTCCTTGGGATCGCGAAAGCAGGAGAATATACTTCGCTCCATGTTGAAGCAAGTCGCGAACAATGAGCTGTCCTAGGCCACCAGAACTACCAGTTACGATATATGTTGCATTAGGTCGTAGATTCCACACGTTGTTATGACTCTGGCTCCGCAGTTGGGTTTTGATGAGACTAGGTGAATGAGTTTCCGAGATAATTCGACGCACCAATCGTCCTGATCTTCGATAGGCTATTTCGGGCTCTGGACAAGCTGAGAAGATCTCCCTGGAAATGGCCGCGGCATCGATTTGCGCATCATTTCCCACTTCCAAATCCACAGCGACCAGTTCAACCGATGGAATCTCTTGAACAGCACTACGGCACATGCCAAGGACAAGTGATCCAAGCAGCTGCAACTCATTCAAGCTTTCAGTGTTCCGCTGAGTAACACACTGAGCCGAACGCGTTACCACAATGACTCGTAATGCAGCTAGACTTTCCGGATCGATCTCTGCCAGTTTTTGGAGTTGCTTGAGAAGCGGCTCGCAAGTATCCCGCTGCATCCGTCTGCGGTTCTCCTCGTCAAAGTCATGCAGCATGTTGTAACCAGGCATAGTCCGGCCAAGTACGATGCTGCACCTACGGCCGGCATTCTGCGCCATGTGCAGAGCAGATTGCAATTCGTCAGCATTGACATCCCTCTCAATAACACAGTGCACACCGTGATGTCGAAGTACGGTTGGCAAGGCCGCAGATAGCGAGTCGTCATCCAAGAGCAGCTGGCACCAGTCCACTGATAGTTCCTCACGGGTATCGATGCCCATACATTGTATCGCCTTATAAGCGGTGATTACCCCCTCTTTCATCGATCTTCCAAGTTCGGGAGTCTCATCAGAAGGCTGCACTTCTACATTCCCAAACCCAGCACATTTCAGGGCTTCTCTCCAAGCTTCTGATCCCAGCAGTAGGGAACTTTGGCGAACGAGCTTGTCTTCAAAATGCCACCATCCCGGTAGTGTCCCAAACACGAGTTCCTGCCAAATCTCCGGTTCAAAAACCTCCACGAGGGTTAGAAGTCCACTGGGTCGAAGTAACCAGTTCAGATGTCGAAGTGCGATTGAGATGTCTTTGACCGCATGAACGCAGTTGGAACAAATAATGACGTCGAAAGAGCCGGGTTTAAACCCTTGCAAAGCGGGATGCACCTCCAAGTTGAGAACTTCGGTCTTGAAATATGGTAACGTCGAGAACTGAGGCCGTGCCTCGGTGGAAAATACGCGGGAAACGTCGGTGAATAGATAGAGTTCGAAAGCGTCAGACGATGCATGGGACAGTAACTCCGAAGTAAAGCTGCCCGTTCCTGCACCAACCTCCAGGACCCTTACTGATGGTTTCTTTTGAATGAACTGCCTCACGGCACTTGCAGCTAGATAATTCGAGAGTGCGTGGAATGGATAGGATCGATAATGATCCTCAAGGAGAGGAAAGAGAATGCCATCTGCGCTTGTACGTCCTTGGAGAATTGCGGTCAACGCGTTACCGCAGTCCTCAACGATATCCTCTTCCACTGGTTTGTGATTGCATGGCGCGTCTATTCCACCATTGTATGTGAGGTCGGGTTCGCTTGAAAGCTGAATGAGGCGTTTGCAGAACCGAGTATGTCTATTGAGAACTCCGGCTTTGGTAAAGGCTTGTATATCATCCTCATTCGGAACCTCAGCATCCGTGAGCCCGAGATGCTGTAAAGTCTTGCAAATGTGGCCCACAGCTCGTGTATTTAAGAAAGGCTGCAGCTTGGCACATTGTCGGGCCTGTATTGTCAATTCTTGAAGCCTCTCAGCTGAGGCAAGATCGCTTTTCAAGACATCGAGAATGTTCGTTGTTGAACGGTCAATGATAGGGCCGGATGTCTCTGTCTCATCCCAATGTTCAAGCGCAACCAAAATCGATAAATTCATCGTATCTGCCGACGCTCCAGACTTGGCGGTAGGTTTTTCAATCTCATTCCCATTGATTCGGTAACGGGAACCTTCAGGGGCGTGAACTGTAGATGCCTGGAAAGTGCATGGAACTCTCTCGAATGGATAAGTCGGCAATTTGATTCGTTGTACGGCATGTCCGCGGCTTTCATTATGCAGGGAGATATGGCATCGTTTCAGCACATCATCATGGCCGGACTCCCACATCTTGCAAGCCCCAATGAGCAGTTTCTCGCGGATACTCGATGCCTGGCAAGAGAAGATGTCCAGCACATCCACCTTTTGGTGGTTCTCAAAACGTAGCGGCCGAATAAGCATGCTCAATACACTGGAACCGATCTCGATAGCCAGTGCCTTTGGAAGCTCCTGAGAAGCACTCTGCATAGCAGAGGCAAACAATACAGGTTTACGAATATGCTCAACCCAATGAGCTGCGGGTATCGGCGATCCGACCTTCCATTGTTTCCCGGTTACGGTGGAGAACAAGGGTATGCTTGGTGGTTCGAAACTTGATGCATACGGCGTGATAGCTTCCAGGAATTCATCCAGAACGCAGTCCATCATTCTGGAGTGGAAGGCTCGGGTCACGTCCAATCGTCGTGCGGTTGAACCCATATCGCGCAACCGTATCTCCGCTTCGCGAATCGCCGGGACTTCACCAGAGAGAACAAAGCTATCTGGTCCGTTCTCCGCCGCAATGGACAATCCTAATTCAGAAGCCAGCATGAAACAGCTGGACTCTGACATGCGAACTGAAAGCATGGCGCCTTCTGGTAATCGGTCCATCAGCCGGCCCCTAGCAACAACAATCGATATTGCGCCTTCAAGAGATATTGCGTTGGCGATGCATGCAGCAACGATTTCACCAAAGCTATATCCCAGTACGCCTCCGGGTGCCCCAAGCGCTGTGCATAGCAGACGCGCAATGGCGTATTCAAAGACAAATAATGATGGTTGGGTGATGTGTAGAAGCGAATGTCCATTTATATCTTCAGGAGCATTCTCTGGATTCCCCCCTCGTTTGAGCAGTAGGTCGCGAACGGCTTGAGATATAAGATATTGATCAAGGATCTCAAGACACTCCTCCACAGCTTGTCGAAATACCAAAGACTCCTCGTAGAGGCAGCATCCGAGTTCTATGAGCCGAGATCCTTGCCCAGGGAAAACGAATAATAAAGGTCGATGGTGCGCTCGAGTTAGTATCGGGTTATTCCCTTTGCGCAGACGGGTTACTGCATCATCTACTGACGTCGCAATGAAGGCTTGTCGGAAAGGTAGAGCTCGACGCCCGTTACGAAGAGTATGCGCCACATCTCGAAGAGAAACCTGTGGATTTTGTTCCAAAAATTCTGCAAGTTGACCGCACTTCAGGCTCAAGGCTGTGATCGTTGCTGCCGACAGAGGAAGAATGAGGGCTTCACCAATCTCTTCGCGAGTTTTTGGATCAGAATTCTCATTACTGTCGAATTCCTCCAGAACGAAGGCTGCATTCGTTCCCCCAAAACCTGTTGACAATGCGAGCCCGGCTCGCTTCATGTGCTCTCCAGACACTCTCCAGTCCACGGCATTCAATGGAAAACGGAGGCGGGTTTGGAAGGTGTTGAGATTCGGATTTGATTTGAAATTTGCAATCGGTGGTATCCTTCTGTTGTGCAGACACAGCGAGAGCTTGATGAGACCGAATACTCCAGATGCAGAGTTCGTATGGCCAATGTTCCCTTTGATTGCACCGACATGACACAATTCACCGCTTTGGCTTCCGAGCATTTCCGAAATGGCTTTGAATTCAATGGCATCTCCGATCGTGGTTCCTGTACCATGGGTTTCGACATATGAGATTGAATGGGCTGACATTCCGGCATCGAGCAAAGCATCGCCCATCGTGCGAGTCTGCCCTTGTGCAGACGGCGAGTGGAAATTGGCCTTTTGGCCCCCGTCGTTCAATACACTGTAACCTTTTATCACGGCGAGGGTATCGTCCCCATCGGCGACTGCGCTACACAGCCGCTTCAAGATTACAACTCCCACGCCATCGGTCAGGACCGTTCCCGAGGCCTTATCGTCAAACGGTCGACATCGGCCATCGCGTGAAAAAATATATCCTTCAGTGAATCCATAGCCGTCACGCGCAGGGAATCGAACCGATGCGCCCCCAGCAATTGCAATATCGCACCTCCCTGCTCGCAAACTGTCGCATGCAAGAGCAATTGCCGCGGAGGAACTTGAGCACGCTGTGCCGACCGTTATAGCAGGTCCGCGACAATTGAGCTTGAAGGCTGTCAACAATGAAATGTAGTCCATGTCTGTTCCAGTTTGGATCAAATGGTTGGTCCCTTGGTCGTCATCGGTATTCGTGAGCACATGGCGAAAATACGTACTTTCTGTCGCTGCTGCGAATACGCCGACGCGCAAGTTTTCGTCGTCTGCGGTGTATCCACACCCTTCGAGGGCCTCGTACGAACATTCCAGGAAGAGGCGATGCTGAGGGTCGGTACACTGTGCTTGCTTCTTCGTCATATCGAAAAGGATGGGATCAAAGTCCACGGAATTTTCAAACGAGGTTCGGGCTTCTATCCATGAGCTTGGGGATGGTGTCTCCGTTTGTTTTGGACTAAACACAGTATCTTTCCCTTCCATGATGATATCCCATAACTCTCTTGGTGAACTTGTAGAGGTGCACCGTACTGCAAAGTTGATAACAGCGATATCCTTGGTCGAGTCTGATGATGGCACTGGGTTTCTGAATATGCCACTGCCGGACTCCTGACGCTTCATGCATATACATAGACCTAAGAGGCTTGCACTAGGATTGTCGAAGATGTCTGCAACTGAGATATCTAATCCAAGTTGTTTTGAAAGCTCCATAGCAATAGCTACTGCCAGAATCGATGTTGTTCCGTGATCGAAGATGTTGTCCGATGCAATCAGTTGATTCTTTTGAAGCCCAAGCTTTTGACAGAACACAGTCAACAGGACATCTTCGACCTTTTCGGTGTCGGGCATGCTCCAAGCCATGTCAGATGATGCTGCCGATTGGTTTGGGGGTGGAATTGTCGTAGCCATACCATACCGCTCAAGGAGAACTTTGTCGTCTATTTTCCCACTTGAATTAAGCGGGAATTCCTCCACGAAGATGAAATTGCTAGGAACCATGTACTGTGGAAGCATCTCCGCTAACATGCCTTTCAGTTCCATAGCATCAACAGCAGGCGCAATGAAGGCGGTAAGACGTCCTTCATGAGAATTATTGCTTGTATACCTGACCACTGCCTCGGAAACCATGGTATGCAGTTTCAGCGCAAGTTCAATTTCCAGCAGTTCCACCCTCTGCCCAGCGATCTTGATTTGGGTATCCGATCGACCTCGATAAAGAAAATTGCCGCATTTGTATTGAGCAAGGTCCCCAGTGTGATAGAGAACCGCAGTATTGCTATCTCTAATCGGTCCAGGGAGGTCTACCGGCCGGAATCGTTGACGCGTTTCCCCATCAACAACGTATTGGCCAAGGCCGGTGCCAGCAATACATATCTCCCCCTCATCACTCACCTTTCCAGCGTTATCGAGCAATACGATTGATGTGTTCCATATTGGAAGCCCAATGGAAATGGGATGGGATGCATCTTTAACACGACATCCAGTCGACCAGATAGTAGTCTCGGCAGGGCCGTAGAAATTCCACAAAATGCTATCTCGGTCGAGAATGTATGAAGCAATGTTCTGAGAAAGAACCTCTCCTGCCTGGATACACACATTACCAGGAGAAGGGATCCATCCACTGTCTATCAGGAGCCGATACTGAGATGTGGTGCCCAGCAGATGATTGCTCTGACTCGCGTACAGGAAACTCTTTAGGAGCTTGGGATCCTGCATACAGCGATGACTCGCTAATGCAATTCGACCTCCGACTGCAAGTGGGACGAAGAATGGAATGGCCGAAATGTCGAAGCTTATGTTGGTGCAGTGTGCGAACACTACACTCGTACTTCGAGGTTGTATGAGAACTTCTTCGATGAAATGCTGAACAACGTTTGCCAATGCTTGATAGCGAATACGGATGCCCTTGGGGACGCCCGTTGAACCCGAAGTGAAGATGAAATTGTTGATCCGGTCCTTCATGGGTCTACGGCAGAGCAAACGTTCGTGCAGATTGTCGATGTAAACGTCCGGTAGTATGCCAATGATGCCACTGATGGCAGTTACCTCTATATCGTGGTGGAGCCGATCGACTATGGGTGCTCCAGAATCGTCACAAAGAACATGACGGATAGCGGATATTTTCAGCATCGTTTCGATACGTGTTGCGGGAAATGAGTTGTCGAGAAGCAAGTAGGGCAAACGAGCAAACATGCACCCGAGAATGGTGGATATAAGATTCTGAGTACGCTGACAGAGGATGGCGACGGACGGGTATCGCCTTGCTGAGACGTATTCGCTCACGCACACTGCACTTTTGCAGAGTTCCAGGTAAGTAACAGGAGGACCGGTATCCGAGACTAAGGCAACCGATGATGGACTCTGCAGAGTCTGTCGTACAAATAATACTTCAGGTCCGTGCCAGGGAAGAATGGGCCGATGCGGTCCGCAGAACTGAGTGTATTGCTGAGCCGGATAGACTGCTGCATTGGAGATAATACTCTTCGCAAAAGCAGTTGCAAGATTGCTATCTGAGGATTTCAGATAGAGACATGGATCAGTCATCTCAAGTTCCATGAGCAGCGGTTGCCTATTCACATCCAATACCATGTCCACCGCAGCGAAGAGTAATCGGAAGTTGCCCGGATGGTTCGGTGATGATGTGACGAGTGAGAGAAAAGCTTCCAGTGCTTTCCTTGCTGCTTTGACCACAACATCATAGTCTGGGAATTTGAGTCGATCAAGGCGTTTCCAGTTGTCCGATACGTTCGTGCGGAAATCTCCTGGTAGCGGAAGCTTTTGTACGACATGGGAGAATTCAAGACCAAGGAATATACACCGAATCTCCCCGCAGGTTTGGATGCTGTCGATAAACGGTTGGACCATTGCATCGCTCCAACTTAGAGTTTGATTGATGGTTTCGAGAAGCTCGGGTTCATGAGCTTCGTCTATACGATGCAGTCCTCTCGCAACCGATGAAATTGTTGGCTTGACTATCAAGGCCTTGTGATGTGATAAGAAGCTTTGATCAAGAATGGAAACGGCATCTACTCCGCGGGGTGAGCCAGACTGTAGGGATTGTCGGGATGCCGACTAACTCCAACTGTTGTAGATACTGTTTGTCCAAATTCCATCGATGGATATCCGTCGGATTGAGAACGACGACGTCGTCCAGAGAGTCCACAAAGTTTAGCCAGGATTGAAAACCAGTCGGATTAAGATGGTGATACGTCAGTCGAGTTACCAGAATATCGAAATCCTTCCAATCAATGTTCGGGTCATCCCACCCGACGACGGAAACAACGTGGCCCCATGAACTCAGGATATCGGTCCATGCTTGATCATCCTGGCGCATATGAGGCTTTTCCAAGGAGGCGACATATGCGATGTGATATATTTGCGTGTTATCATGAACCCCGTTCTCCTGCGTCGGAATCTCACCCTCGATACTGCTAGGGAAATGAACCATGAGACCTGTGCTTCGGTGCAAGCCACTGTCTAGTGATGGAAACTACTCACCAGTGTCGATTCTGTTTTGTATCCGTTTCTTGCATAACCTGGGAATGAAATGTACCAATATCTATGTCCGCTCTGGATGATGAACCTTGCGCAAAAGGGCCGGAAGGAGCAGATATCCGCGTCTTTGTTTCGACACAAGCAGCAGACGTACCCTCAAGATCTTCAGCCATTACTGGAAATAGTCCAGAGCAAAAAGCGATTTGTGTCGAGGTAAAGAAAATGCTACGTGTGAAACGTACTGTTTATGCTATTATAGGTGAGTGTTTGCGGGGAATGACGTCTTTGAGGATAGGGAAGGAGCCGCACCTCTCGCCTGTGGCCGACAGAGAAGTGCACTACTGATTCGCTACCTAGGTAATGGTCAGGCAAATGTGGTCTGACATACTGTATCAGGAGTCACATCGCCTTCTAGGAGAAGATATCACCGTAAGCAGTACAGGTCAGCCAGCCACGTCGAGCCCAGGCCCCTGATATCCCCCACCGCACAGTCCCAAGCCCTTATGGTCACGCCTAGAATCTACCTACTGATGCTCTCATACTGTAGTTGTGCATACTGCTAGTCACATGCTGCATTCTCCCTACGTGAAATCTTACAGTAAGTAGTTGTATCCCTGCTGTGTTTTCTTTTCGCTAGTGTTATCAAGTGTAAAGGCGAACAACATGTATCTTTCAGCAGCTTCTCCCACCAATATTCCTATACAAACTATCGTCTCCCACCTCACTCAACATGGCATGACATTCCATGATGCCAGCTGAAAAAGATCCCTCTCAGTGGCTGCAGCCACCCAAGCCACTCTCGAGCACTCCGACCTTCACTTCGTTCTGGAACGACAGTCAATAAATCTGCCTACTGATAAGCCTCGGGAATTACCGCTATTGAGCGATGCGTACCTTAATTTTCAGTCGAGTCCACGTATGGAGAGATCGTGAGCTGAAAATGTGATCTTATGATCGATCTCAGGAGGAGGTGGCCTCTCCGCGAGCGAACGAAAGATGCGTAAAGAGCAGCCGCTATAAAAGACAGCGATACAGCTCATCAGGACTGGCCACTGGGATTGCTCGGGCCGAGTGAACAGCATGGTCGAGGAATAGGAGCACATCTCGAAGAAGCTCTGCCACGATGCTTCTTCGAGCGCGGAAAATGAGTCCCCTCAAGTTCCTGGTGCCGGAAACGGGTCAGCTACAGATGGATGAACTGGGCTATGATGGATATACGTATATATTGAAGAGGACCCTAGTACCAACGACGAAGAATTGTTATTAGATGAGATGGAAGAAACACTCTAGAAGCTAGACGCTCTACAAACTCGCAACATGTAGGACAAAGTCCTAAACTTGCGTGATTTTGTGGTCAGTCACTGAGAATACGTAATTGGTTCGTGGTCATGCAAAAAATCATAAGAGAACGTTGATGGCGAATCCAAACGTCAAAGACGCGGTACCAGCCTCTGGCCTTGCATGAAGTGGTACCTACTTAACACCGCAACGACAACAGGGGGCGGTAAGCTTGAGAGACGGACACACGGGATTCGATTGGCCGAAGCACCATGCATTCCAGAAATGCTCGGTCTTCCAAATTTGCCAGAGATCCTAAGCTTATTATTAACCTCAAGGGCGTTCCTCCGAATGAGCCTATTCCCATATCCACAGTGCGCCTAATCAGATTCTTAGCTTAGATATGTCTTTTTTCGTAACAATGAAGCCCCGAGGAAGACACTACCATGCATCTCCCCTTAATTTACCCCCTTTCATCACCGAAAAATCCGCTGGCTCGCAACCTCATTTACTGCCTATATACACATGCATATCCAAAAGACAAGACCCGACCCTGCTCAACTGATGCAAGAAGCCAGAGGCACGCCACACCACCCCTCACTACATCGCACCAGACACAGACATAACTGCGTATACCCACCCCATCTACAGCTTCGCCTTCTGCTCCTCCTGCGCCAACCCCTCAGCATAGCACTCATCGATATCGGCACGGAACCGCTTCGCCGCCTGCGGCCGCTTAAGCTTGAGCCTAGAACAATCAATCGTCAGCCATCACAAATCCCCTTCAAACAAAAACCTTCCCCTCCAAGCGATTTCCAGGGGAATACGGTAGGACTTACGTCGGCGTCAAAAGCTCATTATCCACCGTGAACGGATCGACATAGAGCCTCACGACCCTCACCCTCTCATAACTATTAAACTTCTCCCTCTTCCCAATCCGATCCAACTCTTTAACCACAGCCCTCTCCACCCTTTTATCCTTGAGCACCTTCGCAAACGCCACCGTATCCTTCTCATCCACCTTCTTCCCAAGAACCTTGGACGCAAACGCCGCAAACGCGTCGGGCATGACGCCAAACAGCCCCACGAGGAACGCCTGGTGCGAGTCGCCGTGCACGTACGCCGTCGCCAACCACCCGCAGTTGGCCAGGTACACGTTCTCGATGCGCTCGGGGGAAATGTACTCGCCCTGCGCCAGCTTGAGCACGTTCTTGCGCCGGTCGATGATGGAGAAGCGGCCCTGCTCGTCGACGCTGCAGATGTCGCCCGTGTGGAACCAGCCATCGGCGTCAATGGCCTTGGCCGTCTCCTCGGCGTTGCGGAAGTACTCGCGGAACTGCGTCGTGCTGCGCACCAGCAGCTCGCCGCGTGGGTAGGGTTTGTCCGTCGTCAGGTAGTCCATGTCCGGCACGTCGACGAGGCAGACTTCGCTCGTGGGCACCACGGCCCCGCAGTTGCCCGAGGAGAAGTCGCCGGCTAGCTGGACCAGGGACACCGCATACGTCTCGGTCAGTCCGTAGCCCTGGATGAAGTTGTTGGCGAAGCAGATGCGGAGGAATTGGTGCAGGCTTGGGTCGATGGGCGCGGATCCCGTGACCATGACTCTGGCTCGGTCGAGGCCGATGGCAGCGGCTACCTTCTTGGCCCAGATGCGGTCATACAGGGCGTGCGTGTTCGTCGGGTTCTGCTTGTCGCCTAGGGCGGCGAGCTTCTTGTTGACCACGTGCCGGGACAGGGCGCCCTTGAAGCCGGGCTGCTTGACCGTGTTCTCGCGGATGACGTTCCCGAAGCGGTTGTACAGACGGGGGACGCCGGTGAAAATGGTCGGACGGAGAGCCTTAAGGTCGTCGACGAGCTCGACGATGTTGCCGTGGAAGTAGCCGATTGCGGCGCCGGAGGCGAGAGCGCTGTGCTCGCCCAGGCGCTGGTAGATGTGTGCGAGGGGGAGGAAGGAGCAGATGATTTGCTTGGGGTCGCCGCCTATGACGATGAGCGAGGAGCAGGTCGCGGCGACGGTGTTACGGTGCGTCAGGACGACGCCCTTGGGGTTGCCGGTGGTTCCGGACGTGTAGTTGATGGTGGTGACGTCGTCCGGCTTAGGGGGGTTGTAGGGGATGGGTTGCGCCTCGCCCAGGGCCTCGACGTCGCGGATGTAGTGGATTGAGACGCCCATCTCGGAGGCAAGGGAGTTGAGGAGCTCGCCCTTGGACTCGCCTGGAAGCTCGCCAGCAGAAAGGGGGTCGAGGACGACAATGAGCTTGAGGGTCGGGAGACGCGGCTTGAGCTTCAGGAGAGTGGTGACGTGAACGAGGGAGGTGACGACGCATGCTAGGGAAGCATGGTTGATGATGAACTCGGTGGTATCGGGGCCGAGGGTGTCGTAGATGGAGACAGTGAAGAGACGCTGGGACATGCAGGCCAAATCTGAAGACATTAGCTTCAGGATTCTGGAAGGGGTACTTGGCTATACACACCCGTGATCTGCCATTCGGGCCTGTTCTGGCACCAAAGTCCCACACCATACTGGCCTTCCTCCTTGTGCGCACCAACCTGGCGGTGCAGGTGCACCAGGCCAGCGCCAAAGTTCTTTCTCCTCGTCTGCACAGTCTGGTAATCCTGCCATGTGTAGGCGCCGAAGGTCTTGGTGACGGGATCGTAGGGTCTGTGGCCCAGGCAGTTGTTCTTGGGGTATCTCGCAGCTACATGGCGGAAAACATTGTATTAGCACTGTACTCCCTTAGTTTGGGGGAGTGGTCCTCTCCACGACTCCATAGGAAAAGCTCTGGTAACGGTGACGCCAGCCGTTTGGGTCACAACCACGAAGCCAAACACAACAGGTACATACCAGTAGCCTCGAATGCCTCGTGTCCCGTCGTGATCTTGGGATCCAGCGTCTCCAACAGGGGACGGTCCCTGAAGCGCCAGTGTCTGTAGATGGCACTGCGGCCCTCAACCTGGGAGCCTGGGATGGGCACGCTATAGGGCTTCCCCTTGGGTGGCGGCACCGCGAGCTCGTTGGCGCGCTGCAGTTGGATATCTGCAGTTCCGGACATTGTGATGGTGACGGTGTACGAGATAGGGTCGTGCGAGGTGCGCGGGGATGCGACTTGGGAGTGTGGACGGGGAATGGAAAGCCCTTGGGGAGGCGGTAGACGTCGAAGCCGGCGGTTGGTGAACTGCTAATGGCTATCACGGCTCGTCAGCTCTTGCTCTCTTTTCTCTTAATCTGTATGTGTTTGCGCTGCGCCAACTGGCAACTGAAAGACTGTCGTCAGCGAGGCCGAGCAGCGCATTCACGCGGCGGAGACTCTGCTGCACCTCATCACATAGCAAAGCCGCACTCACCTCTGCCCTGGCAAAACCTCACAACTTACACACGCAGAAGACGTTGAAATCCACAATCAAAAAGAGTACGGAGTAGGGGGTAGGTAGGGCGATTTTGGCGCAGAAACAAAGAAGGGCAGTAGTTGAGCTCAGTACCGGGGCAAACGGCCTTCTTCGCGCAGCCGCATGCTCGACAAGCCTCGGTATGTCCGTCCAGACCGGGGTTCTTGCTGATGGTCTTCCAAGTGAGGACCTGAGCTCCGAAAACAGATGGAGAATGGCTCCGTTGGGCGTGCCTGGCCGATTGGATCGAAGTCCGATCAATGTGGGGAGCAGAAGTGCTCATTTCAGCGAAGCTCTGGAGGATGCCTTTTCACATGATAAACCCATCCTCCCATAATAGTACACAGTAGATTCTCTTGCCTCTACTTTCCTCAACGCCACAACTCCTCTTTGCCCTGCCTCCCCAACTCAATCATGCTCGCCATCACAAGCCGGAGCCACACGTTGTCGCAGCCTCACATGGAGCCTCTAGTTTTCTTGTCGTACCTTTGAAGCAGCGGCTGCGCCGCTTTTGGACTAGTGCGCAAGAGATGCCTCGGTGCCGTGGTTCCTGGCTGTCTGGCCGTTGTTGGAGAACTGGATGGGTCGATGGGGCTAGGCAGAGGGAACCAATTGGGGTTGAGATGGACTGTTACTAATAGTGGCCATGGTGCTGTACTCGAGAGGGAAGGATGCGTGTTTCCGGGCTCACATCCCATCTCCAACCGCAACAGCACAAACACCACATATAATCATAAGTATTTCGCAGCACGTGTCAGATTGTCATTGCAATAGAGGTATCTTATTATTAGTCCCGTTCCATCCATCCCCAGCCCAGCTCAAAGCCCCGCTCGCACCTAGAGACCTACTAGTAGAGTCGGGTCGGCGCTGGCAATCCTCCCAAAGGCAAAACGAAGCACCCATCATTCAGCACCATCCACTCCTTTATACAGACCCAGCCAGCGAACCCGCAGTCTCGCCCGTCTTCTCGGCATTCGAAGGGTCGCCCTTCTCCTGCGGCTTGGTGGCAGACGCCTTGAACGACTGCTCAAAGTCGGCAATGATGTCGTCAATGTGCTCGGTACCGACGGAGATGCGGATGAGGTCCTGAGGGAAGAGATATTAATGCATGTTTAGTGATACAATGGAAACGGATGCATACCTCAGTTACACCAGAGCTGATCTTCTCCTCGTCGCTCAGTTGCTCGTGGGTAGTGGTCCAGGGGTGGATGGCCAGAGTCTTGGAGTCGCCAACACTATTGTATCGATCAGCACTGGCGTCCAGAATTCGATTCCTAGAACTCACTTGGCAAGATTGGAGATGAGCTTGAAGTTGTCCACGACCTGGCTGCCAGCAGCACCGCCGCCCTTGACTCCAAAGGAGAGGACACCTCCAAAGCCCCTCCTGAGGTACTTCACAGCAGTCTCGTGCGAAGGATGGCTCGCGAGGCCAGGATACGAGACCCAGCTGACGTTCTCGTTGCTCTCCAGCCACTTGGCCAACTTGAGGGCATTCTCTCCGTGCCTCTCGGCGCGCAAGCTCAGCGTCTCGATACCGAGGAGAAGCTGCTGAGCAGCGAAGGGGTTGAGCGCGGCGCCCAGGTCGCGCTGGATCTCGACGCGAGCGCGGATGGCAAACGTGATGGGGCCGAACGTCTCCCAGAACTTGAGGCCGTGGTAGCCCTCGGCGGGCTCGACGAACTGAGGGAAGCGCTTCCCGTGCTTGCCCCAGTCGAACTTGCCGCTGTCGACGATGACACCGCCGATAGTCGTACCGTGACCTCCAATCCACTTGGTAGCCGAATGGACTACGATGTCAGCGCCGTGCTCGATGGGCCGGACAAAGTAGCCTCCTGCGCCGAACGTGTTGTCCACGACGAGGGGGACGCCGGCCTCGTGGGCGACGGCGGCGATCTTCTCGAAGTCGGGAACGTTGTACTTTGGGTTGCCGATGCTCTCGATGTAGACGGCCTTTGTGTTCTCGTCGATGGCGGCCTTGAAGTCTTCGGGCCTGTCGCCGTTGACGAACTTGGTCTTGATGCCGAGGCGGGGGAGGAAGACCTTGAGCTGGTTGTAGGTGCCTCCGTAGCTGAGCGTGTTAGTAGAAGGTCGATGCTCGTCCTAGGGGGTCTGACGTACAGATTTGATGTGGAGACAATGTTGTCACCTGCATGTGCCAGGGTTGCAATGGCAATGAACTGAGCGGCCTGGCCGGAAGAGGTAGCTAGAGCGGCAACACCGCCCTCGAGAGCAGCAATTCGCTTCTCGAAGACATCGACAGTGGGCTGTGGGGTGTCAGCAACTCCTGCCACATTTCCTCGAGAGATTGCGTCTCTATCTGTAGAGGAGTACTCACGTTCATGATACGGCTGTAGATGTTGCCAAACTCCTTGAGGCCGAACAGCCTCGCGCCGTGTGCCGAGTCATTGAAGACGTAAGACTACCTCTGTCAGTTCCTGAACACTCCACCTCAGATATCCAGATGGCTACGTACGGTCGTCGCATAAATGGGAACAGCTCGTGAATTGGTAGCAGGGTCAGGAGTGTGACCTGGAAGCTGTATCAGCAACAGTGGACGAATTACCCAGAGAAATGGCCGTACCAGCGTGCAGTTGCAGCGTCTCGAACTTCTTAGCGATTTCCTCAGCCATGGTGAAGTGTGTATGTGTGCTGGAGATGGGTCTTGTTCAACCGGGAACGGACAAAGGAGCTAGATAAACACTCTTTGGCTGTACAATTGTGAAATTAGCTGTTTGCGTCACGTCATACACCCAATTGGATGGAGGCTAGAAGTAGTACCGTATAGGTAGCCCTTGGAGCAGCCGAAGTATTAAGTCGGCGGGGTTGGATTTGTGTCGTTCCTTCCGGAGAGCTATGAGGCAATGAAGATGTAACCAGTTCAACCCCCTCCGCCGTGGGTCCTCTACTCTATATATCTACCACCTGAAACCCTCTCCCCGCGCCCTCGTCTGAGCAGAAAGTGGCCAGCTCCCGAAATCGGCTCCATAGTGGGCGTCGCAAGAAGAGTGAGGTCGGCGTCGTGTAGAGCACGCAATTCCTTAGCGCGGGGTAGCTCTCCATGTCTCCATGTCTCCCACCATGGTCTCGACATAACAGCTCGCGCTGCTGCTGGGAGCTAGACCCGGAACGGCTGAATTGTGCGCTGAGATTGGCTTGCCCAGCTGTGAAAACAACGACGAGAGGATGCTCACTGCCCCTTCAGCTCGTCGGGCGGCTGGAAAAAAGGTGCAATCATCACATAATGAAGCGTGGGGTGGGACGACGAGTGCGGGGCTCAGGATTGCCTCGAGACTTTCCAATTCTGGCCGAGAAGCATAGACAATAAACTGGTATTAGTAAGACGATATTCTGAGACGGTATGCTGTCGATGGCAGCAGCCGTAGCGTGCTCACAGTCTCAACTTTCTTACACGGTTGAAGTGTGAGGAAAACCCCAGCTCCTTGAACACTCGTTGCAGATGACGAATGACGAAACATGAGCTTCTGTGGCTCAAATGTGGCTGAAGTATGGCTTGACAGATTCGCCAAGACCCCAGCGTTTCCCCGGCTCCAGCCCTGTGGCACAAAGTTTACCAAACAGAGACACGTCAACCGGCTCAACCAGTCCAAACAATAAAACTGGGGCGCATTCCACCTTCAACCCCACATTCGCTCCATCTCCACGCCTCCTTGCGTTAGGCTAACCTCGCCTTCTCTCGCTAGCCATGGCGGAGCCCCTGGAGATTCCGCGTCGCAGCCGCTTTCAGGAAGGCACCATGAACAGCACCACCAGCATCCACCCGCCCCCCGCTGAGTTCCGCGACTTCGAGGGAGAGGATGTAGATATGCGGAGTTCCCAGAACGAGCCGCCTACTGCTACTACTACGTCGGTCACAGCGCCAGCCCAACACCAGAGCATCTATTCACGCTTCTCCCGCGCCGCCGCCTTCCTGTTCCGCGGCTCCACCTTTGCCGGCCTAGGGAAGCGAAAGCGAGAAGAACGCGACGTCGACGGGGACGAGAGAAAGCAGAAAGCAGAGCATGCCCTCGCCGAAGCAAGGAAGTTGGGTCTGCTTCCCGCTCCAAAGGTGTTTGTCAGACCGCGTGCGCAAGCCCGAGGTGTTGGTACGTCCCATGTTTCGCTTGATGCAAGGAAAGATGGGAACATGATGCTAATGCAAGGAACCCAGCTATCGACCCGACAACCGGCACTGCACGTCTAACCCGTACCGTATCCTCAGCCTCTGTCACCGCGCCTGGAACACCTCGTCCTCGGTCCACTCCATCCAAAAAGGATCTTGAGCGACAAGAGCGGCTCCGTAGGAAAATCTCGAATATCGAGCAGGAACTCGCCAACACGCAGCGCAAGCTCAAAGAAGCGTTGGATCGGACGAGCTATAGCGCATCGCAACCGTCCTCTCCGGCCGTCGGTGTCAAGAAGCGCAAGATTAGCGACGACGCTGAGAACCACGATGATGTGGATTCGACGTACAGCTCTTTCTCAAGCGACGAGGCTGTGCAGCGGAGCGATAGCAAGAGGCTGAAGAAGTCGCGCAGTAGCAGGTCGACGTTGAGGAAGAGACACATGCAGCATACTCCGACTGAGGATATCGTTACTGTTGTCCCGGATGGAGTCAGCGTGCCGCAGGTCCCTGCTATTCCGGAGGGTGTCGATGGGAAACGCGCCGAGGTCGTTGCTGCGAGTAGGAAGAGCGATGACGGGTACGGCGGCCTGGCTCATGAAATTTTCTGAGTGATGAGGGTTGTGCTACTCACCGAAGCAACTTTAACCAGTCCGGTTCGCTTTGAGAAAGCGTCTTACAAACCACTTCAGAGTGTATTCATAGGTTTTGCTTGGTTTTGTTTGGTTACGCATTATGGGCAGCAAGAGTTGGACACTGGTGCGCATTTTCTTCACGTTCCCAACCCTCTTCTTATTTTTCTTTTCATGCCTGCATGCGTTCCGAGCAACAGTGCAAACGAGTTCACGGCTACCGTTCCCTGCGTCACGACGTCTACGATGCTCATGACTTGTCTTATCTGAATTTTGTCTATCGTTTCTTGTGCATTCGTCCTTCTCTGTTAATAAACGATATGGGTGTGGGCGACAGAGATAATAAGTTCTTCAAGCGGGGAAAGACGTTGCCTGGAAAGCTCAGTGGATAATGTATGCGTACATGGTCAACCTCGGAGCCTTCTACTCCGTACCTGAACCCTATAAGGAATCCCTAGCTGTACAAAATAGGCATCGACGAGAATGTAAGGAAACCCCCTAGCTGTACAAGATAAAGATCGACGAGAGCAGGAATCGGCCGTTACCCGTTACACTTCCAAGGTTCCAAGGTTCCACCATGAATATCGATGAGCCTCCTCCTCTTCCTCGTAAATCAACGATATATCCAACCATGCCTCCAACGCCTTATGACATATGCCTCCCATAGTACAGACCCCGATACATAATAAATGACGAGATATGTACTAATCAAGATACCCCACATTTTCTTCACGTCCTCCCATCCATCCCGCCGGGTCACTCATCGGTTCGTGCGAATTGCGGTGCATTCATGCATGCATGCATGTGCGAAAGAATCCTAGCGAGTGCCCAGGTAGGTATGCACTATGCAATAGCACGCCGTGATAACGATCGCATGACCATTGTGCATATAGAGTAGAAGCATGATATCCATATTCGTATCCATATCCCTCATTCCCTCCTCCTTTCCTGTTAGACTGTTGATAAAGGAAAAAAGGCAATTAGGCAACCATGGTGTTTGCTCGATCCGCGGAATATCCTGCGATGCTGGTTCTCAAGAAGGAGGATAGACGGTAGGTGTCTCAGTGGTCGGTATGGATCTCGCCGGCGCCCTCACAGACGTGGCATTTGACCTGCCCGGCCTTGCAGGCGTGGCAGCTCGCGCCGGCGCAGTTGTCGCACTTGATGGAGCCGTTGCCGTGGCAGGTGGGACACTGCATTTGGGACTGCAGATTGCAAGGGAGGAGAACGACGATGATGGCGGTAGGAGGAGCGAGTAGTCTCGTAGTATAGTAGTCCAAGAGTGGGGAGAAGTGGCCTGGCGGCGGGAATGTGGCGCAGGTCGGAGAGTTGCTACAAAGGAGTAGCGGGAGAGAGAGTCGGGAGATTCTTTTCTAGAAGACTTCTGGAAGGCCGTTGTCGGTGAGCTATTGTTGCTTGGAAGTCCGTCCTTGATAGCCTAGCCGTCAGGCCAACGATGGATGAAAGAAAGTAAGGCGGGAGGAGAAGGTAGTCATCCGTCATCCTACCTATCTGAAATATATATGTTTCTTCCTCCTTCCCCCCTCTCACGTCCCTCTCAGGCAAGACCAGGCAAAGCGAGAAAGCAACTGCCAACGACTGGCAAGCCTTGTCTCGCGCGCCCTAGTAGGCCTCCATCCCCTCCCTATTTTCTCCGCATAAGCAGATACAGTAGATCCGACACCACGCAATCATCCATCATCCACTCGGCTCCCAATCTAATCCCTCCTTCCCAGCCCCAGCCAGCCAGCCCTCCTTATCACTCCCTGGCAACCCTTCCCATCCCGAAAGTGGACACGATGCATAGCCCACATGCGAAGATGACATGCGGAGCCGAGAGGCCGACGCACAGGGTAGGCTAGCGTTGCACGTTGCACGTTGCAGTCGGGATTATTAGGATGGTGCCCTGGAAGGAGGTAGGCTTCGGTTTTTGCTTGATTGGACGCCTTGGACGATGATAGTAATCTACACGGTATAGGTATGCTGGGCATCCAGGAGGATGACAGGCTGGCTCGGTGGTCACGGAGGTCCTACGCCTGATTCAGGGCTCTCTCGGAGGGAGCCGAGCTTGGTACATCTTGGAACTGTGTAATGAATGGTGATTTGCTTCGGAAGTTTTGGCGTTAGGCACGGTGGAGCGTCGTGTGTGTGGACGTTAGTGTGTGGAGACCATACATCAATATCAGATAGTGGCTTAGCAACGGACCGATGACGCAACCGGTGTGGCGGTGTTGTTTCAAAAGATCTGTACCCCAGAAAAGAAATAACGAAATGAGGATATAATTATAACCACCACGATCATCGTGACACGAGAATCAGAAACAGCCGAAGCGGGCAGCCGGGGAAACAACACACCGCGACGCTCCCAATAGGGTTTCACGCTTCCGAGGGTCCGTTTGAGGAGCGAGCGTACCTCCCCTCTGTCTGCTCCTGGATTGGCTGCTAGGAAAATTAATCGTCTTTGCACGGGCATCCGTCTACCCACGGCAATTCGGCAGGATGGGCACGTGGGTGATGCACGAGCGTTTCGTTTCGTTTCGTTTTGTCTTAGATACTCGGTTGGGCATGACGCGCAGTTGTGGGTTTAATGGGTACGGGGTTGGGATCTGAGGGATCTAGGGTTACCTGGATGCTCGTCCGGCTGAATCGGCAAGGTGAGTGTTGGAGGGAGGGTTCGGCATTGGGCTCCGATGGCGAGGGTCTGTTGGTTTTTTTCTTGAGTTTGGGGGGCATGGACAGACATCTATTCGTCCCTCATTGTGGAGATTGGCCAAGAATTGCTATCTCGTCGTGAAACCACTTGAATATCAAACATAGAACTGACGCATGAGATGAGAGACGCTATAATAATGATGGGAAAGCAACAAGTCCAAGAAGCTTAGGCATTTAGTCATATGCAATTTCCGAGATATCTGTTATGCATTGTTATGATAGCCGTTGGTTCGAGCTTGTATGAAACGTTGGGAGCTGCTTGGGTATATAGAAGCGTTGTGAAGGATGCACAGACTATCCAACTCGTTCAACGGGAATTCAAAATGTTGGCTTTTGATGTGGTACGTTTCCTTGACGTTAGCCTCGTATGACTAGACACGCATCGGCAGTTATGTGTATGTGTTGCCGAACAGGTACCCGTTGTGAAGGTTCCTCGGATAATGGTATGTCCTCTAGGAATCTTGGTTCTCGGGAATGAACGATAGGGTTCCTTGCACGGGGGTGACACCGGGGGTAATGGGGGTGACACCGGGGGTAACGCGTATTTTGAAAACCAAGTGTACTAAGGAGTACTGATTGAAATTGAACACGATGAGCCATATGGGCTCATCGTCTACTGTTATATATATGAGGTGCTCTCTTTGCTCCGCTAACACGAGTAGAGCATTGAGAGCAGGTTGTATGCCCTTGCTCCGTTGCTCTCCTTGCTCCGGAGGGATCAAACGATCATTGGGCCGGCTGCGCTGTGCTCTGAGACCTTCCTCGCTTAACTGAGAGCAACCCTGGTCGGGTGGAGTCTAGCTCCTCTTGGATCGTTACACCCGTAAGACGCTAAGTAGCTTAGCGAATATGGCGTTGAAAGTATAGTAACATGAAATTGAATTTTCAACACGTGTGCTTTTGAACACGTTTTATACTAAGTGTAAACTCAACAAGTGTTAATAAAACAACTTGTTTTGTAGCTCGAACAACACTGTAAATAATGTTTTGCGCGAATAGATGCTAGATAAACAACGGTGTTGTTAGTATATGCTATTTAGGGTTCTTGCTAAAACATGTTGCAAGCATGTTAAGACTTAACACATCTATTGTATATATTAATCCGACACTCCTTGGCATTTCATATTGCGTTTGACTTGCCTACGTTTTCTGTACACCTACCTGTGCTGCAACAATAACATAATTAGACAGAGTTAAACTTATAAGATATATTTAATTTTAAACTATGCTCCGTGATCAAATATATGGAGGCGCCAAATACTGGCCCAACTCCGAGCACCGGCAGTCATTGCAGGGCCTACGCCAAGGAACAGTCTTCTGAGCCATCTCAGGCAACATCGCCACTCTCACCCCATCACCTATGCAAAATTCAACCCCACACAACATACAGTTAAAGTAATTAATTCAAATTAAAGTTCTACACTAAAAGAACCATCTCCCCAAGTTTCAGAATTTTCCGATCGCTTTTGGTGGTGCTGTAGCTCACTGTTATGGGGACTCCGCACAGCCAGTGATGCAGCCGAGTTGGAACACCAAACTCAAACACCAACATCCCCATCCTCTGCCTCAGCTACCATCTCAGCGCCCTTGCCAACTGACTTGCGCTTGCATGGCTGCTTATCTTTCGAACCAATAGGCCTCCCACACTTCTTCTTGCTCTCAGAGTTGTCCATAGTGTTGCTCCTCCTTGCAAACTCCTTCCTGAACTATGAGAGATCCATAAATTCATCGGGCTCGTAACCTAGCACAATCGCAGTCATCTGAGTTGATGGTAAGCCATCTCTAGATGCTTCTGGGGCAGAGCCTTCAATCTCAATTGGTTGGCTAGTGGTGTTGCCACAGTCAGGTTTGGTAGTAGAATTTGCGGTAACAGAAACCTGAGATTGATCTCCATCACTCCCATGGCTATGGCCTGGAGTGTGAGAGATACAGGAGCGCTGGGTAGCAGTGACCTGGCTTGCGGCAACTACCTCAAAGCTGGAAGGCACTCTCTGACTGTCAGTAAGGGTGGAGAGCCGGGGGTTGGAGGCACTCATCTTCTGCTTCTTTGGGTGGCCTTTGCCCTTGACTGTTGCAGGATCCCGAGGCACTACAGCAGGAAGTATTTGCTCGCTGCTTCTCTGTGGATAATAGTGCCAATGGGGATCTATCTCCTCAAGAGTTATTGTAATCTCTGCACTAGCTGATCGGTAGGCCCGTCGATAGAGAGTATGGCAACAGAGCAAACCATACTTCTTGGTGAATGAGCCAGTACACCCAGGCTGGTATTTATCTCCTTTGGCAAGTGAGATCTGCTCTTTCAAGAGGTCTAATGCAACAGACGTTACTTTGTTGTGAAGGTCTTGAAATTCAGGCAAATTCAATCTCTTTTGGACCTGACAATAGGCTATGCCCATTGCTGCCTTATACTCATTGTATTGAGTAACTAGCATATGATGAATGGACTTCAAAATATCGTATGGATGGCCCAGCGACGACGTAAGATTGGCCTTGAGGCATTTGTGAGTGCCCTCACCCCGGGAAGTTACACTGTTTTGGTTAGCCGATGAACAGCAAATGATGGAGGAGCAACTTACCTCTCTCCAAAGTCGGGGTAATCTTTTGTGTAGTAATTGGCCCAGTGCTTCCGATGGGGTATTTGGTGCTCTTCAAGATAGGAGAGGAGCTTTGGATAGACTTTGTAGTCCTCCTTAAGCTCTGCCCACATGTCCCAGAATTCAACAAGAGTCTTGCATCCTACTAGCCCATACCACCATGAAAGGAAGGTCTCTCTCTGCTGTTGAATCTCCTCTTTCTCCTCATCTGTATCTTTTCAGCGTACATCCCATGCACGCTTTGTAGCTTCAGCCTGAATGTACTGGTTTATATGCCACATACAATAGCATATGAGAACTCTAGCAAAATAGTGATTGAGTACGGAGATGAGAGCATCTTCTTGATCAACAAGGAAGCAGCGAGGAGTAACTCCTAACTCCTATACAAACTCAAGGAAGCTGTGAATTACTGCATCATAATCTTCAATTGTTTCTCCAGGCATGAAGGTATAGCCAATGTCAAAGGTAGTATTCAAGGTAGTTATTCCAGTTATATGAAGTAAGGACATGTTGAAACGATTGGTTTTGTAAGTACAGTCCATAATAATAACATCGGGGTTCTGTTTAAGTATCTTAACAGATACTGGATGTGAAAACAGTACTCAATAGAGCCGACTCTGCTCATCAAGCCCATGCCGGTAGAAGTATTTGATGCCTTCTTCATCGGTATATTCATCCAGAGTTTCAAGGAGTGCCTGAACTTTAGTGCGGCAGCCAAGCTCCTCACGAAGGAGCTTCCGCCACTGATTGTATATATCTTTCATGGTGGTGTTTTCTCCAAGATTGTGGAGCTGGCGGAAGGTCTCCTTCACAGGAATATTGCCTTTGAAACCCTCTTCAATAATCCTATCTCCATACTCAGATCTTTTATGGAAGTGAGGCAATGAGTAGCTGTTCATTGCAGGCTCATGATTGTGAGATGGGTTACGGATGTGGAGCTTCCAAATAAGGCCAAACTGGTGTAAACTTGCATGGTATTCACACTGGGTCATCTGTGTAGCCTTTCCTTTGCCTTCCTGGGTATATTTGCGAGAGTGGGCACAGTGGAGATATACAACCTTGATCAAGTCCTTGGTAGTCTTCCCCTTATACTTTTTGTAGCTGTCAATGGAGACTGCGTAACCCTGTGGTTGCAGCTGCCGATTGAGCTCCGCAACAGCCTTCTTGTAGTCCTCCTTCTCAATAAATTCACCATCTGGTTTGTCATTGGCATCCTTATTAACCAGAGAGTTACTCAGAGCTTCTGGATCCTCAGGGGTAGGCTCAAGTGGAGGGCTCATATTCGCCATCTAATCGGCTGCATTAGCAGATAGACTTGCCTGGTTGGAGATGGTGTGGTGGCAGCTACCTACGTGGTGCTAGGGCTGATAGATGGACTTACCTCGACCCACCACAGAACCACAACGCAACATCCAAATTGGAAGCGGATTGGAGCAATTGAAAGCGCTCAGTCAGGAGAGCAATTATGAGATTTCCTGTATGTACAGAGATGGTGTTGCAGTGGTTGGTTGTTGTTGTAGAGGCAGTTACATGGTCTGGTATTCCACTAGCTAGGCGCACTTTCGGCTAGCGCGAATTAAGTGAGGTCTAGTGCCTTGTGTAGGTGACAAATTTGGGCCATTCACTACGCTCAAATGGGTGATGTAGGCCTATGCTGCGAAATCGGAGAGGAGTACATTGCCGGCATAGAATAACGTTTTCCGAGCCATGGCAGCTGCCATTATAGGCTTAGTGGTGTGAAGTTCAGGTCACGACTGCGTACATCTGAGTGGGGGGTCGCCGTTAGGGAATGTGGGAGGTCTCCGAAAAGTTTTTTCCAAGTTTTAGCCTGCCTTATTGCATTGTTGTTATAGTATAAATAGTATAAAGTTACTTTTACACGATCTTAGGTTTGCATGTGCATTGTAGCAACACGCTAAGAATTCTGCTTATGCTTAGGCAGGATAGGATCTTAGGAAACACCTACCTGTACAGCAACAATAATGCAATAAAATAAAGCAATACTTTTAGAATAGGCATAGTTCTATAAAAAAATAAATATCTACTAAGTTTTATCTTATCTTATTGCATTGTTGTTGTAGTGTAGGTAGGTAGAGGAAAATGTATCTTGAAAAAGAGGGTATACCAAGAGCGATACGCAGATGCTAAGGAGTATCAGATTAATGCATATAATAGATGTTGAAGTTTAACCAATGTTTATACTCACACTTTGTTACAGCATTGTTGGAAATCTTTTTAAAGTAATGTGTGTTACTAACAAAATTAATTGCATATGCAACTATTATTAACATTATATTGTATAAAATTGCAACATGAAAACTTATAGAGTTAATATTGAATCTATGATCTGTTGCAGAGCAAGATATACTGTTAGCAACAGCATTATAGCAGGTGTGTATAGCAGAAGTGCTTGAGTAGAAAAATACATATATTTAAAAAAGGGCCAACTATCTAAGTATGTGATATTATACCCCTTTTGGTCTTTCTCTCTACTCTTGGCCCTTTGCTTCATCTCCATCTGCTGACGACTTTACAATGTTACAATTATTCGATTACCTAAGTCCTATGGAAAAGAAATGTCACTGACTAAGTGCCATGGAGATAAAGTCTTGCCATAGTTAGACTATTATACAATCTTTAATACTATAATACTTATTTTTTTTTTTGATCAAAATATATGTATTGAGTCTAAGACTATGATATGGCTATACTAACTAATATACATCCTCTCTCAAGGCCCTCATATATGTTAGGCTTAAGTGAGAGTAGTGAAACTGCTTGTTAAGGTAGAAAAAAGGAAGGAAAAAGGGTAGATAAAGGAGTGTAGGAGAGAAGAAGGTGATGAAAGGAAGTGAGTGTGATAGAATAAACAAAGGAAAACCTAAACATTTTCCTTCTAAGATCTTACCCTATTATACCTATTGTCTTTTTATAGTTTTGTCTATTTTCTATATATTTTTCTATTGTCCATCTTTTATTCCATATCCTCTAGAGGTTCCTGTTGTAGGAGCCACTTTTGGGTAGCGATTTGGGTCCTTTCAAGGTAGGTAAATAAGACTTTTCTATCCTCTGGTATGTAGAAGAGCTTATACAGAGTAAGGGAAGACTTTAGTGCTTCTAAAGCTTCCTTCCTTTCCTGCTTGTAGTTCTTGTAGTATAGAATAAGGTGTTCTGGTGTTTGCTTTTCTCTGCAGCCTCTAAAACAAGTAGCTGTATCACTTTTGCCTATAAGCTTAGAATAAGACTTAAAAAAGCCTTTTCTAAGCTTTAACTGGTAGAAAGCACTGTGTACCCTCTTAGGAAACTGTTCCTTTTGGTGTGGTGGGTGGAAAAGGGGTAGTGTAGTTGCAGATATAGGCATAGTGTTTACTATGTCTTTTACTGTTCTTCTGCCACCACTGTTGCCAATCTTCTAAGGTCCTGTCCTTAATTTTACCTTTAAGGGATAGGAAGGTGGTAATAGAAGCTGTATCAACCTTCTCTCTATCTTTAGTGCCCTTGTTTGCTCTTATTTTAGATGCCCATAGTTTAAAAACTGGATAGTCTTCAATCTCCCAATTAGGAACTAGATCCTTGTTCCTAGCCACTAGGCGTTCTAGTTGCGTTGTAGGCTCTAGAATCTGTATAGCCTTGTTAGGACACATAGAGTCTTCTAGTTCATCCAGCATAGGAGCTAGATAGGCTTCTTTCACTGTATATTGCTTATTGAATTTTAGAACCCTAACTACATAGGAATTGTATAGTTTCTCAAATCTTACAACAGAAGGAGGTAAAGCCACTTCTATCTCCATTGCTAGAGTAGGAGAGGACTTAAATGCTCCTAGGATTTGTGTAAGAGCCTTGTATTGTAGAGAATTATACTGTTGTGCAAGGAGATTGCATTTCCCCTTGTCCCACCAAACAGGAACTCTATAGTCTACAATAGAATTTACATAGACAATATATAACTGCCTGGTAGCTTGTACGGACAAGCCCCTTTGTGTGTTCCTAAGTCTCTTTATAGCAAATAGAGCTCTTGTCGCTGCAGTGATCTTTTTATAGACATGAGGTTTGAAGGATAACTTAGAATCTAAAAAGACTCCTAGCCATCTAACCTCTGTCTTAGGCTCTATAGTTGCTCCTCCTATAGTAATACTATCTGTTACTGCTATTCGCTTATTGTGGAAGTGGATAAGCTCTGTCTTTTCAATGTCGAAGGCAATGGCAGAGTGCTTAGCTGCTGTAACTAGCTCACTAGCTATCTTTTGTAGAATTCGGCAGTTTTTCTGTGCAGAGTTTGAGGCAATAGAGAAGGAAAAGTCATCAATGTAGCTTACTTTAAAAGCTACATTCCCTTCCTTTTTACAAAGTTCACTTATATAAATAAGGAACAGGATAGAGGATATAGGAGAGCCTTGTGGGATTCCTGTATTTATCTTTTCTTTGTCTTGTATTTGCCCATTAAACTGTAGCTATAGTTCTCTATCTTCTACAAAGGAAGCAATCCACTTTATTAGGCCAAGTGGTAAACCTAGCCTAATGCAAATAGATAGAAGTTGGTTTTTAGAGACATAGTCGAAGGCTCCCTTTATGTCTAATAGGAGAGTAGAGACTATCTTCTTTTTCTGCTGTTTGCTCT